AGTCATTCACATCTTCACATCCCATGGTCTTTTTTCCTTTTTTTTTTTTTTTTTTTTTTTTGGGAGACAGAGTCCCACCCTGTCACCCAGGCCGGAGTGCAGTGGCGTGATCTCTGCTCACTGCAACCTCCGCCTCCCAGGTTGAAGTGATTCTCTTGCCTCAGCCTCCCAAGTAGCTGGGATTGCAGGCACACACCACCACGCCCAGCTAATTTTTTTGTACTTTTAGTAGAGATGGGGTTTCACCATGTTGGCCAGGCTGGTCTCAAACTCCTGACCTCAGGTCATCCCACCCACCCTGGTCTCCCAAAGTGCTGGGATTACAGGTGTGAGCCACAGTGCCTGGCCCCAGGGTCATTTTTAAATAGTCTTGTAGCATGTCTTATATTATGAATCTAAAGCTTTTCTTTAAAGTAGCTCATTTCTTAAAGTACCTATTATATTCAATAGCTATTTAAGTACCTATGATTGCCTTATCCTAAATAGTATTATCTTTAAAATAAGAGGTTTTATAGATGAATTGGTCCATTCTCATTTTGCTACAAAGAAATACCTGAGACTGGGTAATTTATAAAGATAAGAGGTTTAATTGGCTCATGGTTCCACAGGCTGTACAGGAAGCATGGCAGCATCTGCTTGGCTTTTGGGGAGGCCTCAGGAAATATACAATTGTGGCAGAAGGCATGTGGGGAGCCAGCACATCACATGTCAAGAGTAGGAGCAAGAGAAAGAGGGTGGAGGTGCATTTCGAGACAAGGTCTGGCTCTGTCACCCAGGCCGGAGTGCAGTGGGGAATCACAGCTCACTGCAACCTCTGGCTCCTGGGCTTAAGCCCTCATCATGTGTCTGATGAACAGAAAGTGTCTGTTTATGTCCTTTGCCCACATTTTAGTGGGGTTGTTTATTTTTTTGCTTGTTAATTTGTTTAAATTCCTTGTAGATGCTGGGTATTAGACCTTTGTCAGATGCATAGTTTGCAATTATTTTCTCTCATTCTGTAGGTTGTCTGTTTACTCTGTTGGTAGTTTCTTTTGCTTTGCTGAGCTTTGAAGTTTAATTAAGTCCCATTTGTCAATTTTTGTTTTTGCTGTGATGGCTTTTGGTATCTTTGTCATGAAATCTTTGCCAGGTCCTATGTGTAGAATGGCATTTCCTAGGTTCTCTTCCAGGGTTTTTATAGTCTCAGGTTTTATATTTAAGTCTTTATCTTGAGTTGATTTTCGTATATGGTGTAATGAAGGGGCCCAGTTTCGATCTACTACCTATGGCTAGCCAGTTATACCAGCACCACTTATTGAATAGGGAATCTTTTCCCCTTTGCTTGTTTTTGTTAGCTTCATTGAAGATCAGATGGTTGTAGGTGTGTGGCATTATTTCTGGGCTCTCAATTGTGTTCCATTGGTCTATGTGTCTATTTTTATACCAGTACCATGCTGTTTTGGTTACTGTAGCCTTGTAGTATAGTTTGAAGTGATAGCCTCTTATCTTGAGGAATCTATCTATTTATTTTTGAGATGGTGTCTGGCTCTGTCACCCAGGCTGGAGTGCAGTCACGTGATCTTGGCTTACTGCAACCTCCACCTCCCAGTTTCAAGTGATTCTCCAGCCTCAGCCTCCCAAGTAGCTGGGACTACCCAACTAATTTTTGTATTTTTAGTAGAGATGGGATTTCACCATGTTGGCCAGGCTTGTCTTGAACTCCTGACCTCAGGTGATCCACCCACCTCAGCCTCCCAAAATGCTAGGATTATAGGTGTCACTGCGCCCAGCCGATTTTGAGGACTTTATAGCCTCTTCTTTTTCTTTGTAATATCATCTCCTTAGTCTTTGAGCACTTCCTTGCTTTCTGGCAGAAGTATCTCTTAATAATGCTAACCTGGTCATAGACCTCACCCTTTACTTCAAATCCTCCAGTGACTTTCCGTTGCACTTCCAAGAAAATCTAAACTTCATATATCATTGGTTTGCAATCCTTTCTCCTCTTTCTCCTCATTAGGTCTGACCTCTGCTAACTGGCTGGTCTCGCCTTATACCCCAGCCATGCTTTCTCTTTTTTTTTTTTTGAGATGGAGTCTCGCTCTGTCACCCAGGCTGGAGTGCAGTGGCGCAGTCTCAGCTCACTGCAAGCTCCGCCTCCCGGGTTCACACCATTCTCCTGCCTCAGCCTTCCGAGTAGCTGGGACTACAGGCGCCCACCACCACGCCCAGCTAATTTTTTGTATTTTTAGTAAAGATGAGATTTCACCGAGTTAGCCAGGATGGTCTCGATCTGACCTTGTGATCCACCCGCCTTGGCCTCCCAAAGTGCTGGGATTATAGGCGTGAGCCACTGCGCCCGGCCCAGCCATGCTTTCTCAATGCACTGTGGTCACTCAGGCCTTCCTGAAATTCCTCGAGTGGGTCAGGTTTATTCCAGCCTCTGGGCTTTTGCATATATTAGTCACTCCATCATGAACACGCTTACCCTGTGATAAGTACCTTCTCGTCTCTCAGGGCCCTCCTTAAATATCACCTCCTAAGAGAAGTCTTCCCTGATGACTCTATGGAAAATTATGCTTCTCTCCCATTGGTAGAGTGACTTCAAAATTCCCTTTACTCTCTGCAAGGACATTACTTATTTATCTGTTGAATGAACTGCTGTCTGCTTTCTCCACTAGGATGTAAACTTTTTTTTTTTTTTTAATACTTTAAGTTCTGGGGTACATGTACAGAACATGCAGGTTTGTTACATAGGTATACATGTGCCATGGTGGTTTGCTGCACCCATCAACTCGTCCTCTACATTAGGTATTTCTCCTAATGTTATACTTCCCCTATAGCCCCACAACTCCTGACAGGCTCTGGTGTGTGATGTTCCCCCACCTGTGTCCATGTGTTCTCATTGTTCAGCTCCCACTTATGAGTGAGAACATGCGGTGTTTGGTTTTCTGCTCTGGACATAAACTTTTTGAGGCAGTAAAGACTTGTCTTGTTTCTCACTCTGTGCCCCAAACTTGGAATTGTTGCCGAAACACCAGGGGTCCAGACTAGGTCCTGCTGCTCACCACACGGAAAGTCAATCACTGAGACAACCATTACTGCCAACAAAGAAGGCTTTAATCTCCTTGGCTGCGACGAGGAGATTATAGTCTTAGGTTTTACATTTAAGTCTTTATCTTGTGTTGATTTTCATGCATGGTGTAATCCATCTCCCTGCCCAATTAAAATTAGAGGTTTATATAGCAGGGAAGAAATGTGACTATGTGTAATAAAACAGGAAATCAGGAGGGGTCAGGAAGCAATCATGAGGAAGGAGGGGTCTGACATCGCATCATCTGGATGTGATGATCTGCTGACTTTTCTGTTCTTTGATACTTTCTGAGAGGCCTGGGGGTCCTTTAATGAGGAAGGAACTCAGATAAAACAAGTGTAAGTTTCCCACAGAATGGGAGAAAATATTTGTAAACTATATACCTGACAAAGGTCTAATATCCAGCATCTACAGAGAACTTAAGTAAAGTTACAAGAGAAAAACAAACAACACCATTAAAAAGTGGGCAAAGGCCAAGCACGGTGGCTCCCAACTGTAATCCCAGCACTTTGGGAGGCTGAGGCGGGGGTGGATCATTTGAAGTCAGGAGTTCGAGACCAGCCTGACCAACATGGTGAAACCCTGTCTCTACTAAAAATACAAAAATTAGCTGGGCATGGTGGTGTATGCCTGTAATCCCAGCTACTCAGGAGACTGAGGCAGGAGAATCACAATCACTTGAACCCAGGAGGCGGAGGTTGCAGTAAGCTAAGATTGCCATTGCACTCCAGCCTGGGCAACAGAGTAAGACATTGTATCAAAAAAAAAAAAACAGGGATTACAGGCAAAAAAAAAGAAGTGGGCAAAGGACATGAACAGATACTTTTTAAAAGAAGAGATACATGTAGCCAACAAGCATATGAAAAAAAATGCTCACTGTCACTGATCATTAGATAAATGCAAATCGAAACCACAATGAGATATCATCTCACAACAGTCAGAACAGCTATGATTAAAAAGTCAAAAAATAACAGATGCTGGCAAGGTTGCCGAGAAAATCGAACATTTATACACTGTTGGTGGGAGTGTAAATTAGTTCAGCTATTGTGGAAAGCAGTGTGGCAATTCCTCAAAGAGCTAAAAGTAGAACTACCATTTGACCCAGCAATCTCACTGTTGGGTATATACCCAGAGGAATATAAATCATTCTGCCATAAAGACATATGCACGTGAGTGTTCACTGCAGCATTATTCACAATAGCAAAGACATGGAATCAACCTAAACGCCCATCAGTGACAGACTGGATAAAGCAAATGTGATACATATACACCATGGAATACTATGCAGCCACAAAAAAGAATGAGATCATTTCTTTTGCGGGAACATGGATGGGGTTGGAGGCCATTATCCTTAGCAAACTAACTCAGGAACAGAAAACTAAATATTGCATGTTCTCACTTAGAAGTGTGAGCTAAATGAGGAGAACTCATGAACACAAAGAAGGGAATAACAAACACTGGGGTCTAATTTACGGTAAATGTCAGGAGGAGGGAGAGGAGCAGAATAAACAATTATTGGGTGCTAGGCTTCATACCTGGGAGATGAAATCATTTGTACAACAAACCACCATGATGTGAGTTTAGTTATATAACAAACCTTCACATCTAGCCCTGAAACTAAAATAAGAGGTAAACAATAACCAATGTCAGTTTCAAGTATTTATATATATATATAAGTACTGTCTATGAGACTATTGGGGTTGGTTTCAGAATCAGCTGTCATATAAAAGGTGCTCAAGACATATTTGCTGACTGGATGAATGAGTGAGTGAGGGTCTGAAATAAATATTACATAAATGAAATGGTAAATGAATGAGTCATTATGCAGAGATTCCGACGGAAAGAAGAGCAAGTCCAGAAGAAAAGATTAAAAAAAATTTTTTTTGTTCTACTTCCTTCTGGGATAACCAACCTGGTTCTTTCTCCACAGGGCTGCCTTTTGATGCAGTGGTCTCTGCCCAAACCACAGACCAAGGAACACCTGGGACCACCACACAGTTGACACGTGACCATTCTTCCCCAGCATCACTCATCAGCTCTGTGGGTAGGTAATAATAAAATAACAATAAAAATTAATAATAATAATAACGATAAATAATAATAAAAACCAGTAACAGGCCGGGTGGTAGCTCACACCTGTAATTCCAGCACTTTGGGAGGCCGAGGCGGGCAGATCATGAGGTCAAGAGATTGAGACCATTCTGGCCAACGTGGTGAAACTCCGTCTCTACTAAAAATACAAAAATTAGCCAGGCGTGGTGGCGGGCACCTGTAGTCCCAGCTACTTGGGAGGCTGAGGCAGGAGAATTGCTTGAACCTGGGAGGCAGAGGTTTCAGTGAACCGAGATCACACCACTGCTCTCCAGCCTGGGTGACAGAGCAAGGCTCTGTCTCAAAACAAACATACAAACAAAAATAAAAAAAAAAAAAAGAAAAGAAAATAACAACAATAACAGTAAAACAGTAACAGGAGTTTATTAAGTCCTTATTCCCTCCCACTACATGGTGGATCACATCATTGCATCATCACAACAGCCCTGTGCTGTTATCCCCATTGGGCATGTGAGGAGACAAGGCTCCGAGAGGTTAAGTGACTTGACCCAGATCACACAGCGAGTAATTAGGACTTGAGTCCCACTGAGTCCACTTCTTCCATTTTCCTTCCACTGTGCATTTTGTTTCCTGCTCTGGGAAGATTGCAACTGGTTTGATTTTAGGAAGGAAAGAAAATTAGTCTTCAAGAGATGCTTTGGGCTAGGCACAGTGGCTCACACCTGTAATCCCAGCACTTTGGTAGGCCAAGGCGGGTGGATCACTTGAGGTCTGGAGTTCAAAAACAGCCTGGCCAACATGGGGGAAACCCCGTCTCTACCAAAAATACAAAAACTAGCCAGGTGTAGTGCTGCGAGCCTGTAATCCCAACTACTTGGGAGGCTTAGGCAGGAGAATCATTTGAACCCAGGAGGTGGGAGGTTGCAGTGAGCCAAGATCGCACTACTGCACTACAGCTTGGTTGACAGAGTGAGAATCCATCCCCTGCCCCCCACAAAAAAAGAGAGAGGTGATTTGACTCTGAGGACTGTGTAGGTAGCCTCTGTGTCTTCTGCCTCACTCACAAATATTGGCAGGCTGGCATGGTGGTGCATGCCTGTAGTCCCAGCTACTCAGGAGGCTGAAGCAGGAGGACTGATTGAGCCCAGAAGTTGGAGGGTGCAGTGAACTATGATTGCACCGTTGCACTACAGCCTGGTTGACAGAGAAAGACCCTGTCCCAGAAACAAAAAACAAAAAACGGGCCAAGCACAGTGGCTCACGGCTATACTCCCAGCACTTTGGAAAGCTGAGGCAGAAGGAGCACTTGAGCCCAGGAATTTGAGATTAGTCTGGGTACCATGGTGAAACCCCGTCTCCATAAAAAATATATATGTATTAGTTGGGCATGGTGGCATGCACCTATAGTTCCAGCTACTTGGGAGGCTGAGGCGGGCAGATTGCTTGAGCCTAGAAGTTGGAGGCTGCAGTGAGCCACGACTGTACCACCGCACTACAGCCTGGGCAACAGAGCAAGACTCTGCCCCAAAAGGAAAAAAAAAAAAAATGAACAAACACTGGCTTCCTCAGGAGCAGGCGGGAGAGACAGCCCGGTCCTCATCCTCCCTTCGACCCTCTCATCTACCCACTCACCTTCTCTCTCCATATCCACAGTGTCCTAGAGGCAGATGGCATTGATGGGGCCGCTGTGAGTGTGGCCACCAACCCTGTCATGTAAACAGGGAGGTTTCCCATTGCTGGGAGATGATTCCCCAGGTGTCTCCTTGGAGGAAACCAGCCCAGGCAGGGAGAGGGGGTTCAAGGCAGGAGCCCTGTCGAGGTTCTTCCTGCTGCCTCCTGCTCCTTGCCTCTGGGTGAAAGGTCCTCCCTTTCCTAGGAGTCTAGTTCTGTTCCCTGTATTTTTTGAGACAGAATCTTGCTCTGTCGCCCAGGCTGGAGTGCAGTGGTGTGATCTCGACTCACTTGCAACTTCCACCTCGCGGGCTCAAGGGATTCTCCTGCCTCAGCCTCTCGAGTAGCTGGGATTACAGGCGTGCACAGCCACACCAGGTTAAGTTTTGTATTTTTAGTAGCAACAGGGTTTCACCATGTTAGCCAGGGTGGTCTCGAACTCCTGACCTCAAGTGATCTGCCTGCCTTGGCTTCCCAAAGTGCTGGGATTACAGGCGTGAGCCACCTCACTCGACCGGCCAGGATCGTGAGATTTTAATCAAGAGCAACTTCCACTGATTTCTGAGCGTGCATCTGTGAGCCCCTGCTCTGATCTGAACAGAAGTGCCATGTGTTCTCTGACCTCTACTTCTCAATTCAAAGGCCTTAGTATCTGCCAGTTCCACACACCGAGGGTTAACTCCATCTCATGGGGGTGTAGGTAAGGGTTCTATCTGCATCTTTCTTGCTTTTTTTCTTTCTTTCCTTTCCTCCTTTCCTCTCTCCTTCCCTTCCTCCCTTTTTCTTTCCCTCCCTCCCTTCCTTCCTTCCTTCCTTCCTTCCTTTCTCTCTCTCTTTTCCTTCCTTCCTTCCTCCCTCCCTCCCTTCCTTCCTCTCTTTCTCTCCCCTTTCCTTCCTTCCCTCCCTCCCTCCTCCTCTCTTTCTTTGTTTCTTTGTTTCTTCCTTTCTTCCCTTCCTTCCTCCCCTTCCTTTCTTTCTCTCACTCTTTCTTCCTTCCTTCCCTCCCTCCCTCTTTCTTTCTCTTTCTTCTTTCTTCCTTCCTTCCTTCCTTTCCCTCCCTCCCACCCTCCCCTCCCCTTCCCTCCCTCCCTCCCTCCTCCCTCCCTCCCTCCCCCCCTCCCTCCCTCCCTCCCTCCCTTCCTTCCTTCCTTCCTTTCCTTCCTTCCTTCCTTCCTTCCTTCCTTCCCTTCCTTCCTTCCTTCCCTTCCCCCTTCGTTCCTAGTTCCTTCCTTCCTTCCTTCCTTCCTTCCTTCCTTCCTTCCTTCCTTCGTTCCTAGACAGAGCTCTTATTGCCCAGGCTGGAGTGCAGTGGTGTCATCTCGACTTGCCGCAACCTCTGCCTCCCAGGGTCAAGCGATTCTCCTGCCTCAGCCTCCCAAGTAGCTGGGATTACAGACACACGCCACCACACTCAATATTTATTTTTATTAAAAAAATAATTTTTACTTAGTTTTAAAAAATTGAAAATAATTTTGCATTTTTAGTAGAGACGGAGTTTCTCCATGTTAGTCAGGAGGCTGGTCTCAAACTCCCAACCTCAGGTGATCCTCTTGCCTTGGCCTCCCAAAGTGCTGGCATTACAGGCGTGAGCCACCGTGCCCAGCCTGGTTCCTGGTTTCTAAGACATCACACACACACACACACACACACACTCTCTCTCTCTCTCAGAGACAGGATCATTAAGACATGATACACTGAGATATTCTATCCTGCAGACAGTAAGAATCTGTTAAAAAGTTTGAAGGGAAGAATTGAGATCGTCAGTGTTTATTTGAGGAAATTGTCTGTGGTTGCGCCATCCTTTCCTTTCTCTCCCTGAGATTTGGTCTTCTTAATCAGAAGGGTTGCACAATTCCCCCAACTCCCATACATATGGCAGCTCTTCTAGACACAGGTTTTCTCAGGAGAAATGCAGGGACCCCAGCCATATCTCCCACCCTGAGAAATTCTGGAGGTTCAGGGAGCTCAGAAGCTCTGCAGAGGCCACCCTCTTTGAGGGGATTGTTCTTAGACTTCCATCCAGAGGCAAGTGTTGACCTGTCCATGCTGAAACCCACAGGCCTTCCTGGGTCATCTTCTCTCACCCACTCCTTCATGACAGGGAGCAGGAGCAGTAAAGCCACACCGGAAATGGATTCAGGACTGACAGGAGCCACCTTGTCACATAAGACATCTACAGGTGCAATCATAGTGACGGAACATACTCTGCCCTTTACTTCCCCAGCTAAGACCTTGGCCAGTCCTGCGTCTTCGGTTGTGGGAAGAACCACCCGGTCTCTGGGGGTGATGTCCTCTGCTCTCCCTGAGTCAACCTCTAGAGGAATTACACACTCCGAGCAAAGAACCAGCTCATCGCTGAGTCCCCAGGTCAATGGAACTCCCTCTAGGAACTCTCCGGCTACAAGCGTGGTTTCACGATTGAGTTCCCCAAGGACCAGGACCAGTTCCACAGAAGAAAATTTTACCAAAGAATCATCTACCTACACACTCGCTGTAGAGACCACAAGTGGCCCAGTCACTGAGAAGTACACAGTCCCCACTGAGACCTCAACAACCGAAGGTGACAGCACAGGGACCCCCTGGGGCACAAGATATATCCCTGCAAAAATCACATCTCCAATGAAAACATTTGCAGATTCAACTGCATCCAAGGAAAATGTCCCAGTGTCTACGACTCCAGCTGAGTCCACAGTTACTGACTCACATACTCCAGGAAGGACAACCCCATCCTTTGGGACAGTTTATTCTTCCTTCCTTGACTTATCGTCTAGAGAGACCCCAAATTCCAGAGGTGGAACAAGCCTGGAACTGACTCCATCAACCACTGGATATCCCTTCTCTTCTCCTGAACCTGGCTCCACAGGACACAGCAGAATAAGTACCAGTGCGTCTTTGTCATCATCTGCTTCAGTTCTCGATAATAAAATATCAGAGACCGGCATATTCTCAGGCCAGAGTATCACTTCCCCTCTGTCTCCTGGGGTGCCCGAGGCCAGAGTGAGCACAATGCCCAACTCAGCTATCCCTTTTTCCATGACACTAAGCAATGCAGACACAAGTGCTGAAAAGGTCAGAAGTACAATTTCCTCTCTGGGGACTCCATCTACATCCACAGAGCAGACAACAGAGACTATCCTTACCTTCCGTGCCTTTGCTGAGACCACGGATACACCTGGCACCCACACAGCCAAGACTTTGGCTTCAGAATGGTCAGGGAGTCCAGGTACCCTCAGTGGCACCAGCACTTCAGCGTTGACAACCACATCTCCATCTACCACTTCAGTCTCAGAGGAGACCAACACCCATCACTCCATGAGTAGAAAGGAAACAGAAGGAACTTTGAATACATCCATGACTCCACTTGAGACCTCTGCTCCTGGAGAAGAGACCGAAATGACTGCCACCTTGGTCCCCACCCCAGGTTTTACTACTCTTTACAGCAAGATTAGTAGTCCATCTCAGGTCTCTTCATCACACCCAACAAGAGAGCTCAGAACCGCAGGCAGCACCTCTGGGAGGCAGAGTTCCAGTATAGCTGCCCACAGGAGCTCTGACATCCTGAAGGCAACCACTTCCAGCACCTCAACAGCATCATCATGGACCAGTGAAAGCACAGCTCAGCAATTTAGTGAACCCCAGCACACACAGTGGGTGGAGACAAGTCCTAGCATGAAAACAGAGAGACCCCCAGCATCAACCAGTGTGGCAGCCCGTGCCACCACTTCTGTTCCCTCAGTGGTGTCTGGCTTCACCACCCTGAAGACCAGCTCCACTAAAGGGATTTGGCTTAAAGAAACATCTGCAGACACACTCATCGGAGAATCCACAACTGGCCCAACCACCTATCAGTTTGCTGTTCCCACTGGGATTTCAATGACAGGAGGCAGCATCACAAGGGGAAGGCAGGGCACAACCCACCCACTCAACAGAGCCACAGCATTATCTGAGACATCCACAGATTTGACTCTGGCCACGAACAGTGTCCCAATCTCCATGACTCCAGCAGTTAGCAAGATGGCTGCTGGCTCAAGTCCTCCAGGAGGGACAAATCCATCATATACAATGGTTTCTTCTGTCATCCCTGGGACGTCATCTCTAGAGTCCCCAGCTTCTAGGGAAGGAACCAACCTGGGACTGACTCCATTAAACACTAGACATCCCTCCTCTTCCCCTGAACCAGACTCTGCAGGACATACCAAGATAAGCACCAGCGTTCCTCTGTTGTCATCTGCTTCAGTTCTTGAGAATGAAGTGTCAGTGACCAGCACATTCTCACACCACAGAGTCACCTCATCTATGACCACAGGGACTCCTGAAATCTCAACAAAGACAAAGCCCAGCTCAGCCATTCTTTTCTCGATGACCCTAAGTAATGCAGCAACAAGCCCTGAAAGAGTCAGAAATGCAACTTCCCCTCTGACTTATCCATCTGCATCAGGGAAAGGGACAGCAGGGAGTGTCCTCACCCTCAGCACCTCTGCTGAGACTACAGACTCACCTAGCATCCACCCAACTGGGACACTGGCTTCAGAATGGTCAGAGAGTCCTAGCACTCTCAGCCTCCCAAGTGTCTCTGGAGTGAAAACCACATTGTCTTCATCTACTCCTTCCACTCATCTATTTACCGGTGGAGAAGAAACAGAGGAAACTTTGAATCCATCTGTGTCTCAACCTGAGACTTCTGTTTCCAGAGTAAGGATCACCTTGGCCAGCACCTCTGTCCCCACCCAAGTATTCCCCACCATGGACACCTGGACTACACGTTCAGCTCAGTTCTCTTCATCCCACCTAGTGAGTGAGCTCAGAGCCACGAGCGGTACCTCAGCTACAAACTCAACCAGTTCAGCTCTTCCTAAAATATCTCACCTCTCTGGGACAGCAGCAATGTCACAGACCAATACAGGCACGTTTAATGACTCTGCTGCACCCCAAAGCACAACTTGGCCAGAGACTAGTCCCAGATTCAAGACAGGGTTACCTTCAGCAACAACCACTGTTTCAACTTCTGCCACTTCTCTCTCTGCTACTGTAGTGGTCTCTAAATTCACTTCTCCAGCAACTGGTTCCACAGAAGCAACTTCTATCAGGGAACCATCAACAGCCATCCTCACAACAGAGACCACGAATGGCCCAGGCACTATGGCTATGGCTTCTACCAACATCCCAATTGGAAAGGGCTATATTACTGAAGGGACATTGGACACAACCCATCTGTCCATTGGAACCTCAACTTCCTCTGAGACATCTACAGATTTTACCATGGCCAAAGAAAGTGTCTCAATGTCAGTATCTCCATCTCAGTTCATGGATGCTGTTGGCTCAAGCACTCCAGGAAGGACAAGCCAATTGGTTGGCACATTTTCTGATGATGTCTATCATTTAACATCTGGAGAAATTCCATTGCCTAGAGGTGAAGCCAGTTTAGCTTTGACTCCACAAATGACTGCAACTCACCCTCCATCTCCTGAGCCTGGCTCTGCTAGAAGCACCTGGCTTGGCATCTTGTCCTCATCTTCTTCTCCTACTCCCAAAGTCACAATGAGCTCCACATTTTCAACCCAGAGAGTCACCACAAGCATGATAATGGACACAGTTGAAACTAGTGAATGGAACACACCCAACTTACCTTCCATGACTTCCTCGACACCAAGTAATATTCCAACAAGTGGTGCCGTAGAAAAAAGCACCCTGGTTCCCTTGGACACTCCATCTCCAGCCACATCAGTGGAGGCATCAGAAGGGGGACTCCCGAACCTGAGCACCTACCCTGAATCAGCAAACACACCCAGCATCCGCCTCGGAACACACGCTAGTTCAGAAAGTCCAAGCACCATCAACCTCACCATGACTTCAGTAGTAAAAACTGACTCTTACACACCTCTCGCCTTCCCCTCAATAGAAACCCACATTCATGTATCAACAGCCAGGATGGAGACAAATGAAATTGCTTACTCTTCTGGGTCTTCACCTGAGATGACAGCTCCTGGAGAGACTAACACTGGTAGTACATGGGCCCCCACCACCTACATCACCACTACAGATCCTAAGGATACCAGTTCAGCTCAGGTCTCTACACCCCACTCAGTGAGGACACTCAGAACCACAGAAAACCATCCAAAGACAGAGTCCACCACCCCAGCTGCTTACTCTGGAAGTCCTAAAATCTCAAGTTCACCCGATCTCACCAGTCTGATCACAAAAGCATGGACCATCACAGACACAACTGAACACTCCACTCAATTACATTACACAAATTTGGCAGAAAAACCATCTGGATTTGAGACACAGTCAACTCCAGGACCTGTCTCTGTAGTAATCCCTACCTCCCCTACCACTGGAAGCAGCACATTGGAACTGACTTCTGATGTCCCAGGGGAACCCATGGTCCTCACTAACAGTGAGCAGACCACAATCACTCTCCCCATGGCAACATGGCTGAGTACCAGTTTGACAGAGGAAATGCCTTCAACAGACCTTGATATTTCAAGTCCAAGTTCACTCATGAGTACATCTGCTATTTTTCCACCTCTGTCCACACCTTCTCATGAACTTTCAAAGTCAGAGGCAGATACCAGTGCCATTGGAAATACAGATTCAACCACATGGGATCAGCACCTAGGAATCAAGAGTTTGGGCGCAACTGGGGACTTAACAACTGTTCCTATCACCCCACTGTCAACCACGTGGACCAGTGTGATTGAACACTCAACACAAGCACAGGACACCCATTCTGCAATGATAAGTCCTACTCATGTGACACAATCACTCAAAGATCAAACATCTTTACCAGTCTCAGCATCCCCTCCCCATCTTACTGAAGTCTACCCTGAGCTCGGGACACAAGGGAGAAGCTCCTCTGAGGCAACCACTTTTTGGAAACCATCTACAGACACACTCTCCAGAGAGATTGAGACTGGCCCAACAAATGTTCAATCCACACCACCCATGGACAGCACAACAACAGGGAGCAGTAGTAGTGGAGTCATCCTGGGCACAGCCCACCTTCCCATAGGAACATCATCCCCAGCTGAGACATCCACAAACATAGCACTGGAAAGAGGAAGTTCTACAGCCACGGTCTCCATGGCTGGGACTGTGGGACTCCTAGTTACTAGTGCTCCAGGAAGAAGCATCAACCAGTCATTAGGAAGAGTTTCCTCTGTCCTTTCTGAGTCAACTACTGAAGGAGTCACAGATTCTAGTAAAGGAAGCAGTCCAAGGCTGAACACACAGGGAAATACAGCTCCCTCCTCCTCTCTTGAACCCAGCTCTGCTGAAGGAAGCCAGATGAGCATGAGCATCCCTCTACCCTCATCTCCTCCAACTCCTGATGTGAAATTCAAAGGGGGCAGTACATTTTGGACCAAGGAGGTCACCACAGTTATGACCTCAGACATCTCCAAGTCTTCATCAAGGACAGAGTCCAGCTCAGCTACCCTTATGTCCACAGCTTTGGGAAGCACTGAAAATACAAAAAAACTCAGAACTGCCTCTATGGATCTTCCATCTCCAGCTCCATCAATGGAGGTGACACCATGGAGTTCTCTCACTCTCAGTAACATCCCCAAGACCACAGATTCACCTGACCTCAGCCATGGGGTGCACACCAGCTCTACAGGGACTTTGGCCACTGACAGGCCATTGAATACTGGTGTCACTAGAGCCTTCAGATTGGAAAACAGCTCCAGTACCTCTTCTGAGTCCCTGTCTGTGGGAACCAGCACTCGCACATCCATGATTTACACAGAGAAGAGTGAAGTGCCTTCTTCAATACATCCCCAACCTGAGACCTCAGCTCCTGAAGCAGAGACCACTTTGACTTCCACTCCTGGAAACAAGGCCACAAGCTTAACATTGCCTTTTTCATCCATTCCAGTGGAGGAAGTCATTTTTACAGGCATAACCTCAGGACTAGACATCAGCTCAGCACCCATGACACATTCTCCCATCACCCCACCAACAATTGCATGGACCAGTACAGGCACAATTGAACAGTTCACTCAACCACTACATGCAGTTTCTTCAGAAAACGTTTCTGGGCAGACACAGTCAACTCCATATGTCAATGCTGTGGCAGTGTCTGCTTCCCCTACCCATGAGAACTCAGTCTCTTCTGGAAGCAGCACGTCCATTCCATATTCCTTAGCCTCACTTGAATCCTTGGATTCCACAATCAGTACTAGTTTATCTGAGGCATTGTCCTCAGCTCATTCTGGGGTTTCAAACCCAAGTTCAACTACGACTGAATTTCCACTCTTTTCAGCTGCATCCACATCTGCTGCTAAGCAAACAAATCCAGAAACAGAGACCTATGGCCCCAAGAATACAGCCCCGAGTACTTTGAACACTGATGCATCCTCAGGCACAGGTCTTTCTGAGACTCCTGTGGGGGCAACTATCAGCTCTGAAGTCCTTCTTCCAATGACCGTAACTTCCAGATCAGATGTTTCTGGCCTTACGTCTGAGAGTACTGCTAACCTGAGTTTAGGCACAGCCTCTTCAGGAGGGACCAAATTAACTAGGACAATATCCCTGCCCACTTCAGAGTCTTTGGTTTCCTTTAGAATGAACAAGGATCCACGGACAGTGTCAATCCCTTTGGGGTCCCATCCAACTATTAATACAGAAACAAGCTTCCCAGTAAACAGTGCAGGTTCACCTGGCTTGTCCACAGTAGCATCAGATGTAATTGACACACCTTCAGATGGGGCTGAAAGTATTCCCACTGTCTCCTTTCCCCTCTCCCCTGATAATGAAGTGACAACTATCTCACATTTCCCAGAAAAGACAACTCATTCATTTAGAACCATTTCATCTCTCACTCCTGAGTTGACTTCAAGAGTGACACCTACTCCTGGGGATTGGACCGGTTCAGCTATGTCCACAAAGCCCGCAGAAGCCAGTTCTTCCATTACACTGGGAGAGAGAATGACAATCACCTCTGCTGCTCCAACCACTTCCCCCATAGTTCTCACTGTTAGTTTCGCAGAGACCAGCACAGTTTCACTGGATAATGAAACTACAGTAAAAATCTCAGATATCCTTGAGGCACGGACAACAAATGAACTCCCCTCAGATAGCAGTTCTTCTTCTGATCTGATCAACACCTCCATAGCTTCTTCAACTATGGATGTCACTAAAACAGCCTCTATCAGTCCCACTAGCATCTCAGGAAGGACAGCAAGTTCCTCTCCATCTCTCTTCTCTTCAGATAGATCCGAGGTTCCCACATCTACAATAGAGACAAATACAGCCACCTCTCCATCTGTTTCCAGTAACACCTATTCTCTTGATAGAGGCTCCAATGTGGGTGGCACGCCATCCACTTTACCACCCTTTACAATCACCCACCCTGTCAAGACAAGCTCGGCCCTGTTAACCTCGTCTAGACCAGTAGGAACTTTCAGCACCATGGTCAGCACTGACACTGCCGCCGGAGAAAATCCTACCTCTAGCAATTCTGTGGTGACTTCTGTTCCAGCACCAGGTATATGGACCAGTGTAGACAGCACTACTGACTTACCTGCCATGGGCTCTCTCAAGACAAGTCCTGCAGGAGAGACACACTCACTTCCAGCATCAACTATTGAACCAGCCACTGCCTTCACTCCCCATCTCTCAGCGACAGTGGTCACTGGATCCAGTGCTACATCAGAAGCCAGTCTTCTCACTATGACTGAAAGCAAAACCATTCATTCTTCATCACAGACCCCAACTACAACCACCTCTGGAGCAAGCTGGGAAACTTCAGCTACTCCTGAGAGCCTTTTGGCCGTCACTGAGACTTCAGACACAACACTCACTTCAAAGATTTCAGTGACAGATACCATCTTGTTTTCAACTGTATCCACACCACCTTCTAAACTTCCAAGTACAGGGACTGTCTCTGGAGCCTCCTCCCCTACTTTACTCCCGGCCACTCCAGCCATCCCACTCACCACCACTGAGCCAACAAGTTCATTAGCTACATCCTTTGATTCTACCCCACTGGTGACTATAGATTTGGATATACTTGGCACAGTCCCAGAGACTACCCTGACCATGTCAGAGACCTCAAATGGGGATGCACTGGTTCTTAAGACAGTAAGTAACCCAGATAGGAGCATCCCTGGAATCACTATCCAAGGGGTAGCAGAAAGTCCACTCCATCCTTCTTCCACTTCCCCCTCTAAGATTGTTGCTCCACAGAACACAACCTATGAAGGTTTGACCATCATGGCACTTTCTACTTTGCCTGCAGGAACTACCGGTTCCCTTGCATTCGGTCAGAGTTCTGACACCTCAGAGACAACAGCTTTGGTGAACTCATCAGCTGGGCTTGAGAGGGCATCTGTGATGTCACTAACCACAGGAAGCCAGGGTTTGGCCAGCTCTGGAGGAGTCAGAAGTGGGTCCACTCACTCAACTGGAGCCAACACATTTTCTTCTCTCCCTCTGACCATGAACCCAGGTGAGGTTACAGCCATGTCTGAAATCACCATGAACAGACTGACAGCTACTCAATCAACAGCGCCCAAAGGGATACCTGTGAAGCCAACCAGTGCTGAGTCAGGGCTCCTAACACCTGTCGCTGCCTCCTCAAGCCCATCAAAGGCCTTTTCATCACTGACTACAGCTCCCACAACTTGGAGGATCCCACAGTCCACCTTGACCTTTGAGTTTTTTGAGGTCCCAAGTTTGGATACTAAGTCTGCTTCTTTACCAACTTCTGAACAGTCCCTGAACACCATTCCAGACTCAGATGCAAGCACAGCATCTTCCTCACTGTCCAAGTCTCCAGAAAAAAACACAAGGACAGGGATGATGACTTCCACAAAGGCCATAAGTGCAAGCTCAGTTCAATCAACAGGTTTTACTGAAATCCCTGAGGAATCTGCCTCCCCTTCTATGGCAGGACATGAACCCAGAGTTCCCACTCCAGGAACAGGGGACCTTATATATGCCTCAGAGAGCATGTCTTATCCAGACCCAAGCAAGGCATCATCATCTATGACATCAACCCCTCTTGCATCAAAACTCACAACTCTCTTCAGCACAGGTCAAGCAGCAAGGTCTGGTTCTAGTTCCCCTCCCATAAGCCTATCCACTGAGAAGGAAACCAGCTTTCTTTCCCCCACTGCATCCACCTCCAGAAAGACTTCACTCTTTCTTGGGCCCTCTGTGGCAAGACAGCCCAACACATTGGTGGATCTTCAGACTTCAGCTCTGACACTTTCTCCAACATCCACTCTAAATATGTCCCAGGAGGAGCCTCCTGAGATAACCTCAAGCCAGACCACTACAGAAGAAGAGAGAACAACAGCTGAAACACAGACATTAACCTTCACACCATCTGAGACCCTGACATCCTTGTTACCTGTCTCTTCTCCCACAGAACCCACAGCCGGAAGAAAAGGTTCTCCAGAAACATGGGCAAGCTCTATTTCAGTTCCCGCCAAGACCTCCTTGGTTGAAAGTAAGAATGCCCTGCTCTTTCCCCAAGTGTGCTGGGGATGAATCTGGAAATAAACTACATCTTTTTAAATTTTTTTAACTTTTATATTTGAAAATATAAATATTTTAGGTTCAGGGAACGTGTGCAGGTTTGTTATATAGGTAAATTGCATGTCGTGGGGGCTTGGGGTACAGATTACATCATCAGTCAGGTAATAAGCCTAGTACCTGATTGGTAGATTTTTTTTTTTTTTAATCCTCTCCTTCCTCCCAGTCTCCACCCTCAAGTACACATGTCTCCATGTGTACTCAAGGTTTAGTTCCCACTTATAAGTGAGAACATGCGGTATTTGTAAACTACATCTTTATTTTTGCTAACCTTGAACTGAAATTTAGCATTTGTTTTATTGATGAGTAGAGGTAACAAAACAAACCACATTAATCCTAGCAGTGCCTGTGCCTTTGCCCACAGCAGAAATTCCAGACACTTTCGTATCCTATGACGGTTGTTGCAAGTACTTTTAAATATCATGGATGACTTTATTCATAATTATGGTGATTATTAGGCTTTTCAATGTATCTTACTTAACGAGTTAGTAAAAGAAGTGCCTGTATTATTATATTACATTTGTTTATTAAGATTTTGATAACATTTCAATATAATCATTTCCTTCATTTTCTAAATTTTAGATTCAGGGGTATATATGCAGGTTTGTTACGTGGATAGACTGCATAATGGTGAGGTTTGGCTTCCAGTGAATCCATCGTCCAAATAGTGAATGTTGTCCCAAGAAGTAGTTTTTCAATCCTCACTTCACTCTCAGCCTCCTCTATTTTGGACTCCCAGTGTCTATTATTTCTTTTTTTTTTTTTTTTTTTTGAGACGGAGTCTCGCTCTGTCGCCCAGGCTGGAGTGCAGTGGTGCAATCTCGGCTCACTGCAAGCTCCGCCTCCCGGGTTCACGCCATTCTCCTACCTCAGCCTCCCGAGTAGCTGGGACTACAGGCGCCCGCCACTGCGCCCGGCTAATTTTTTTCTATTTTTCAGTAGAGACGGGGTTTCACCATGGTCTCGATCTCCTGACCTTGTGATCCGCCCGCCTCGGCCTCCCAAAGTGCTGGGATTCAGTGTCTATTATTTCTATCTTTATATCCACATGTACCCATTATTTAGCTCCCACTTATAAATGATAATGTGCAGCATTTAATTTTCTGTTTTTGAGTTATTTTGCTTAGATTGATGGCCTTCAGCTCCATCCATGTTGCTTTAAAGAACATGATTTCATTCTTTTTCGTGGCTGCGTAGTACTCCAAGGTGTATGTGTACCAGATTTTCTTTATCCACAATGATTTCGTTTGTAATAGAATATTTTATATTGTTATTTTATGTTTTATTCTACATTTTTATTATAATTTATAAAGGAATTCATATAGTTCACAAGCCTGTCAAAGGGACCTATAATAAAAAGAGGTTAAGAATCTATGCTCTAAACAGAATGTTACTCCATTTTATTTCATTTATTTTTAAAGAGACAGTCTCACTCTCTCATCCAGGCTGGAGTGCAGTGGAGGGATCATAGCTCACTGGAACCCTGAACTCTTGGGCACAAGCAATTCTCCTACTTCATCCTCCAGAGGAGCTGGGACTACAGGTGCACGTCACCATGCCCAGCTAATTTTAAAAATTATTTTGTGGAGATGATGTCTCACTATCCTACCCAGGCTGGTCTCAAACTCCTGGGCTCAGGCGATCCTCCCACTTTGACCTCCCAAAGTGTTGAGATTACAGGGGCGAGCCACTGTGCCTGGCCACTTGTCACGTTTTAATTTGTGATTACTTATAAAATGAACCCCTTCCCATCTGAGATCTGTCAGTTTTTCTCGTGATGGTGCCTAATGTCTGCTTTCTACCATGTCCAGTTAGACTGGGGTTTGATGGGAGGTCACCTGGGCAGCTGTCCAGCTCACTCACTGGGCTCTGGAGCCTCTGAGTTAAAGCAAAATAGAAAGATCAGTCAATGTAAAGAAAGTACAAAAACTGACCTACTGAAGTAATGGATAGCTCAACCTTCCTATTGCCCTTTTCTTTCAGCAACTGATGGAATGCTAGTGCCCACTACAAAGATGTCAAGTCAGGCAGCACAAGGAAATTCCACATGGCCAGCCCCAGTAGAGAAGACAGGGACCAGTCCAGCAGGTACATATAGATCTTGTTTCCGTTTCTGCTCTGCTAATGTCACCCAAGCCTTTTTTTCTTTTCTTTTCTTTTCTTCTCTCTTTCTCTCTTTCCCTTCCTTCCTTCCTTCCTTCCTTCCTTCCTTCCTTCCTTCCTTTCTTTCTTTCTTTTTTTCTTTCTTTCTTTCTCTTTCTTTCTTTCTTTCTTTCTCTTTTGAAATTTTAATTTTTTATTTTATTTTTTTTCACTCAAGCCTTAAGGCCAGTTTGGGCCACATAGTGACATCCCATCTCTACAAAAAAAAAATTAATAAAAAACGATAAGTTGGGCATCGTGTAGGCCTGTAGTCCCAGCTACTCAAGAGGCTAAGGTGGGAGGATAGCTTGCTGCTAACTAAAAGTGCTACTTATTGATTCTGGGAAGAAAAAATATACAAGGCTTCAGTTTCATTATTTTATAAGTGAATACTAGCAACTTTTCTTTTCCTTTCTTTCTTTCTCTCTTTTTCTCCTCTCCTCTTCTTTTCTTTCTCTCTCCTCTCCTTCTCTTCTGTCTCCTTTCTTTTCTTGTCTTTTCTTTCTTCTTTTGTCTTTTATTTTTGAGACAGGGTTTCATTCTGTCACCCAGGCTGGAGTACAGTGGTGTGTACTCACTGCAGTACTCACTGTACTCACTGCAGCCTCAAATTCCTGGACTCAAGTTATCTTCTCACCTCAGCCTCCTGAGTAGCTGGGCAGCTGTCCAGCTCACTCACTGGGCTCTAGAACCTCTGCACTATGCCCAGTTTGCTGGGGTTTTTTTGAAAAATTTTTTTTTGTTGTAGAGATGGGGGTCTCACTATGTGACCCAAGCTGGTCTTAAACTCCTGGCTCCAAGAGTTCCTCCCACCTCAGCCTCCTAAAGTGCAGGGATTATAGGTGTGAGCCACTGTGCTCAGCCTAGACAGCAATTTTTTTTTAAAAACAGGGTCTCCCGGTTTGCCCAGGCTGGAGTGCAATGACGTGATCATGGCTCACTGCAGCCTCAGCCTCCCCAGTCTCAAGCAATCCTCCAACTTCAGCCTCCCCTAGCAGTTAGAACTACAGGTGATCATTACCAATTAGCCTGGTTAATTGTGTGTGTCTTTCTTAATTTTTTTGTAGAGATAGTTCTCACTATATTGCTTGGGCTGGTCTCAAACTCCTGGGCTCAAGTGATTCGCCCACCTCGGCCTCCCTAAACACTGGGATTACAGGCTTGAGCCACCACACCCGGCAAGGACTAGGTTTTAAAATAGGTTCCTAGGCTGGGTGCGGTGGCTTATGCTTGTAATCCCAGCACTTAGGGAGGCCGAGGTGGGCAGATCACGAGGTCAGGAGTTCGAGACCAGCCTGGACAACATAGTGAAACCCCATCTCTACTAAAAATACAAAAAATTAGCTGGGTATAGTGGCACATACCTGTAATCCCAACTATTCGGGAGGCTGAGACAGGAGAATCGCTTGAACCCAGGAGGCAGAGGTTGCACTGAGCCGAGATCATGACATTGCACTCTAGCCTGGATGACAGTGCAAGACTCCATCTGAAAAAAAAAAAAAAAAAAGGTTCCTTTGACTTCTTGACACTCTTCTCTGAGGATATTGGTCATTTTTCCCCGTAGATGTTACTAACTGAACACTTCTGTTGCTTCAACTTACTAATTTACATGATCAATAGCCAATTAATTCAGCAGGAGAGAATGCTACAGAGTCAATTCTCTCTGTACTTTCTTCTGCTCCAGAGTGAAGGATCTTTCTAAATCAGAGACCATCACTGTGTTCACAGGAAGGGCACAGGTGAACTTGAGATGGCAAATGCTGCCTTTGTTACTACAGAAGAAGGGATTATGGATTGAAGTCCTCCGCAGTGCCAAGTTGCTTAGAAAAATGTGCAAAAGGGTCCCTAGGAGTGCTCTTGGGATATCACATTTTTCTCACTCCTGTAGCAGGTAGATGTTATTTTCCTGAAGGACAGGGAAAGGATTCAGAGGAACAGATGAATTTGAAAGAAAATGAAAGTGAAGAGAAAGAATGAGCTCATCTCCCTTATCCTCTTTCTTCTAAAATCCTTAAGTAGCTTTGCAGTGAACTAAGATTTGGGGGAACCTGGAGGAGGCTGAAAGTTGTAAGCTGACACTGGTTTAGCAAGGGCGAGCTCCAAAGACAAAAGTGGAAATAGTTTAGGGGTAGCCCCTTGCATGAGTGAAGCCCTGGTTCATCACATCCTCCCTTACACAGAGAGCCCTTTTATATGGGGCATGGGGAAAAACTGAGCTAAAGGTGACAATTTCTCATGAGCAAGCCAGATGGTCAAACCTCTAACCTCACCATCTCCCTTGAAATGTATAATGTGTTCCCTGGTGTCCAGAGGCTTAAAGTGTGAGAATTAAAAGCTCAACATTTTCTTTCCCAGGGAAGGAGGAAATAGTTTTAATTGAAATCCCAGGAGGAAATGAATGATAGTGTCAAACAAAAAAACCTCATCTTCTGTACCACTTGCATATACTCTACTGACTTACTTTCTAATCACAGGTGCATCCCCAGGAAGCCCAGAAATGTCTACAGCTCTCAAAATCATGAGCTCCAAGAAACCCAGCATCAGCCCAGAGATCAGGTCCACTGTGAGAATTTCTCCTTGGAAGACTCCAGAAACAACAGTTCCCATGGAGACCACTGTGGAACCAGTCACCCTTCAGTCCACAGCCCTAGGAAGTGGCAGCACCAGCCTCTCTCACCTGCCCACAGGAGCCACATCACCAACCAAGTCACCAGCAGAAAATATGGTGGCTACAGAAAGGGTCTTCCTCTCCCCATCCCCACCTGAGGCTTGGACCAATCTTTATTCTGGAACTCCAGGAGGGACCAGGCAGCCACTGGCCACAACGCTCTCTGTCTCCTTAGAGTCACCAGCTGCCAGAAGCACGACAAGGACTGGTCAGCAAAGCAGTCCAGAACTGATTTCGAAGACAACTGGAATGGAATCCTCTATGTGGCATGGCTCTACTGGAGGGGCCACAGTAGACACACATGTCTCTCTGAGCACATCTCCCAATATCCTTGAAGACCCTGTAACCAGCCCAAACTCTGTGAGCTCAGTCACAAATAAATCCAAACATAAAACCGAGACATGGGCCAGCACCACAGCCATTCCCTCCACGATCCTGAATCACAAGACAGTGGCAGCTGAAGAACAGACAAGTCGATCTGTGGATGAGGCTTTTTCATCAACTAGCTCATGGTCAGATCAGACATCTGGGAGTGACATCACCCTTGGTGCATCTCCTGATGTCACAAAGACATTATACATCACCTCCACAGCACAAACCACCTCACTAGCATCTCTGCCCTCTAGAGACCAAAGCATTACCAGTCTCACCAGTCCCTCAGGAGGAAAAAGAAGCTCTGCATCATCTGTCACATCCCCTGTGGAAGTGAGCATCGTGAATGTAACCACAGCTCCTACTCCAGGTATCTCCACCACCATCACCACCACGGGAACCAACTCAATCGTGACTACCACACCCAGCCCTGAAGTGGGTGTGAGTACCATGGACAGCACCCCGGACACAGAGAGGCACACATCGTCTACAGAGCACCCTCCCACCTGGTCCTCCACAGTTGCATCAGATTCCTGGACTGCCACAGACATGGCTTCAAACTTGAAAGTCGCAAGTTCTCCTGAAACAATTTCTACAATGCATACAACTTCATTCTTAGCCTCAAGCACTGAATTGGACTCCATGTCTACTCCCCATGGCCTTATAACTGTCATTGGAACCAGCCTGGTCACTCCATCCTCTGATGCTTCAGCTGTAAAGACAGAGACCAGTACCAGTGAAAGAACATTGAGTCCTTCGGACACAACTGCATCTACTCCCATCTCAACTTTCTCTCATGTCCAGAGGATGAGCATCTCAGTTCCTGACATTTTAAGTACAAGTTGGACTCCCAGTAATACAGAAACAGAAGATGTGCCTGTTTCAATGGTTTCTACAGATCATGCTAGTACAACGACTGACTCAAATATGCCGCTGTCCACTTTTCTGTTTGATTCTCGGTCCACTCTTGACTGGGACCCTGGGAAATCTGTGTCACCAGCCACAGCCACTACCTCAGCTCCTCACGGGGCCACAACTCCTCAAGAACTCATTTTGGAGACCATCATCAGCTCAGCTACCTCGCAGCTGCCCTTCTCTATAGGGGACGTTACAAGTGTAGTCACACCAGCTGCAATGGTAAGGAGCTCTGGAGTTACTTTTTCAAGACCAGATCTGACAAGCAAAAAGGCAGAGCAGACTTCTACTCAACTTCCTACCACAATTTCTGCACATCCAGGGCAGGTGCCCAGATCCGCAGCAACAACTCTGGATGTGATCCCACACACAGCACAAACTCCAGATCCAACTCTTCAGAGACAAGGGCAGAGGGCTCTTACAACAGAGGCAAGAGCTACATCTGACTCCTTGAATGAGAAAGAAAAATCAACCTCAAGTGCACTTTGGATCACTGAGATGATGAATTCTGTCTCACAGGAGACCGTCAAGGAGGTTACCAGCTCCTCCAGTGTATTAAGGAGCCTGAATACACTGGACATAAGCTTGGAATCTGCGACGACTTCATCCCCAAGTTGGGAAAGCAGCCCGTATGAGAGAATTGCCCCTTCTGAGTCCACCACAGACAAAGAGGCAATTCACCCTTCTACAAACACAGTAGAGACAACAGCATGGGTCACAAGTTCCGAACATGCTTCTCATTCTACTGTCTCAGCTCACTCAGAGTCATCCAAACTCACATCTCCAGTGGTTACTGCCTCCACCAGGGACCAAGCAATAGTTTCTGCATCAGCAACCACAGGGCCAGAGTCTACAAGGACTGGAACAGAGCCTCATTCCTCCTTGACTACTGAACTGAGGGATTTCAGCCCTTACATGGACCCCAGCGCAACCACACAAACAAGTATTATCTCTTCCCCAGGTTCCACTGCGACCACCAAGGGGCCTAGAACAGAAATTACCTCCTCTAAGAGAATATCCAGCTCATTCCTTGCCCACTCTGTGAGGTCATCAGACAGCCCCTCAGAAACCATCACCAGGCTGTCTAACTTCCCTGCCACGACAGAATCTGGAGGAATGACCCTCACTATGCAAACAAGTCCACCTGGTGCTACATCACTAAGTGCACCTACTTTGGATACATCAGCCACAGCCTCCTGGACAGGGACTCCACTGGCTATGACTCAGAGATTTACATACTCAGAGAAGACCACTCTCTTTAGCAAAGGTCCTGAGGATACATCACAACCAAGCCCTCCCTCTGTAGAAGAAACCAGCTCTTCCTCTTCCCTGGTACCTATCCATGCCACAACCTCACCTTCCAATATTTTGTTGACATCACAAGGACACAGTCCCTCCTCTCCTCCACCTGTGACCTCAGTTTTCTGGTCTGAGACCTCTGGCCTGGGGAAGACCACAGACATGTCGAGGATAAGCTTGGAACCTGGCACCAGTCTACCTCCCAATTTGAGCAGTACAGCAGGTGAGGTGTTATCGACTTATGAAGCTTCCAGAGATCCAAAGGCAATTCACCATTCTGCAAACACAGCAGTGACGACTATGGAGGCAACTAGTTCTGAACATTCTCCTGTCCCAGTCCATACAAAGCCATCCAAAGCCACATCTCCATTGGTTACCTCCCACATCATGGGGGACATCACTGCTTCCACATCAGTGTTTGGCTCCTCCGAGACCACAAAGATTGAGACAGTGTCCTCTGTGAACCCAGGACTTCAGGAGAGAAGCACATCCCATGTGGCCAGCTCTGCTACAGAGACAAGCACTGTCATTACCCATGTGTCTAGTGGTGATGCTACTACTCATGTCACCAAGACACAAGCCACTATCTCTAGCAGAACATCCATCCCAAGCCCTCATCACTTCAAAACTTCTACCAATGCATTTACAAATGTGAGCACCAACCCTTCTACCTCTCTGATAATGGCAGAATCTTCAGGAGTGACCATCACCACCCAGACAGGTCCTACTGGAGCTACAATACAGGGTCCATATCTCTTGGACACATCAAGCATGCCTTACTTGACAGAGACTCCATTGACTTTGACTCCAGATTTTATGCAATCACAGAAGACCACTCTCATGAGCAAAGGTCCCAAGGATGTGTCACGGACAAGCCCTCCCTCTGTGGCAGAAACCAGCTCTCCCTCTTCCCTGACACCTATCTTGGTCACAACCTCACCTCCTGCCACTTACACATTACGAGGGCGAAGTACATCCTCTCCTGTTTCTGTGACTTCAGTTCTCACCTCTGGACCGGTGAAGACCACAGATACGTTGAACACAAGCATGAAACCTGTGACCAATTCACCTCCAAGTTTGAACAACACACCAAATGAGATGCTGGCCACTTTGGAAGCCACCACAGACATAGAGACAATTCATCCTTCCATAAACAAAGCAGTGACCAATATGGGGACCATCAGTTCAGCACATGAACTGCATTCCACTCTCCTAGTCAGCTCAGAACCATCCACAGCCACATCTCCAATGGTTCCTGCCTCTGCTACGGGGGACGCTCTTGCTTCCACATCAACACCTCATTCTGAGACCACAGACACTGAGGGAGAGCCAACATCCTCCCTGACTGCTGAACAGAAAGAGAACAGCACCCTTCAGGAGATGAACTCAACTACAGAGTCAAACATCATCCTCTCCAGTATGTCTGTGGGGACTGCTGCTGAACCCTCCAAAGTGGAAGTCCCCTCTTTTGATGCAACATTCATACCAACTCCTGCTCAGTCAACAAAGTTCCCAGATATTTTCTCGGTATCCGGCAGTAGACTTTCAAACTCTCCTCCCATGACAATATCTGCCCACATGACCACCACCCAGACAGGGTCTTCTGGAGCTACATCAAAGATTCCACTTGCCTTAGACACATCAACGTTGGAAACCTCAGCAGGGACTCCATCAGTGGTGACTGAGGGGTTTGCCCCCTCAAAAATAACCACTGCCATGCACAATGATGCCAAGGATGTGTCACAGACAAGCGCTCTCTTTGAGGAGGAAGCCAGCTCTCCCTTTTCTCAGGCACCTGTCCTTGTCACAAACTTACCTTCTCCTGTTTCTTTCACGTTGCAATGGCACGGTACCTCCTCTCCTGTTTCTGTGTCCTCAGTTCCTACTTCTTCACTGGTAAAGATCACAGGCAAGGTGGATACAAGCTTAGAAACGGTGACCAGTTCACCTCAAAGTATGAGCAACACTTTGGATGACATATTGGCCACTTCAGCAGCCACCACAGATATACAGACAACACACCCTTCCATAAACACAGCAGTGACCAATGTGGGGACCACTAGTTCAGCATTTGAATCACATTCTACTGTCTCAGCTGACCCAGAGCCATCTAAAGTCACATCTCCAAATGTCACCACTTCCACCATGGAAGACACCACAATTTCCAGATCAATACCTAGATCCTCTAAGACTACAAGAATTGAGACTGAGACAACTTCCTCCCTGACTCCTAAACTGAGGGAGACCAGCATCTCCCAGGAGATCACCTCATCCATGGAGACAAGCACTGTTCCTTACAAAGAGCTTACAAACATTAAGAGAGACACAACATACTTCTTGACTCCTAGACTGAGGGAGACCAGTACCTCTCAGGAGTCCAGCTTTTCCACAGACATGAGTTTTCTACTTTCCAAAGTCCCCACTGGCACTATTACTGAGGTCTCCAGTACAGAGGTCATCTCTTCTAGCAAAATTTCCACCCCAGACCATGATAAGTCTACAATGCCACCTGACACTTTTACAGGAGAGATCTCCAGGGTCTTCACCTCCTCTATTAAGACAAAATCTGCAGAGATGACCATCACCACCCCAGCAAGTCCTCCTGGGTCTGCATCACATGGTACCCTTCCCTTGGACACATTAACCACACTTTCCCAGGGAGGGACTCATTCAACTGTGACTCAGGGATTCCCACACTCAGAGGTGACCACTCTCATGAGCATGGGTCCTGAGAATGTGTCATGGATGACAACTCCCCCTATGGAAAAAACCAGCTTTGCGTCTTCCCTGATGTCTTCACCTGCTACGATATCCCCTTCTCCTGTTTCCTCCATATCACCAGAGAGCATCCCCTCCTCTCCTCTTCCTGTAACTGCACTTCCTACTTCTGTTCTGGTGATAACCACAAGTGGGTTGGGCACTACAAGCCCAGAATCTGTAACCAGTTCACCTCCAAATTTGAGCAGCAGCACTCATGAGAGACTGACCACTTACAAAGACACTGCACACACAGAAGCCGCCACACATCCTTCCACAAACACCGCAGTGACCAATGTAGGGACTTCCGGGTCTGGACATGAATCACAATCCTCTACCTTAGTTGACTCAGAGACATCGAAAGCCACACATCTGATGAGTACTACTTCCACCATGGGGGACACTAGTGTTTCCATATCGACTCCTGATATCTCTCAAACTAGCCAAATTCAAACAGAGTCAATGGCATCCCTGACCCCTAGACCGAGGGAGAGCAGCACGTCTGAGAAGATCAGCTCAGTGACAGAGACAAATAGTGCCATTTCTTATGTGCCCGCGGGTGCTACTGCTCAGGTCTCCAGGACAGAAGTCATCTCCTCTAGCAGAACATCCATCTCAGACCTTGATCAGTCCACAATGACACCCAGCATCTCCACAGGAATGATCCCCAGGCTCTTCACCTCCCCTATCATGACAAAATCTGCAGAAATGACCATCACCACTCAACCAACTACTCCTAGGGCTACATCACATGGTACTATTCCCTTGGACACATCAACCACACTCTTCCAGGGAGGGACTCATTCAACTGTGTCTCAGGGATTCCCACACTCAGAGATAACCACTCTTAGGAGCAGAACTCCTGAAGATGTGTCATGGATGACAACTCCCTCTGTAGAAGAAACCAGCTCTGAGTCCTCCTTGATGTCTTCACCTGCCATGACATCCCCTTCTCCTGTTTCCTCCACATTATCAGAGAGCATCCCCTCCTCTCCTCTTCCTGTGACTGCACTTCTTACTTCTGTTCTGGTGACAGCCACAGATGTGTTGGACATGACAAGCCCAGAGCCTGTAACCAGTTCACCTCCAAATTTAAGTAGCACCACACATGAGAGACTAATCGCTTACAAAGACACTGCACACACAGAAGTCATGCATCCTTCCACAAACACCGCAGTGGCCAACGTGGGAACCTCCATTTCTGGACATGAATCACAACCTTCTGTCCTAGCTGACTCAAACACATCCAAAGCCACATCTCCAATGGGTACCACCGTGAAGGTTTCTGCATCAACTCCTACCTTCTTTGAGACTAGAATTCAGACTGAATCAGCATCCTCTTTGACTCCTGGATTAAAGGACACCAGCACGTCTGAGGAGATCAACACTGTGACAGAGACAAGCACTGTCCTTTCAGAAATGCCCCCTGCTACTACTACTGAGGTCTCCAGGACAGAAGTTATCACCTCTAGCAGAACATCCATCTCAGGGCCTGATCATTCCAAAATGTCACCCTACATCTCCACAGAAACCATCACCAGGCTCTCCACTTCTCCTGTTGTAACAGGATCCACAGAAATGACCATCACCAACCAAACGGGTCCTATAGGGACTACCTCACTGGCTACCCTTACCCTGGACACATCAAGCACAACTTCCTGGGAAGGGACGCGCCCACCTGTGACTCAGAGATTTCCACACTCAGAGGATACCACTACTAGGAGCAGAGGTACTAAAGATGTGTCATGGCGAAGCTCTCCCTCTGTGGAAGAAACCAGTTCTTCTTCTTCCCTGGTGCCTTTAACTGCAATAACCTCGCATTCACCTCTTTTTTCCACATTATCAGGAAGTAGCCCCGCTTCTCCTCTCCCTGTGACTTCCCTTCTCACCTCTGGCAGGAGGAAGACCACGGACATGTTGGACGCACTCTCAGAGCCTGTGACCAGCTCCTTACCAAATGCAAGTAGCTTCTCAGGTGAGATGCCCACTTCTGAAGCCTCCACAAATACAGAGACAATTCACTTTTCAGAGAACACAGCAGAAACCAATATGAGGACCACCAATTCTATGCATGAACTACATTCCTCTGTCTCAATCCACTCCCAGCCATCCAGACACACACCTCCAAATGTTACTGGGTCTATGATGAAGGACGCTATTTTTTCCACATCAACACTTGGTTCTACTGAGACTATAAATATTGACAGAGAGTCAACATACCCCCTGACTTCTGAACTGACAGAGAATGGCACCGCCCTGGTGATGAACTCAACTACAGAGTCAAACATTGTTTTCTCCAGTGTGTCCATGGGTGCTGCTACTGAGGTCTCCAGGGCAGAAATCCCCTACTATAATCCTACATTCATGCCAGCTTCTGCTCAGTCAACAAAGTCCCCAGACATTTCACCTGAAGCCAGCAGCAGACATTCTAACTCGCCTCCCTTGACAATATCTACACACAAGACCATCACCACACAAACAGATCCTCCTGGGGTGACATCTCTTGGCCAACTGACCTTGGACACATCAACCATAGCCAATCCAGCAGGAACCCCATCAGCCAGAACTCAGGATTTTGTAGACTCAGAAATAACCACAGTCATGAACAATGATCTCAGTGATGTGTCAAAGACAAGCCCTTTCTCTGTAGAAGAAGCCAACTCTCTCTCTTCTCAGACACCTCTCCTTGTGACAACCTCACCTTCTCCTGTAACTTCCACATTGCGAGTGCACAGTACCTCCTCTCTTGCTTCTGTGACCTCAGTACTCACCCCTGCACTAGTGAAGATAACAGACATGGACGCAAGCTTAGAACCTGTGACTCGTTCATCTCAAAGTTTAAGCAACACCTCGGCCACTTCAGAAGCCAGCACAGATACACACACAATACATCCTTCTATAAACACAGCAGTGACCAATGTGGGGACCATCAGTTCACCACACGAATTCTATTTTACTGTCTCACCTGACTCAGAGCCATATAAAACCACATCTCCAGTAGTTATCACTTCCACCATGGGGGACTCAATAGTTTCCATATCAATGCCCAGATCCTCAGAGATGACAAAGATTGAGTCTGAGACAACTTCCTCCCTGACCTTTGGACTGAGGGAGATCAGCACCTCCCAGAAAATCGGCTCATCCTCAGACACAAGCACTGTCTTTGACAAAGCACTCTCTGCTGCTACTACTGAGGTCTCCAGAACAGAACTCGCTTCCTCTAGCAGGACATCCATCCGAGGCACTGAAAAGCCCACAGTGTCACCAGATACCTCCACAGGATCTGTCACCATGTTCTCTACCTTTGCTGGCATGACAAAATCTGAAGAAATGACCATCGCCACTCAGACAGGTCCTCATAGGGCTACCTCACAGGGTACCCTTACCTGGGACACGTCAATCACAACCTCACAGGCAGAGACCCACTCAGCTATGACTCATGGATTTTCACAATTAGATGTATCCACTCTTATAAGTAGAGTTCCTGAGGATGTATCAGGGACAAGCCCACCCTCTGTGGAAAAAACCAGTTCTCCCTCTTCCCTTCTGTCTTTACCAGCAATAACCTCACTGCTCCCTGTACCTACTACATTAGTAGAAGGTAGGCCCTATTCTTCTGTTCATCTGACTTCACTCCCCACTTCTGGCCCGGTGAAGACCACAGATATGCTGGCATCTGTGACCAGTTTACCTCCAAATTTGGGCAGCCCCTCACAAAAGATACTGACTACTTCTGAAGACATTAAAGATACAGAGAAAATGTATCTTTCCACAAACATAGCAGTAACCGATATGGGGACCACCACTTCTGAAAAGGAATCTTATTCGTCTGTCCCAGCCTACTCAGAACCACCCAAAGTCACCTCTCCAATGGTTACCTCTTTCACCACAAGGGACACCATTGTTTCCACATCCATACCTGGCTCCTCTGAGATTACAAGGATTGAGATGGAATCAACATCCTCCCTGGCTCATGAGCTGAAGGAAACCAGCACCTCCCAGGAGCCCATCGTATCCACAGAGAAAAGTGCTGTCCTTCACAAGGTGACCACTGGTGCTACTCCTGAGACCTCTAGGACAGAAGTTGCCTCTTCTAGAAAAACATCCGTTCCGGGCCCTGATCATTCCACAAAGTCACCAGACATCTCCACTGAAGTGATCCCCAGGCTGCCTATTTCCTCTGGCATTACAGAATCTGCAAATGTGACCATCATCACTCAAACAGGCCCTCCTCTTGGATCTACATCACAGGGTACATTTACCTTGGACACACCAACTACATCCTCCAGGGCAGGAACACACTCGATGGTGACTCAGGAATTTCCACACTCAGAAATGACCACTCTCATGAACAAGGACCCTGAGATTCTATCACAGACAATCCCTCATTCTATAGAGAAAACCAGCTTCTCCTCTTCCCTGATGCCTTCACCAGCCATGACCCCACCTTCTCCCAGTTCCTCAACATTACCAAAGACCATTCACACCACTCCTTCTCCTATGATCTCACTGCTCACCTCTAGTCTAGTGATGACCACAGACATGTTAGGCACAAGCCCAGAAGCTACAACCAGTTCACCTCCAAATTTGAGCAGTACCTCACATGAGATACTGATGACAGACGAAGACACCACAGCTAGAGAAGCCATGCATCCTTTCACAAGCACAGCAGTGACTAATGTGGAAACCACCAGCTCTGGACATGGGTTACAATCCTCTGTCCTAGCTGACTCAGAAAGAACCAAGGCTACAGCCCCAATGGATACCACCTCCACCATGGGGCATACAACTGTTTCCACATCAATGTCTGTTTCCTCTGAGACTACAAAAATTAAGAACGAGTCAACATATTCCTTGACTCCTGGACTGAGGGAGACCAGCATCTCCCAAAATGCCAGCTTTTCCACTGACACAAGTATTGTTCTTTCAGAAGTCCCCACTGGTACTGCTGCTGAGGTCTCCAGGACAGAAGTCACCTCCTCTGGTAGAACATCCATCCCTGGCCCTTCTCAGTCCACAATGTTGCCAGAAATATCCACCAGAACAATGACAAGGCTCTTTGCCTCGCCTACCATGACAGAATCAGCAGAAATGACCATCCCCACCCAAACAGGTCCTTCTGGGTCTACATCACAGGATGCCCTTTCCCTGGACACATCCACCACAAAGTCCCAGGCAAAGACTCATTCAACTTTGACTCAGAGATTTCCACACCCAGAGCAGACCACTCTCATGAGCAGAGGTCCTGGAGATATGTCATGGCAAAGCTCTCTCTCTGTGGAAAAACCCAGCTCTCTCCCTTCCCTGCTGTCTTTACCTGCCACAATCTCACCTCCTCCCGTTTCCTCCACATTACCAGTGAGTATCTCCTCCTCTCCTCCTCCTTTGACTTCACTTCTCACCTCTGGCCCGGTGACGACCACAGACATGTTACGCACAAGCCCAGAACTTGTAACAAGTTCACCTCCAAAGCTGAGCCACACTTCAGGTGAGAGACTGACCACTGGCAAGGACACCACAGATACAGAAGCTGTGCATCCTTTCACAAACACAGCCATGTCCAATGTGGAGACCTCCAGCTCTGGACATGAATCCCCTTCCTCTACCTTAGCTGACTCAGAGACATCCAAAACCACATCACCAATGTTTATTACCTCCACACAGGAGGACACAACTGTTGTTATATCAACCCCTCACTTCTTGGAGACTAGCAGAATTCAGAAAGAGTCCATTTCCTCCCTGACCCCTAAATTGAGGGAGACCAGCAGTTCTGTGGAGACAAGCTCAGCCACGGAGACAAGTGCTATCCTTTCTGAAGTGCCCACTGGTGCTACTACTGAGGTCTCCAGGACAGAAGTCACCTCCTCTAGCAGAACATCCATCTCTGGTCCTGCTGAGTCCACAATGTTGCCAGAAATATCCACCACAAGAACAGTCATTAAGTTCCCTACCTCCCCCATCATGGCAGAATCATCAGAAATGACCATCAAGACCCAAACAAGTCCTCCTCGATCTACACCAGGGAGTACCCTTACATTAGACACATCAACCACACCCTCCTTGGTAATAACCCACTCAACTATGACTCAGAGATTGCCACACTCAGAGATAACCACTCTTGTGAGTAGAGGTTCTGTGGAAGAAACCAACCCTCCATCTTCCCAACTATCTTTACCTGCCATGATCTCACCTTCTTCTGTTTCTTCCACATTACCAGCAAGTAGCCACTCCTCTTCTGCTTCTGTGACTTCGCTTCTCATGCCAGGCCAAGTGAAGACTACAGAGGTATTGGACACAAGCGCAGAACCTGAAACCAGTTCACCTCCAAGTTTGAGCAGTACCTCAGTTGAAATACTGGCCACCTCTGAAGTCACCACAGATACAGAGAAAATTCATCCTTTCTCAAACACAGCAGTAACCAAAGTGGGAACTTCCAGTTCTGGACATGAATCCCCTTCCTCTGTCCTACCTGACTCAGAGATAACCAAAGCCACATCGCCAATGGGTACCATCTCCATCATGGAGAATACAAGTGTTTCCATATTAACTCCTGCCTTATCTGACACTAGGAAAATTCAGACAGAGCCAGCTTCCTCACTGACCACCAGATTGAGGGAGACCAGCACCTCTGAAGAGACCAGCTCAGCCACAGAGGCAAGCACTGTTCCTTCTGAAGTGTCCACTGGTGCTACTACTGAGGTCTCCAGGACAGAAGCCATCTCCTTTAGCAGAACATCCATCTCAGGCCCTGAGCAGTCCACAATGTCACAAAACATCTCCACAGAAACCATCACCAGGATTTCTGCCTCCTCTGTCATGACAGAATCTGCCAAAATGACCATCACAACCCAAACAGGTCCTCCGGGATCTACACCAGAAAGTACCCTTAATTCGGACACAGCAACCACATCCTCTTGGGAAGAAACCCACTCTACAGTAACTCAGGGATTTCCACACCCAGAGATGACCACTTCCATGGGCAGAGGTCCTGGAGGTGTGTCATGGCCTAGCCCTCCCGTTGTGAAAGAAACCAGCCCTCCATCTTCCCCACTGTCTTTACCTGCCGTGACCTCACCTCATCCTGTTTCCACCACATTCCCAGCACATATCCTCCACTCTCCCCTTCCTGTGACTTCGCTTCTCACCTCTGGCCCGGTGATGACCACAGATAACTTGGGTATAAGCACAGAACCTGGAACCAGTTCATCTTCAAGTTTGAGCAGCACCTCCCGTGAGAGACTGACCACTAACAAAGACACTGCACATACAGAAGCTGTGCATCCTTCCACAAACACAGGAGGGACCAATGTGGTGACCACCAGCTCTGGATATAAATCACAATCCTCTGTCCTAGCTGACTCAGAGACATCCAAAGCCTCATCTCCAACGGGTACCACCTCCACCATGGGGGATACAAGTGTTCTCACATCAACTCCTGCCATCCTTGAGACTAGAAGGATTCAGACAGAGCCAACTTCCTCCCCAACCCCTGGATTGAGGGAGTCCAGTGGCTCTGAAGGGACCAGCTCAGGCACCAAGATGAGCATCATCCTTTCTAAAGTGTCCACTGGTGCTACTACTGAGATCTCCAAGGAAGACATCACCTCCATCCCAGGTCCCGCTCCATCCACAATATCACCAGACATCTCCACAGGAACCATCAGTTGGTTATCTACATCCCCTGTCATGACAGAATCAACAGAAATAACCATGAACACCCACACAAGTCCTTTAAGGGCCACAACACAAGGCACCAGTACTTTGGACACTTCAAGCATAACCTCTTTGACAATGACACACTCAACTCTATCTCAAGGATTTTCACACTCACAGATGAGCACTCTTATGAAGAGGGGTCCTGAGGATGTATCATGGATGAGCCCTCCCCTTCTGGAAAAAACTAGCTCTTCCTCTTCTCTGATGTCTTCACCAACCACAACTTCACCTTCTCCTGTTTCCTCCACATTAACAGGCAGCATCTCTTCCTCTCCTCTTCCTGTGACATCACTCCTCACATCTGGCCTGGCAAAAACTACAGATACGTTGCACAAAAGCTCGGAATCTGTAACCAACTCACCTGCAAATTTGAGCAGCACCTCAGTTGAAATACTGGCCACCTCTGAAGTCACTACAGATACGGAGAAAATTCATCCTTCTTCAAACAGAGCAGTGACCGATGTGGGTACCTCCAGTTCTGGACATGAATCTCCTTCCTCTGTCCTAGCTGACTCAAAGACATTCAACGTCACATCTCCAATGGTTATTACCTCCACCATGGAGGATACAAGTGTCTCCACATCAACTCTTGGCTTTTTTCAGACTAGCAAAATTCGGACAGAACCAACATCCTCCCTGACCCTTGGAGTGAGAAAGACCAGCAGCCCTGGGGGGACCAGCTTAGCCACAGAGATGAGCACTGTCCTTTCTGGAGTGCCTGCTGATGCCACTGCTGAAGTCTCCAGGACAGAAGTCACCTCCTCTGGCAGAACATCCGTCTCAGGCCTTGCTCAGCTCACAGTGTCACCAGAGACCTCCACAGAAACCATCACCAGACTCCCTACTTCTCTTCCTGTGACTTCTTTTCTCACCCCTGGCCTGGTGATAACCACAGACAGGATGGGCATAAGCAGAGAACCTGAAACCAGCTCCACTTCAAATTTGAGCAGCACCTCCCATGAGAGACTGACCACTTTGGAAGACACTGTGGATACAGAAGCCATGCATCCTTCCACATACACAGCAGTGACCAACATAGGGACCTCCAGTTCTGGACATGAATCACAATCTTCTGTCCTAGCTGACTCAGAGACACCCAAAGCCACATCTCCAATGGGTACCATCTACACCATGGGGGAAACTAGTGTTTCCATATCCACTTCTGACTTCTTTGAGACCAGCAGAATTCAGATAGAACCAACATCCTCCCTGACTTCTGGATTGAGGGAGACCAGCAGCTCTGAGAGGATCAGCTCAGCCACAGAGAGAAGTACTGTCTTTTCTGAAGTGCCCAGTGGTGCTACCACTGAGGTCTCCAGGACAGAAGTGATCTCCTCTAGGGGGACATCCATGTCAGGGCCTGATCAGTCCACCATGTCTCCAGACATCTCCACTGAAGCGATCACCAGGCTTTCTACCTCCCCCATTATGACAGAATCAGCAGAAAGTGCCATCACTATTCAGACAGGTTCTCCTGGGGCTACATCACAGGGTACCCTCACCTTGGACACCTCAACAACAACCTTTTGGTCAGGGACCCACTCAACTGCATCTCCAGGATTTTCACACTCAGAGATGGCCACTCTTATGAGTAGAACTCCTGGAGATGTGTCATGGCCAAGCCTTCCCTCTGTGGAAGAAGCCAGCTCTGTTTCTTTTCCACTGTCTTCACCTGCCATGACCTCGCCTTCTTTTCCCTCTACATTACCAGAGAGCATCCCCTCCTCTCCTCATCCTATGACTGTACTTCTCACCCCTGGCCCAGTGAAGACCACAGACATGTTGGGCACAAGCTCAGAACCTGAAACCAGTCCACCTCCAAATTTGAGCAGCACCTCAGATGAAATATTAGACACCTCTGAAGTCACCAAAGATACAGAGAAAATTCATCCCTCCTCAAACACACCAGTGGTCAATGTACGGACCCTGGTTTATAAACATCTTTCCCCTTCCTCTGTTTTGGCTGACTTAGTGACAACAAAAGCCACATCTCCAATGGCTACCACCTCCACTCTGGGGAATACAAGTGTTTCCACATCAACTCTTGCCTTCCCAGAAACTATGATGACAAAGCCAACTTCCTCCCTGACTTCTGAATTAAGGGAGATCAGTACCTCTCAAGAGATCAGCTCAACAACAGAAAGAAGTGCTTCTCTTTCTGGAATGCCCACTGGTGCTACTACTGAGGTCTCCAGAACAGAAGCCATCTCCTCAAGCAGAACATCCATCCCAGGTCCTGCTCAATCCACAATGTCACCAGACATCTCCACGGAAACCATCACTAGAATTTCTACTCCCCTCACCACGATAGAATCAGCAGAAATGACCATCACCCCCAAAACAGGTCATTCTGGGGCATCCTCACAAGGTACCTTTACCTTGGACACATCAAGCAGAGCCTCCTGGCCAGGAACTCACTCAGTTGCAACTCACAGATCTCCACAATCAGTGATGACCACTCCTATGAGCAGAGGTCCTGAGGATGTGTCAGGGCCAAGCCTCCCATCAGTGGAAAAAACTAGCCCCCCATCTTCCCTGGTGTCTTTATCTGCAGTAACCTCACCTTCGCTGCTTTATTCCACAACATCTGGGAGTAGCCACTCCTCTCCTCTCCGGGTGACTTCTCTTTTCACCCCTGTCGTGATGAAGACTGCCGACATGTTGGACACAAGCTTGGAACCTGTGACCACTTCACCTCCCACTATGAATATCACCTCAGATGAGAGTCTGGCCACTTCTAAAGCCACTATGGACACAGAGGCAATTCACGTTTCTGAAAACACAGCTGTGACCCAGGTGGGCACCACCAGAGCTAGACAAGAATTCTATTCCTCTTACCCAGGCTTCCCAGAGCCATCCAAAATGACATCTCCAATGGTCACCTCTTCCACGATAAAAGACATTGTTTCTACAACCACACCTGCTTCCTCTGAGATAACAGGAACTGAGATGGAGTCAACATCCACCCTGACCCCCACACCAAGGGAGACCAGGATCTCCCAGGAGATCCACTCAGCCACAGAGCCAAGCACTGTTCCTTACAAGGCACTCACTAGTGCCACGATTGAGTACTCCCGGACACAAGTCACGTCCTCTAGCAGAAGACCTAGCCCTGATCAGTCCACAATGTCACCAGACATCTCCACTGAAGTGATCACCAGGCTCTCTACCTCCCCCATCAAGACAGAATCTAAAGAAATGACCACTACCTCCCAAACGGGTTCTCCTGGGGCTACATCACAGGGTACGCTTACCTTGGACACCTCAACAACAACTTTTATGTCAGGGACCCACTCAACTGCATCTCAAGGATTTTCACACTCAGAGATGACCACTCTTATGAGTAGAACTCCTGGAGATGTGCCATGGCCAAGCCATCCCTCTGTGGAAGAAACCAGCTCTGCCTCTTCTTTGCTGTCTTCACCTGCTATGACCTCACTTTCTCCTGTTTCTTCCACATTACCGGACAGCATCCACTCCTCTTCTCTTCCTGTGACATCACTTCTCACCTCGGGCCTGGTGAAGACCACAGAGCTGTTGGGCACAAGCTCAGAACCTGAAACCAGTTCACCCCCAAATCTGAGCAGCACCTCAGCTGAAATACTGGCCACCACTGAAGTCACCACAGATACAGAGAAACTGAAGGTGACCAATGTGGTAACCTCAGGTTATACACATGAATCTCCTTCCTCTGCCTTAGCTGACTCAGTGACAACAAAAGTCACATCTTCAGTAGGTATCACCTACCCTACAGGAGATACAAATGTTCTCACATCAACTCCTGCCTTCTCTGACACCAGCATTCAGACAAAGCCAACGCTTTCACTGACTCCTGGGTTGATGGAGACCAGCGCCTCTGAAGAGACCACCTCTGCCACAGAAACAAACACTGTCCTTTCTAGTGTGCCCACTGGTGCTACTCCTGAGGTCTCCAGGACAGAAGCCATCTCCTCTAGCAGAACATCCATCCCAGGCCCCGCTCAATCCACAGTGTCACCAGACACCTCCACGGAAACCATCACTAGAATTTCTACTCCTCTCACCAGGAAAGAATCAACAGAAATGGCCATCACCCCCAAAACAGGTCATTCTGGGGCTACCTCACAGGGTACCTTTACCTTGGGCACATCAAGCATAGCCTCCTGGCCAGGAACTCACTTAGCTGCAACTCAGAGATTTCCACAGTCAGTGGTGACAACTCCTATGAGCAGAGGTCCTGAGGATGTGTCATGGCCAAGCCTCCCATCTGTGGAAAAAAACAGCTCTCCATCTTCCCTGGTGTCTTTATCTGCAGTAACCTCACCTTCGCCGCTTTATTCCACACCATCTGGGAGTAGCCACTCCTCTCCTGTCCCTGTCACTTTGCTTTTCACCTCTGTCATGATGAAGACCACAGACATGTTGGATGAAAGCTTAGAACCTGAGACCACTTCACCTCCCAGTTTGAATATCACCTCAGATGGGAGTCTGGCCACTTCTAAAGCCACTATGGAGACAGAGGCAATTCAGGTTTTTGAAAACACAGCAGCGTCCCATATGGAAACCACCAGTGCTAGAGAGGAACTCTATTCCTCCTCCCCAGGCTTCTCAGAGCCAACCAAAGTGACATCTCCAATGGCCACCTCTTCCTCTATAAGAGACAACATTGTTTCCACAACAATGCCTGTCTCCTCTGGCCTTACAAGGATTGAGATAGAGTCAATGTCATCTCTGACCCCTGGACTGAGGGAGACCAGAACTTCCCAGGACATCATCTCATCCACAGAGACAAGCACTGTCCTTTACAAGATGCCCTCTGGTGCCACTCCTGAGGTCTCCAGGACAGAAGTTATGTCCTCTAGCAGAACATCCATTCCTGGCCCTGCTCAGTCCACAATGTCACCAGACATCTCCGATGAAGTTGTCACCAGGCTCTCTACCTCCCCCATCATGACAGAATCTGCAGAAATAACCATCACCACCCAAACAAGTTCTTCTCTGGCTACATCCCAGGTTACCCTTCCCTTGGGCACCTCAACGACCTTTTTGTCAGGGACCCACTCAACTGTGTCTCAAGGACTTTCACACTCAGAGATGACCAATCTTATGAGCAGGGGTCCTGAAAATCTGTCATGGACGAGCCCTCGCTTTGTGGAAACAACTAGATCTTCCTCTTCTCTGACATCATTACCTCTCGCGACCTCACTTTCTCCTGTGTCCTCCACGTTACTAGAGAGTAGCCCCTCCTCTCCTCTTCCTGTGACTTCACTTATCCTCCCAGGCCTGGTGAAGACTACGGAAGTGTTGGACACAAGCTCAGAGCCTAAAACCAGTTCATCTCCAAATCTGAGCAGCACCTCAGTTGAAATACCGGCCGCCTCTGAAATCATCACAGATACAGAGAAAATTCATTCTACCTCAAACACAGCGGTGACCAAAGTGGGGACCTCCAGTTCTGTTCATGAATCTCATTCCTCTGTCCTAGCTGACTCAGAAACAACGATGACCACACCTTCAATGGGTATCACCTCCCCTGTGGAGGACACCACTGTTTTCACATCAATTCCTGCCTTCTCTGAGACTAGGAGGATTCCAACAGAGCCCACATTCTCACAGACTCCTGGATTCAGGGAGACTAGCACCTCTGAAGAGACCAGTTCAATCACAGAAACAAGTGCGGTCCTTTTTGGAGTGCCCACTAGTGCTACTACTGAGGTCTCCGTGACAGAAATCATGTCCTCTAACAGAACACATATCCCTGACCCTGATCAGTCCACAATATCTCCAGACATCATCACTGAAGTGATCACCAGGCTCTCTTCCTCATCCATGATGTCAGAATCAACAGAAATGACCATCACCACCCAAACAAGTTCTCCTGGGGCTACAACACAGAGTACCCTTACCTTGGCCCCAACAATAGCACCCTTGGCAAAGACCCATTCAACTGTTCCTCCAAGATTTTTACACTCAGAGATGACAACTCTTATGAGTAGGAGTCCTGAAAATCCATCATGGAAGAGCTCTCCCTTTGTGGAAAAAACTAGCTCTAGCTCTTCCTCTTCTCTGTTGTCCTTACCTGTCACGACGTCAGCATCTGTTTCTTCCACATTACTACAGAGTATCCCTTCCTCCTCTTTTCCTGTGACTTCACTCCTCACCCCAGGCATGGTGAAGACTACAGACATAAGCACAGAACCTGGAACCAGTTTATCTCCAAATCTGAGCAGCACCTCAGTTGAAATACTGGCTGCCTCTGAAGTCACCACAGATACAGAGAAAATTCATCCTTCTTCAAGCATGGCAGTGACCAATGTGGGAACCACCAGTTCTGGACATGAACTGTATTCCTCTGTTTCAATCCACTCGGAGCCATCCAAGGCTACATACCCAATGGGTACTTCCTCTTCCATGGCCGAAACCACTATTTCCACATCAATGCCTGCCAATATTGAGGCCACAAGATCTGAGGCAGAGCCATTTTCTCATTTGACTTCTGCATTTAGGAAGACTAACATGTCCCTGGACACCAGCTCAGTCACACCAACAAATACACCTTCTTCTCCTGGGTCTACTCATCTTTTACAGAGTTCCAAGACTGATTTCACCTCTTCTGTGAAAACATCATCCCCAGACCGGCCTCCAGCCTCACAGTATACTGAAATTCCAGAGGACACAATCACCCCCTTTAATGCTTCTCCATCTATTATGGAGTCCACTGGAGTAACCTCCTTTCCAGAATCCAAGTTTACTATGTCTGTAACAGAAAGTACTCATCATCTGAGTACAGATTTGTTGCCTTCAGCTGAGACCATTTCCACTGGCACAGTGATGCCTTCTCTATCAGAGGCTGTGACTTCATTTGCCACCACTGGAGTTCCACGAGTCATCTCGGGTTCAGGTAGTCCATTCTCTAGGACAGAGTCAGGCCCTGGGGATGCTACTCTATCCACCATTGCAGAGAGCCTGCCTTCATCCACTCCTGTGCCATTCTCCTCTTCAACCTTCACTACCACTGATTCTTCAACCATCCCAGCCCTCCATGGGATAACTTCCTCTTCAGCTACTCCACATAGAGTGGACACCAGTCTTGGGACAGAGAGCAGCACTACTGAAGGACATTTCGTTATGGTCAGTACTTTGGACACTTCGAGCCAACCAGCCAGGACATCTTCATCACCTATTTTGGATACCAGAATGACAGAGAGCATTGAGCTGGGAACAGTGACAAGTGCTTATCAAGTTCCTTCACTCTCAACACGGTTGACAAGTAAGCACCCACAGCCCCTACAATCCCATTATTGGGAGCTCATAGGAAATGACCCCTTCCTAAGAAGCAAAAAAATAGTTAACTAGTTTATTCCTGTACCAGAAATTCTTTTAGCAAACATGTGTCTATCTAATTTCACTTCTAGGCACTGGGTTAGGAACTGGAGGAACAAAAATAAGCAAATAATTGAATCATTACAGTATCATGATAGGTGTTCTAATATTACTGCTGGTAATGATAATGACAATAAGAATAATGACAACAGAAAATATTTATAACAGTACTTATTCTGTTTCAAGTGCAGTTTTATTAAGCTATTGGATCCTCAATTGTAACACTTATTGAAGTAGAGAGTATTATAAGCGTATTTTGAAGATGAAGACATTTAGGCACAGGGAGATTAAGTAACTTTAAGGTCATATAGCGAGAAGGTGACAGAACTGGGATAAGAACTCTGATTGTGTGTCACTAGGAACTCATGCCCCTAACTGTTGGGCTAAACAGGAGTGGTCAGAGAGGTAACAGAAAAAGCAAGAAGTTCTGGCATCAAAGAAGCCATAGGAGGGGAGAGTTTTAGGAAGGAGAAATGTTAAGTTCTGTTAAATACCACAGAATTGCCAAGTTGAAATGGGGTGAGAATTGCTTTGGCAACATGGGGGTTCTCAGGGATTCTAATGAAGGGAGCATCAGTGAGGTATAGGGCACTAGAAGAACAGCTAAAACACTACATAGATATAAGGGAGGGTTTCTCCCTTTGAGTTGAGCAAGAGACAAAAGGGATACGTGAAAGGAAAAGGTGAGTTAATGAAAATTGAGGGAACAAAGTACCTAAGAAGGTAGGAGGAACCCAGAGCCTAGACGGAGGAAACACTACTTCCAAGAGATCAGTAGATAAAGGAAGGAACCTCTTGGGGATTCCATTCCTCTGAAAGGGTTGAGCTTGGCACTAACTTTTGTTCTGGACACAAATCCAAAGAGGCCCTCCAACGACTCGAGTTTCTGCCTCACTGAACAATATCTCCAGGAGAATGATTTGTTCCTTCTCCTTCTTCGTATTAGTTTTGTAATTCACACTAAATTTAGACACATTGGTGGCTGTTGACCCACATGTTACTATGTGACTCAGTAGCTGAGTCATGGGTGTTCAGTAAGGAAGGGATGAATGGCATGGTGAGAAGGTAGAAGTGTAGTTGGATGGATAAAAGGAAGAATGGAGAGATGGATGAATGAAAGGAAGGAAAGATGAAGAGGAGGAAGGATAGATGCACAGAAGGAAGGATGAAAAGAAAAAAAGATGATGGAAGACAGGATTGAAGGGGATACAGGTTGAAGGCAAGAAGAGTAGAAGGATGAAATGGAGTAAAGATTGAAGAAAAGATGGATGGAAAGAAGAAAGGAGGGTGCACTAAAATCTCACACTTCACCACTATATGATTCATCCATAGAAGCAAAAACCACTTGTACCCTCAAAGCTATTGAAGTACAAACTTTTTAATTAAAAATTTAAAAAGTAAGAGAAAGGAAAAAAGGGAGGAAAGACGAAAGGAAGAATGGGTGGTAGGAGGAAGGAATAAACGGATGAAAAAATGGAAGAATAGATGATCAGATCTAGGGATGAATAAAGGGAAGGATGGACAAATCTATGGGTAAGTGAATGGATCTATGGACTAGTGTGGCCACTTATGGCACAGAGTCCCAGCTCCAGTTCATACTAATGGACTTGAAGAGTTTTTTGTGGCCAGTGAAGTGGATCCATTTAGACAGTGCTCTTTTTCTGAATGAGATGAGTTACCCCAGTTTTCCTCCCCACCTTCATCTTCAGGAACTGATGGCATTATGGAGCACATCACAAAAATACCCAGTGAAGCAGCACACAGAGGTACCATAAGACCAGTCAAAGGTCCTCAGACATCCACATTGCCTGCCAGTCCTAAAGGTAAGTTTAACTTTGCTTACCTCCCAGTAATGCCACTTGTGACCATATTTCCTCCTCTAGAGAGTCAAAATGCTTGTATTCTTTAGAGAGAGAATTGTGTGTGGTTGTCACAGGTTTCCCTGTCTGAACTGGGTCTTTGTCTCATGGTTACCAGGTAGATGTTACCACTTCTCTTTCTCCTCATGGCATGTTGAGTAGCTTTGTCCAACATCAAATATTCACAAATTTGTCCTTATTAACTAAATTTTTTAAATGCTCATTAAAAACGTACTATGAGCCAGGCACAGTGGCTCACATCTTAATCCCAACACTTTGGGAGGCTGAGGCAGGTGGATCAACTGAGGTCAAAAATTCGAGACCAGTCTGACCAACATGGTGAAACTCCATCTCTACTGAAAATATAAAAATTAGCCGGGCATGGTGGCACACACCTGTAATCGCAGCTACTCGGGAGGCTGAGGCAAGATAATCGCTTGAACCCAGGTGGTAGAGGCTGCAGTGAGCTGAGATAGTGCCACTGCACTCCAGCCTGGGTGACAGAGCATGACTCTGTCTCAAAAATAAATAAATAATACATATATATGTATAATTATATATATATATAAAAAACATATATATGTAAAATATCTGAAAATACATCCCAATAGTTCTAGAAAATGCAGGAAAAAGAAGTATAAATTAACAGACTTTATGTATGCCCTGGTTGAAAAACAGATACAACTCTCTTGTAAGAGAAACTTTAAAAAAAAAAAATACCTAGGATTATATCTCTTCCATGATGAAAAATTTAGAACTGTACTTTTTTTTAACTTTCACTTAAATAAAGAAGATGGGTGAGCTCCTGGGTTATTTATGTTTGTCATCACTGGAGAGCTAAATTACAATATGTAACTACAATGAGGGGAATAAAAACACGATATAAATGTAAGATGGTTTATGACATCACTGTTACATGTTTTCTTTGTCACAATATTTAGTAATTCCTCCTTCTTCTGTTTTGAATAAAGTCTGAAATAAAATTTTCACTTTAAAAGGCAGTAACATGAAATACATAAATAAATTAAAATCTGGGTTTCTCAACCTTGACACTATTGTCATTTGGGGCAGATACTTCTTTGCGGTGGGGGGCTGTGCTGTGCATTGTAGGATGTTTGCCAGCGTCTCTGGCCTCTGTTCTTGACGCCATACCATTCGTCCACACACAGTTGTGACAACCAAAAATATCTCCAGACATTGTTAAGTGTCCCCTGGAAGCAAAACTGCCCCTGGTTGAGAACCACTGAACTGGAGAATGTGTCCTAAGATCCATCTTACTAGATGGGCGTTTTCACCTCACTTCATTCTCTTTCCATTCTGGTCCCCACAAGATCCAGAAGGTGCTTTAGGGAATTAATATAATGCAGTGGTTAATAATATGGGTTTAGCATTTAGATACAATGATGTTCCAGTTGTCACCCTGTCAATAGCTGTGTGTGACCTTGGTAAATTGTGGTCTCTGGATTTCTCTTTCTCTCCTGTAAAATGACAAGAATTATAGAATGCGCATTTTATTTTATTTTATTTTATTTTATTTTATTTTATTTTTTGAGGAGAGTCTTGCTCTGTCACCCAAGCTAGAGTGCAGAGGCGCAATCTCGGCTCCCTGCAACCTCCATCTCCCGAGTTCGAGCCATTCTCCTGCCTCAGCCTCCTGAGTAGCTGGGATTACAGATGCATGCCACTGCATCCAGCTAATTTTTGTATTTTTAGTAGAGATGGGGTTTCACCATGTTGACCAGGCTGGTCTAGAACTCCTGACCTCAGGTGATCTGCCCACCTCATTCTCCCAAAGTGCTGGGATTGCAGGCGTGAGCCACTGTGCCCAGCCAAAATGTGCCATTTAATGTTCTTGTGAGGATCAAAGAGACAGTGCATGTCAAGTGCTTTGCAATTGCTCCTCCTCCTCCTTCCCATCAACATAATCACCATCATCATCACCATCATTGTTAAATACACATGAAGCACTTTAGAGTGTGCATTCTCAGACATATTGTTTTTAGAGTTTATCCAGCAACACAGGGACATTGCTCCACAATCAGAGTCAAAATCCCCTTCATTTTAGCCCCTTTCTCTACCAAACTCCAGTTGGCTTTGTGGGCTTTATAGAGAAGTCTCCAGGGAGTTCTTCCTCTTCCATAGGAACCATTTTCTAAAGCCTGGTCAGCAGCTGCTGTCTCATCAATGCTACTGGAATCTTCTTCAGAAGTATCCCAGTCACCTTGGCCAGCTCTGGTAGTGTCTAGTGTGGTTGGTGGAGAATTCTATTTAGCAAATGTTTATTTTGTAGTAGAATTATTAGTAGTGACAGTAGTAATGGTAAGTAGTAGTGATAGTAACAATAGCAGCAATAACACTAGTAAGTAGTAGTAACTGTAGTAATAACCACAGCAATAAGCAGTAATACTAGTAGTAATAGTAGTGATAATAGCAGTAATGGTTTGGTAGAGTTGTGTTGGTAGTAACAGTAGCAGTAGTAGGTAGTATCAGTGGTAATCGTGACAGTAGAAATCATAACTAATAGTGGTAGCAACAATAGTAGTAACAGTAGTAACCATAGTAATTACCATAGTAATAACCATAGCAATACGCAGTAGTATTAGTAGTAACAGTAGTAATAACAGCAGTAATGGCAGGTAGAGCACTACCATTACTGCTGTTACTCTACTGTAGGTAGAGTAGTAATATTAAGTGATAGCAGTAGTAACAATAGTAATAGCAGCAGCAGTAGTAATAGTAAGTAGCAGTAACCATAGTAATAACCATAGTGATAGGTAGTAATAGTTGTGGTAACAGTAGTAATAACAGCAGTAATGGTAGGTAGAGTGGTGGTAGTAGTAACAGTAGTAGTAGTAGCAGTGGTAGTAGTAACAGTAGCAATAGTAAATAATACTAGTAGTAACAATAGTAGTAGCAGCAGTAGTAGTAAGTAGTAGTAATCATAGTAATAACCATAGCAATAGGTAGTAGTAGCAGTAGCATTAACAGCAGTAATGGTAGGTGGAGAAGTGATAGTAATAACAGTAGCAATAGCAGGTCGTAGTCGTGGTAATAGTAGTAATGTCTTATTGTGACCCAGGAGGCACTGTGCTTGGTGCCTTTTTACCAACATTTTGAGATGCCCATTGTACTTATCCCCACTTCATAGATGGAAAAGTGGAGGTCGAGCAATATTTTTTTAACTTAAAGAGCCATCCATCTCTTTAGAGAAAGAGCCAGAATCCCAGGCAGGGCTATCTTATTCCAGAACCCAAGCTCTCAAACACACAATGCACAATACTTAATTTCTCTCAAGTCAGAGGAGATCCACTTAAGTATACATCCATCCACATATTCATTCATTCAACCATTCAACAAATATTAGTTGAGCCCTTACCATATGCCAAACAGTCAGACATGAATAGCTGTTACAAATGAGACTGGGAAGGATGGCACAATGCAGATTCAGACAGTGTGATAAGGAAATATTGAGAAACAAAGATGAGTTCTGGCATGAATTTGTAAAGGTGGATGTGGGCTTGGCACACAAGAATGGCAGAACTTAAGGAATCTGATGAGAAGTGGGCACTTCAGGCAGAGAGAAGAGCTTGAGCAAGGCTCAGAGGCTGACAGTGCAGAAAACACATGGGAAGAGGGAGTAGATTACTGCGGTCAAGAATTCACAGAGGAGTTATAGAAGAAGATGCAACCAAGTTACCGACCAAGGTTAGATAGGGGAATACCAATCACAGTCTCTTTTCCCATTCCAGGAGCATCCCAGGCACATGCTAGTAACTGAGAAACATTTCTCTCCCTTTCCTCATATAGAGAATAAATAAGCTATTGCTAGTCCAGTAAGTGAAATCATTTTGTTCAAATTGTGTGCCCATTCCCCAATTCACAGGACTACACACAGGAGGGACAAAAAGAATAGAGACCACCACCACAGCTCTGAAGACCACCACCACAGCTCCGAAGACCACTTCCAGAGCCATCTTGACCACCAGTGTCTATACTTCCACTTTGGGAACACTGACTCCCCTCAATGCATCAGTGCAAATGGCCAGCACAAGTACCACGGAAATGACGATCACAACCCCATATGTTTCCCCTGATGTTCCAGAAATGACATCCTCATTGGCCACCAGCCTGGGAGCAGAAACCAGCACAGCTCTTTCCAGGACAACCCCATCTGTTTTCAATAGAGAATCAGAGACCACAGCCTCACTGGTCCCTAGTTCTGAGGCAGAGACAAGTCCAGCCATTCAAACTCTAGATGTTTCTTCTAGTGAGCCAGATACAACAGTTTCATGGGTTATCCATCCTGCAGAGACCATCCCAACTGTTTCCAAGACAACCACCAGTTTTTTCCACAGTGAATCACACACTGTATCTTCCACAGCCACCAGTCATGGGGTAGAAGTCAGCTCAGCCATTCCAACAAATATCTTACCTAGTGAACCAGATGCACTGACCCCACTGGTCACTATTTCTGGGACAGATGCTAGTACTACATTCCCAACACTGACTAAGTCCCCACATGAAACACAGACAAGAACCACATGGCTCACTCATCCTGCAGAGACCGGCTCAACCATTTCCAGAACAATCCCCAATTTTTCCCATCGTGAATCAGATGCCACACTTTCAGTGGCCACCAGTCCTGGGGCAGAAACCAGTTCAGCTATTCCAACTATGACTGTCTCACCTGGTGCAGCAGATCTGGTGACCTCACAGGTCACTAGTTCTGGAACAGACCGAAATATGACTATTCCAACTTTGAGTCTTTCTTCTGGTGAACCAAAGACCACAGCCTCATTAGTCACCCATCCTGAAGCACAGACAAGTTCGGCCATTCCAACTTCAACTATCTCGCCTGGTATATCACGGATGGTGACCTCAATGGTCACCAGTTTGGCGGCAGAGACAAGTACAACTAATCCAGCTCTGACAAGCTCCCCTGGTGAACCAGCTACCACAGATTCATTGGTCACGCATCCTGCACAGACCAGCCCAACAGTTCCCTGGACAACTTCCATTTTTTTTCATAGTAAATCAGACACCATACCTTCAATGGCCACCAGTCATGGGGCACAATCCAGTTCAGCTGTCCCAATTCCAACTGTTTCACCTGGAGTACCAGGAGTGGTAACCCCTGTGGTCACTAGTTCTATGACAGTGACAGGTACAACTACTCCAATTCTGACTCTTTCTGCTGGTGAACCAGAGACTACACCTTCAATGGCCATCAGTCATGAGGCAGAAGCCAGCTCAGCTGTTCCAACTGTTTCACCTGGGGTACCAGGAGTGGTGACCTCTCTGGTCACTAGTTCTAGGGCAGTGACCAGTACAACTATTCCAATTCTGACTCTTTCTCCTGGTGAGACAGAGACCACACCTTCAATGGCCACCAGTCATGAGGCAGAAGTCAGCTCAGCTGTTCCAACTGTTTCACCTGGGGTGCAGGAGTGGTGACCTCTCTGGTCACTAGTTCTGGGAGCAGTGACCAGTACAGCTATTCAACTCATTTCTTTCTTCTGGTGAACCCAGAGACCACACCTTCAATGGCCACCAGTCAAAGGACAGAAGGGCAGAAGCAGCTCTGCTGTTCAACTCAACTGTTTCACCTGAGGTACCAGAAGTGGTGACACTCTTTGGTCACTAGTTCTAGGGCAGTGACAGGTACAACTATTCCAATTCTGACACTTTCTCCTGGTGAACCAGAGACCACACCTTCAATGGCCACCAGTCAAAGGGCAGAAGCCAGCTCTGCTGTTTCAACTCCAACTCTTTCACCTGGGATACCAGGAGTGGTGACCCCTTTGGTCACTAGTTCTAGGGCAGTGACCAGTACATGTTCCAATTCTGACTCTTTTTCTCCTGGTGAACCAGAGACCACCTTCAATGGCCACCAGTCATGAGGCGAAGCCAGCTCCAGCCGTTCAACTGTTTTTACCTGAGGTGCCAGGTAGTGACTCTCTGGTCCTACTAGTTCTATAGCAGTGACAAGTACAACTATTCAACTCTGATTCTTTCTCTGGTGAACCAGAGACCACACCTTCAATGGCCACCAGTCAAAGGACAGAAGCCAGCTCAGCTGTTTCAGCTCCAACTGTTTCACCTGGGATACCAGGGTAGGTGATAACTTGGTCACTAGCTCTGGGAGCAGTGACCAGTACAGCTATTCCAACTCTGACTCTTTCTCCTGGTGAACCAGAGACCACACCTTCAATGGCCACCAGTCATAGGGCAGAAGGGGGGCCAAGAAGCCAGCTCTGCTGTTCCAGCTCAACTGTTTCACCTGGGGTACCAGTAGTGGTGACCTCTCTGGTCACTAGTTCTGAAGCATTGACCAGTACAACCATTCCAACTCTGACTCTTTCTCTGGTGAACCAGAGACCACACCTTCAACGGCACAGTCATGAGGCAGAAAGCCAGCCTCAGCTGTTCAACTGTTTCACCTGGGGTACCGAGTAGTGGTGACCTCTCTGGTCACTAGTTCTAGGAGCAGTGACCAGTTCAACTATTCCAATTCTGACTCTTTCTCCTGATGAACCAGAGACCACACACCTTCCAACAGCCACCAGTCATAGGGGCAGAAGGGCAGAAACCAACTCTCTGCTGTTCCAACTCCAACTGTTTCACCTGGGGTACCAGGAGTGGTGACCCCTTTGGTCACTAGTTCTAGGGCAGTGACCAGCTCAACTATTCCAACTCTGACTCTTTCTCCTGGTGAACCAGAGACCACACCTTCAATGGCCACCAGTCATGGGGGCAGAAGCCAGCTCTGCTGTTCCAACTCAACTGTTTCACCTGGGGTACCAGGACTGGTGACCTCTCTCTGGTCACTAGTTCTAGAGCAGTGACCAGTACAACTATTCACTAGTTCTAGGGCAGTGACCAGTACAACTATTCCAATTCTGACTCTTTCTCCTGGTGAACCAGAGACCACACCTTCAATGGCCACCGGTCATAGGACAGAAAGGGCAGAAGCCAGCTCAACTGTTCCAACTGTTTTACCTGAGGTACCAGGAGTGGTGACCTCTCTGGTCACTAGTTCTAGTGCAGTAGCCAGTACAGCTATTCCAACTCTGGCTATTTCTTCTGGTGAACCAGAGACCACAACTTCATTAGTCACCCGTTCTGAGGCAAAGACAATTTCAGCCATTCCAACTTTAGCTGTCTCCCCTACTGTACAAGGGCTGGTGACTTCACTGGTCCCTAGTTCTGGGTCAGAGACCAGTGCATTTCCAAATCTAAATGTTGCCTCAGGTCAACCAGAGACCACAGCCTCATGGGTCACTCATTTTGGGACAGCAACAAACTCTGTTTTTCCAACTTTGACTGTCTCCACTGGGGAGCCATTTACAAAAATCTCATTTGTCACCCATCCTGCAGAGAGTAGCTCAACTGTTCCCAGGACAACCTCAAGCTCTTCCCATAGTGAATCAGACGCTATGCCTTCCACAGTCACCAGTCCTGAGGCAGAATCCAGCTCAGCCATTTCAACAACTATTTCACGTGGTATACCAGGTGTGCTGACTTCCCTGGTCACTAGCTCTGGGACAGACATCAGTACAACTTTTCCAACAGTGCCTGAGTCCCCACATGAATCAGAGGCAACAGCCTCATGGGTTACTCATCCTGCAGTCACCAGCACAACAGTTCCCAGGACAACCCCTAATTTTTCTCATAGTGAACCAGACACCACACCCTCAATAGCCACCAGTCCCGGGGCAGAAGCCAGTTCAGCTTTTCCAACAACTGCCTCATCTGATGTACCAGATATGGTGACCTCACAGGTCACTAGTTCTGGGACAGACACCGGTATAACTATTCCGGCTCTGACTCTTTCTCCTGATGAACCAGAGACCACAACCTCATTTATCACCTATTCTGAGACACACATAAGTTCAGCCATTCCAACTCTGACTGTCTCCCCTGGTGCATCAAAGATGCTGACCTCACTGGTCACTAGTTCTGGGACAGACAGCACTACAACTTTCCGAACACTGACGGAGACCCCATATGAACCAGAGACAACAGCCACACAGCACATTCATCCTGCAGAGACCAACACAATGGTTTCCAGGACAACCCCCAAGTTTTCCCATAGTGAGTCAGACACCACACTCCCAGTAGCCATCACCAGTCCTGGGCCAGAAGCCAGTTCAGCTGTTTCAACGACAACTATCTCACCTGATATGTCAGATCTGGTGACCTCACTGGTCCCTAGTTCTGGGACAGACACCAGTACAACCTTCCCAACATTGAGTGAGACCCCATATGAACCAGTGACTACAGCCACATGGCTCACTCATCCTGCAGACACCAGCACAAAGGTTTCTAGGACAATTCCCAACTTTTCCCATAGGGGATCAGACAGTACACCCTCAATGGTCACCAGTCCTGGAGTAGACGCCAGGTCAGCTGTTCCAATTACAACCATCCCATCCAGTATACCAGAGGTAGTGACGTCACAGGTCACTAGTTCTGCAACAGACACTAGTACAGCTATTCCAACTTTGACTCCTTCTCTTGGTGAACCAGAGACCACAGCCTCATTGGCTGCCCATCCTGGGACACAGACTGGCTTCACTGTTCCAGTTCGGACTGTTCCCTCTAGTGAGCCAAGTACAACAGCTTCCTGGGTCACTCATCCTGCACAGATCAGCACACCTGTTTTGAGAACAACCCCCAGTTTTTCCCATAGTAGACCAGATGCCACACCTTTAATGGCCACCAGTCCTGGGACAGAAGTCAGTTCAGCTGTGCTGACAACAATCTCACCTGGTGCACCAGAGATGGTGACTTCACAGATCACTAGTTCTGGGGCAGCAACTAGTACAACTATTCCAACTTTGACTCATTCTCCTGGTGTGCCAGAGACCACAGCCTTATTGATCACCCATCCCAGCACAGAGACAAGTACATTTCCTGCTTCAACTGTGTTTCCTCAAGTCTCAGGGACCACAGCCTCACTCTCCATTAGACCTGGCACAGAGACTAGCACAGCTCTCTCAACTCAGACAACACCCTCTCCCTTCACCCTACTTGTAACTGGAACTGGCAGAGTTGATCTAAATCCAACTGCTTCACCTGGTGTTTCTGCAAAAACAGCCTCACTTTCCACCCATCCAAGGACAGAAACCAGCACAATGATTCCAACTTCAACTCTTTCCCTTGGTTTATTAGAGACTACAGGCTCACTAGCCACCAGCTCTTCAGTAGAAACCAGCACCGGTACTCTAACTCTGACTGTTTCCCCTGCTGCCTCTGGGCTTCCCAGTGCCTCCATAACAACTGGTAAGCCCCAAACTGTGACCTCCTGGAACACAAAAACCTCACCATCTGTAACTTCAGCTGGACCCCCAGAATTTTCCAGGACTGTCACAGGCACCACTATGACCTTGATACCATCAGAGACACCAACACCACCTAAACCCAGTCATAGAGAAGGAGTGAGTCCAACCACTCTCTTGAGAACTACGGTGGTTGAAACCACTAATTTAGCTGCCACAGGTTCCAGTCCCACTGCGGCCAAGACCACAACCACCTTCAATACACTGGCTGGAAGCTCCTTTGCTCCTCTGACCACACCTGGGATGTCCACCTTGGTCTCTGAGAGTGTGACCTCAAGAGCAAGTAAGAATAACTTTTTTATTGTGGTAAAATATAAATACTATAAAATTTTCCATTCTAAACATTTTAAATGTACAATTCAGCAGTACTAATACATTAACATTGTTGTGCAACCCTCACCACTATCTATTTTCAAAACTTTTTTTTTTTTTGTCACCCCAAACTGGACTGAAGGAATAATTTCCCATTCCCCATTCTCCCTAGTGCAGTGGTGCAATCTTGGCTCACTGCAACCTCTGAACCTCTGTCTCCCGGGTTCAAGCAATTCTCCTGCATCAGACTCCTGAGTAGCTGGGACTACAGGTGCACACCACCATGCCTGGCTAATTTTTTGTATTTTTAGTAGAGACAGGGTTTCACTATGTTGGGCAGGCTGCTCTCGAACTCCTGACCTCAGGTGATCCACCCTCCTCGGCCACTCAAAGTGCTGGGATCACAGGCATGAGTCACTGCACCCAGCCCTGTCTCACTTTTCTTTTCTTTTCTTTTTTTATTTTTTTGAGACGGAATCCTACTCTGTCACCAAGCTGGAGTGCAGTGGCACAATCTTGGCTCACTGCAACCTCCGCCTCCCTGTTCAAGGGATTCTCCTGCCTCAGCCTCTCGAGTAGCTGGGACTACAAGGTGTGTGCCACCACACCCAGCTAATTTTTGTATTTTCAGTAGAGATGGGGTTTCACCATGTTGGCCAGGATGGTCTCCATCTCTTGACCTCATGATCCACCCTTGGCCTCCCAAAGTGCTGGGATTGCAGGCATGAGCCACCGCGCCTGGCTGTCTCAGCCCGTACAGCCCTGAGCAAACTGGAATCACTGGTCACCCCACATAGGAAGGTCTCAGACAGTGACTGCTACATAAGGTACTTCAAGTAGGATGGCCCAGGCTGGACCCCAGCTGGATGCTGGAGTTAAAATGTGTCCTCAGAGCTTTTCCTCCCACGCCCCACTACCCAGGGTCTGACTTAGGACTGGTCTCTTCTTACCCTCCCTTTCTGCAGCTGGCATGCCTTTGTTGATGCCTTTGACTGTCAACTTCACCATCACCAACCTGCAGTACACGAAGGACATGGGGCGCCTGGGCTCTGAAATATTCAATGCCACCGAGAGGGCCCTGCAGCAGCTGGTGAGAGCCCCCCAGCCAATGCCCACTCCTCCAATGTCTCGGCCCCTCCTCCTCCTCATCTCTCTCTCATTCCTTCCCAGTTCGAGCCCTTGTTCCAGAACAGCAGTATTGGTTCCCTCTATGCTGGCTGCAGGCTGACCTCGCTCAGGTGAGAACCCCCTTCACGGCACCTACAGCAACCCCGATTCAGTCCTTTCTTTGACTCCCACACCCCCAGCAGCCACAGCGACTTGGGCTTTTGCTGAGAGGCAGTATAGCATCATAGACCCAAAGTGCCTCGGTTTGAACGCCGGCTCTACAATTTGCTAGCTGTGTGACCCTGGGCAAGACGCACAGCCTCTCTGTTCCTCAATCATATTATTTATAAAATGGTGATGATAACCTTCTCTTACTCTTGGTGATAATAACAGTCTCTTATTCTAATGGTGATAGTAACAGTCTCTTGCTCTTTTCTCTCTGTTTTTTTTTTTGAAATGGAGTCTCACTCTGTCACCCAGGCTGGAGTACTGTGGTATGATCTTAGCTCACAGCAACCTCCGCCTCCCAGGTTCAAGCGATTCTCCTGCCCCAGCCTCCCAACAGTCTCTTACTCTTAATCGCTTAGCACAGTGCCTGGACCATTGTGAATGCTCACTTAATTAGGACTCATAGCAGCAATTGGTGTAGCATCTTTGCCAAAGGTATCCCCAGAATCCCTGACAGCTTCCTGGCCCCAGCCCATCTCTACCACATTAGAGTCAAACTCCAGACACCACAGCTCTGCAGTTTGCTCCCTGGAAAGAGATAGGGACTTTCCCAAAGTCAGTCTTACTGAATCAAAGGGAAAAATCCATTATCTTTTTTTTTTTTTTTTTTAATTTTACTTTAAGTTCTGCGATACATGCGCAGAACGTGCTGGTTTGTTACATAGGTATACATGTGCCATAGTGGTTTGCTGCACCTATCAACACGTCATCTAGGTTTTAATGACCTGTCTTTTCCTCTCTGCTTGTGTCCCCTCAGTGTTCTCTGGGCGCAGCAGATTCAGTACCCTTTCCTTACACCTCACAACCCTGCAGCCTCTCTGTGAGGTCCTCCATTCCGTCAACTCAGATCCCCCGCCAGAGGGATGGGTCTTCTACTCACATGGCCCCATGAAAAGAAATCAAAACTGGCCGGGCGCGGTGGCTCACGCCTGTAATCCCAGCACTTTGGGAGGCCGAGACAGGCGGTTCACGAGGTCAGGAGATCAAGACCATGCTGGCTAATACGGTGAAACCCCGTCTCTACTAAAAAATACAAAAAACTAGCCGGGCGACGTGGCGGGCGCCTGTAGTCCCAGCTGCTTGGGAGGCTGACGCAGGAGAATGACGTAAACCCGGGAGGCGGGGCTTGCAGTGAGCTGAGATCCGGCCACTGCACTCCCGCCTGGGCGACAGAGCGAGACTCCGTCTCAAAAAAAAAAAAATGAGCTCCCCTGACCCCACCCGCCCCCATCTCTCCATAGGATCAGGGAATGTCATAACATTGTTCTTACGACATGCCACAGGCAATCTAAGTGGTTTACGTGTTTTCATTTATTTTATCCTCACAACCACATTATTTTTATCCCACCTTGTGGATGAGAAAACTGAAGCTCAGAATAATCAAGTTCCTTGCTTAAGAGAAGCCTGGCTTTAAGCCGAAGGGTTCTGGTTCTAGAATCTTTACTTGTAACCTTGACACCAGCAGTTCTCAAGCTCACTGGGTTCCACAACCTTTTACATTCCACTTTGTTGACATATCATTGACATGTAAACATTGTGTATTTGTAAGGTGTACAACTAGATGTCTTGACCTGTGTGAACCTGGTGAAGTGGTCACCAGAATGCAGCTAATTTGCACATCCAGCACCTCTCCAGAGTTACCATTTGTGCACGCATGTGTGTGTGTTGAGAAGATTTAATTTAAGATCAATCCTCTCTGCTAATTTCAAGTATACAATACAGCATTGTTAACCTTCATAATCATGCTACACATTAGATCTTCAGAACTTATTCACCTTATAGTTTAAACTTTGTACCCTTTGGCCAGCATTATCCCATTCTCTCCTCCTTTTGCATTCTTAAAAAGTACTCATAGCCGGGCGTGGTGGCTCATGCCTGTAATCCCAGCATTTTGGGAGGCTGAGGCAGGTGGATAACCTGAAGTCAAGAGTACGAGACCAGCCTGGCCAACATGGTAAAACCCTATCTCTCCTAAAAATACAAAAATTAGCTGGGCGTGGTGGCGCATGCCTGTAATCCCAGCTACTTGGGAGGCTGAGGCACAAAAATTGCATGAACCTGGGGGGCGGAGGTTACAGTGAGCTGAGATCGCGCCACTGCACTCCAGCCTGGGGGACAGAGTGATACTCTGTCTGAAAAAAAAAAAAAAGTATTCAGAACTCCAAAGAGCCTTTGGGCTTGTATAACAATATTTACTGTATTCAAAATTAAAACTAGCCCAGGCACAGTGGTTCACACCTGTAATCCCAGCACTTTGGGAGGCCGAGGCAGGCAGAAGACTTGAGCTCAGGAGTTTGCGACCAGCCCAGACGAGCAAGTGAGACTCAGTCTCTACAAAAAATACAAAACTTAGCTGGGTGTGGTGGCGTCTGACTGTGATCCCAGCTACTTGGGAGGCTGAGGTGGGAGGATGGCTTGAGCCAGGAGGCAGAGGTTAGAGTGAGCCAAGATTGCACCACTGCACTCCAGCCCGGGGAAGCAGAGCCTGATCTTGCTCAAAAAAAAAAAAAAAAAATTAAAACTAAGAAATAGTACGAATATGTATTCATTCATTCACTAAAAATAATAAATCTACTACATGTTAACATAGAGAACATATTTTTAGGTATAATAGCCATATTTCACCCCCCTTCATCCAAAAAAAAAAAAAAACCATTTAAAAAAAGGGGCGTAGTTTGCAAATCTTTTTCTTTTAATGTTGCTTAGATTTACCTTTTATTTTACTTTTTAATTGGCATATATTGATTGTACATATTTATAGTCTTAGTACCTGTGGTATATAGTGATCAGATCAAGGTAATTAACACATCTATTATCTCAAACATTGATCACTTCTTTGTGTTGGGACCATTCAATATCCTCCTTCTAGCTATTTGACACTAATAATATTTTGTTTTTTAATTTTTAATTTTTGTGGGTACACAGTAGGTGGATATTTACGGGGTACATGAGATGTTTGGATGCAGGCATGCAACGTGTGACCATCACTTCATGGAGAGTGGGGCATTCATCCCATCAAGCATTTATTCTTTGTGTTACAAACAATCCAGTTATACTTTTTTAGTTATTTTAAAATACACAATTAAATTATTATTGCCTATAGTCACCCTGCTGTGCTATTAAGTACTGGAGTTTTTTTTCAGTAATTTTTTAAACTTTAATTTTAATTTTTGAGATGGAATCCCGCTCTGTCGCTGAGGCTGGGGTGCAGTGGCGTGACCTCAGCTCACCGCAACCTCTGCCTCCTGGGTTCAAGTGATTCTCCCACCTCACCTCAGCCTCCTGAGTAGCTGGGACTATAGGCGCCCACCACCACACCTGGCTAATTTTTGTATTTTTAGTAGAGACGGGGTTTCACCATTTTGGCCAGGCTGGTCTTGAACTCCTCAGCATAAGTGATCCACCTGCCTCGGCCTCCCAAAGTGCTGGGATTACAGGTGTGAGCCACTGTGCCTGGCACTTTTTTAGTTATTTTAAAATGTATAATTAAGGCCAGGCATGGTGGCTCATGCCTGGAATTCTAGCACTTCGGGAGGCCGAGGTGGGCCAATCACCTGAAGTCAGGGGTTCAAGATCAGCCTGGTCGACATGGCAAAACCCTGTCTCTACTAAAAATACAAAATTAGCCGGGCACAGTGGTAGGCACCTGTAATCCCAGTCACTCTGGAGGCTGAGGCAGGAGAATCACTTGAACCCACGAGAGGGAGGTTACAGTGAGCCAAGATCGCGTCATTGCACTCCAGCCTGGGTGACAAGAGTGAAACTCTGTCTCAAAAAAAAAAAAAAAGAAAAGTCAAGACGTGCAAAAAGATCACCATTTCGGACGGTGATGACTAATCAATTTGACTTGTGTGTTATCTTCACCGCCAAACCATTCGTTCTGTAGCTTAGGAGCACCCTCCACCCCGTTTGCTCACACTATCCTGTAATCTCTGTGCTCTCACTGCTGTTCTTTGGGTTTCACATTTTCCTTATATTCTTCCACGTCTAGCTGGATTGCAGAGTTAAGTTTATGATTATGAAAGAAAAACTAAATCACAACAACAACAACAAAAACCACCAACGGGCACCACTGGAGAAAGGAGTTGTTCAGAGTGTCAGCTGTCAAGTATCTCTGTATGTCCGTATTCCCATGTCCCTCCCTAGGGCTGAAAAGGACGGGACAAGCACCAGAGTGGATGCCATCTGCACCTACCGCTCAGATCCCACCACCTATGAGCTGGACAGAGAGCAGCTGTACTGGGAGCTGAGCCAGTTAACTCATGGCGTCACCCTGTTGGGACCCTACACTCTGGACAGGAACAGCCTCTATGTCAACGGTGAGTAGCTATTGACAATGGTGAGTAGCTTGGGCTACAGTTGGGGAGGCTCCTCCTGCTCCCCAAATGGGTCTCCCTGTAGTACAAGTCCTCTACCTATGTTCAAAGTTCTGGGCCGACCTAGAATGTCCAGGGGGTGTCTGTTTTCTCTCCACTCAACACACTTCAAAAGAAGCTTTCAGTCGGGCACGGTGGCTCACGCTGGCTCACGTCAGCACTTTGAGATGCCGAGGCGGGCAGATCACAAGGTCAAGAGATCAAGACCAGCCTGGCCAACATGGTGAAACTCCGTGTCTACTCAAAATACAAAATTTAGCTGGGTGTGGTGGCGTGTGCCTGTAATCCCAGCCATTCGGTAGGCTGAGGCAGGAAAACTGCTTGAACCTGGGAGGCGGAGGTTGCAGTGAACCCAGATCACGCTACTGCACTCCAGCCTGGCAACAGAGCAGGACTCCATCGCAAAAAAGAAGAAGCTTCTTTCAAGTGGAAATAAAGATTCCCTCCACAGCCTTCTCATCCCCATGACCATTCAGAGGCCCACTGGGAGCATGCAGAATCAAGGAAGGAAGGGAAAAGCCAGGATCATTGTGGTGACTGGACATAATTCTTCCCCAACAAGCAACAGGTTCCCAATGCAGTCACTCATCTTCGTCTTTCTCTTGTTTATAGCAGCTGGTGGCCCTTTACTTTCTCCAAAGGTCAGCTGGAACTATACACTCCACTCGCAAAACAAACCAAAAAACTCTGAGTAATGTGTTTAGCAATAACGCCCTTTGCAACAATGCTGTTGGCAACAATACCAACAGGAACACCTAAGATAAAGGTTAATATTTATTGAGAGATTCCTGTGATACTGAACTTCATATGTATATTATGTTTTACTAACCTTACCCAAAGTCTTAGCAGGCTGTAAAATATACATACCAGAGAAACAAACAAGGCTCAGGGCAGGGAATCTGTTTGCCCAAGTTTTGATAGCTAAGTAGTAGAATTGGGACTCAAACCCCAAATTGACTCTAAAATCTAGCCACCCTAACTTCTTCTCCTATTATTTATTTATTTATTTATTTATTTTTTAAGACAGAGTCTTGCTCTGTCGCCCAGGCTGGTGTACAGTGGTGTGATCTTGGCTCACTGCAACCTCTGCCTCCTGGGTTCAAGCCATTCTCCTGCCTCAGCCTCTCCAGTAGCTGGGATTGCAGGCACACGCCACCACGCCAGGCTAATTTTTGTATTTTTAGTAGAGACAGGGTTTCACCATGTTGGTCAGGCTGGTCTCGAACTCCTGACCTCAGGTGATCCACCCGCCTCGGCTTCCCATAATGCTGGGATTACAGGCATGAGCCACCGCACCTGGCCACCACCCTAACTTCTAAGCATCGCTACAGACCCAGCATGAATAAGCCCACACATCTCAGGATGGAAAAGGCTATCAAGGAGCTTCTAATACAACAATTTGAGCTAAAGTTTGATTAACTCTGTCCTCACTATACCACCTTAGACATTTTCTTTATACCTGGATGACAACCTGCCTTGTATTTCATTACAAGTCATTGAGAGTGACTTAAAAGTAGTTGTTAACAGTGTGTGTTTTGGTGAATCCCAAGTCCTGGTGCTGCTGACCGTGTGGCCCTGGGAGAGTCCTGCAGCATCTCTAGGCTTCTGGAACAATGCTCTTAGCAACATCACCAACAAGAACACCTACAATAAAAGCTAATATTTACTGTAAAAGCTAATATTTACAGAACTACTTGTATGTGTTATGTCTCACTAATCCTGCCCAAAGGATTCAATGTCCTTTTTTTTTTTTTTTTTTTTTGACAGTCTCCCTCTGGCGCCCAGGCTGGAGTGCAGTGGTACAATCTTAGCTCACTGCAGCCTCCGCCTCCCGGGTTCAAGCGATTCTCCTGCCTCAGCCTCTCAAGTAGCTGGGACTACAGGTGCCCGCCACCACGCCTGGCTAATTTTTGTATTTTTAGTAGAGACGGGGTTTCACCATGTCGGCCAGGCTGGTCTCAAACTCCTGACCTCAGGTGATCCACCTGCCTCAGCCTCCCAAAGTGCTGGGATCACAGGCGTGCGCCTCTGTGCCTGCCCATATGTGTTATGTCTTACTAATCCTCTAATCCTGCCAAAAGGATTCAGTGTCCTTATTTATTTATTTGTTTATTTTTGATAGAGTTTCCCTCTAGTGCCCAAGCTGGAGTGCAGTGGTATAGTCTTGGCTCACTGCAGCCTCCACATCCCGGGTTCAAGTGATTCTCCTACCTCAGCCTCTCGAGAAGCTGGGACTACAGGCGCCCGCCACCACACCTGGCTAATTTTTGTAATTTTGTAGAGATGGGGTTTCACCATGTTGGCCAGGCTGGTCTTGAACTCCTGACCTCCTGTGATCCACCCACCTCAGTCTCCCAAAGTGCTGGGATTATAGGCGTGAGCCACCGTGCCCAGCCATATGTGCTATGTCTCACTAATCTTGCCCAAAGGGTTCAGTTTTTTGGTTTTTTGTGTTTTTTTAATGGAGTCTCCCTCTGGCGCCCAGTCTGGAGTGCAGTGGTACAATCTTGTCTCACTGCAGCCTCCGCCTCCCAGGTTGAAGCGATTCTCCTGCCTCAGCCTCTCGAGTAGCTGGGACTAGAGGCGCCCGCCACCACGCCTGGCTAATTTTTGTATTTTTGTAGAGATGAGGTTTCACCATGTTGGCCAGGCTAGTCTCAAACTCCTGATCTCAAGTGACCCACCCAAAAGCCTCCCAAAGTGCTGGGATTACAGGTGGGAGCCACCTCACCTGCCCCTATTTTCGGAATGGATTTTTTTTTTTAAATTTTTTAAATGTCAGCTAAGATTATTGTGAAGATCAAATAAGATAAAAACCTCATAACCTAAGTAAATGATAGGGCTCCGCTTGGCCCAGTCTCAGAAGTTTCAAGAAAACCAGTCAAACCAGCAAATGTAAAATAAGTCTAAATTTTCTTTGCACTATTCACAGAGCGCCAAAGAGGATCTAATTCATGTTTCAGAACATACCACACTTGCTAAAATCCCGCAATACTCATGAAAGACTCATGAAAACTCCAGGCTCCTAACTACGAGACATCACTGTGGATCGTCCAAATACAAGCCCCAATCTTAGGACAGGAATGAGGCATGAATGGCCTCTGTGCTAATGATCTAACCTAATGCTGAATTTGTTATTTCCCCTCTGAATCCACTTGGAGATTTCCTTTATATCTGATTTGAAATAGAGGATATATACTCCTCTATCCTTGACATAGGAGATAATACACACAAAGTATTTCATTGTAGTATCAAGTACACAACCTGTTCTGTGTCCATAGGATTATGACTAATTTAGGGCACAGCTTAACAGTGTGGTACTATTGAATGACAGACAGATGTCTGTTTTGTTGGATGCAGGACAAGCCATGTAACCTCCCTAGACTTTAGTGTCCTCTCTGTAGAATGGAATAAAAATACCATGTGGGATTGTTCCAGTAATCAAATGAGATAATTCAGGAACAACCCATGTGAATTACAGGGCTGTCCTGGGTTCCATCTTTCCTTGTATCTCTCACAGAGCCTCAAAGGAGATGCAATTCATGACCTAGAGAAACACTCATGGCAACTTCTCTTATCCCCAATTCCTTTCTTGCTCCAATGGTAATGCCACTCCTGTCATCCTGAAGTCTCGTTTTTACCACCACATCCGTTTTGCCAAATTTTCTCCAGTATTCCAAACCATATTAACCCTTCCTTCCTTCCTTCCTTCCTTCCTTCCTTCCTTCCTTCCTTCCTAAGTCTGTTTTACCACCACATCCGCTTCTTGCCAAATTTTCTCCAGTATCAAGTAAAAACCATACACCTTCCTTTTCCTTCCTTCCTTTCCTTTCTTCTTCTTCCTTTTCCTTCCTTTCCTTCCTTCTTCTTCTCCCTTCCTCCCTTCCTTCCTTCCTTCCTTCCTTCCTTCCTTCCTTCCTTCCTCCCTCCCTCCCTCCCTCTTTCTTTCTTTCTTTCTTTCTTTCTCTTTCCTTCTCTTTCTTTCTCTCTTTCCTTCTTTCTTCTTTCTTTCTTTTTCTCTTCTCTTCTTTTCTTTTTGAGACACAGTCTCTCTCTGTCGCACAGGCTGGAGTGCAATGGCACGATCTCAGCTACTGCAACCTCCGCCTCCTGGGTTCAAGTGATTCTCTTGCCTCAGCCTCCTGAGTAGCTGGGATTACAGGCACCCACTGCCATGCCATGCTAATTTTTGTGTTCTTAGTGGAGAGGGGGTTTCACCATGTTGGCCAGGATGGTCTTGAACTCCTGACCTCAAGTGATCCGCCTATCTAGGTCTTCCAAAGTGCTGGGATTACAGGCGTGAGCCACCGCACCCGGCTCCATATGAACCATTTCTATCCCTCATCTCTCTATACTTTTACCTAAAAATACCACTCTATTCACCCATCACATTTTTGTCAGTTCTACATCACACACACACACACACACACACACACACACACACACACAGAGAGAGAGAAACAAAGCTGGAAAAAAATTGTACTATCATGAAATTTTGTGAAAGGAGGTAAACTGACAGAGTAAGAATCAAACTAAATTATCTTTATGGGTAGAGACAACACGAATAAGATCAGAAAGCTCACTCATCCATACATGTGTCTTTCCACCCTTGTAATGTATTTATTATTATTGCTGGTGCATACTAGATTCCCCATAAATAGGGACAGCTATTATGATATTTTTATTTCAGGAATAATAATGGTGATGATCTCCACCATTATTGTCAAAGGACAAAGCACAAAATAAGTACCAAATAAAATGTAGCCATTATCCTTTATTCACAAAAGATCTTGGCCCCACCTCTTCTCAATGAAATGTCCATGACTTGTTCAACTTTGGCAACTCTGGGCTGAGACGATGGAGGTTTCCTTGTGAGCTGAAGTCACGCATCTAAGGGGGAAGCGCTTTCCCTCCCTCTGGCTGGCTGAGGGATAGCCCAGATGGGGTCATCATGAAAGTTTCCCATGATTTCCATTTCTAGATCTACCATCTTCCCCTCCCCTACCTCTCACCCATCATAATAGTCCTTCTTTACTCTTTCCTCCCTATCTGCAGGTTATAACCGTCGGTACCAGACCCCTGCCACCAGCAGTGAGTATTCAAAGCTGTGATATTCCAATGGCCTTGGGACCCTTCCTCCCCAAGGTGCATTCCTCAAAAAAGAAACTGATCATTCCCCTCCCTGCGGGCCCAGCCACAGCCTCAGAGCAGCCCCTAACCCATCAAGGTCTTGGTGTGAGTCAAGATAGAAGCCCAAATACCAATGAGCAGTTCCTGTGCCACATGCCTTTAGGAAGACACCCAATCATTTTTCCATGTTCTTTTTTTCTCAGCTCCAGTGACTTCTACATTCTCCCCAGGGATTTCCACATCCTCCATCCCCAGCTCCACAGGTAGGAAGCTCCTCTCTGGCGTCTATGAATGTAACGCTGCACGGTCTGTTCCCTGCTGACCACCCAGCCTCAGCCTGTTCCACTCTCCCTCTCCCTCTCTAATTTTTTTTCTTTTTTCTTTTTCTTTATTTTACATGGAGGCTTGTTCTGTCACCCAATCTGGAGTGCAATGGCGTGATCTCAGCTCACTGCAACCTTCGCCTCCCAGGTTCAAGTGATTCTCCTACCTCAGCCTCCCAAGTAGCTGGGATTACAGGCATGCGCCACCACGCCTGGCTAATTTTTGGTATTTTTAGTAGAGACAGGGTTTCACCATGTTGGCCAGGCTGGTCTCGAACTCCTGACCTCAGGTGATCCACCTGCCTCGGCCTCCCAAAGTGCTGGGATTATAGGTGTGAGCCACCACTCCTGGCCCACTCCCTAAATTTTGACCATCCCAGGTACTTGAGTGGTATTCTAGCACCCTAACTTCTGTCCAGCCTCGGGAGTTTTGCACTAGCGATTCCTGGAGACCAGTTATGGTTGGTATCTTCTCAACTTTCTATTATTTATTTATTTATTTATTTATTTATTTATTTTTGAGATGGAGTCTCACTCTGTCACCCATGCTGGAGTGCAGTGACACGCTCTTGGCTCACTGGAACCTCTACCTCCTGGGTTCCTGCAATTTTCCTGCCTCATCTGGAAATTTTCCCAGTGGCCAAGATTGTGCCACTGCACTCCATCCTGGGCAACGGAGCTAGGCTGTATCTCAGAAAAAAAAAAAAAAAAAAAAGATGGAAGTTGGGCATTCCTAACCCTTAACCCTGCCTTGTGATTCTGGAGTTATTGGATAGAACCTGGTGTCCTGTAATTTAAATTCTGCCTTCTGGCCTCCTGTTTTGTGAGTCACAATACTGCAAACTTTTTACATGCTGCAGACAGGATGTTCACTCTCCACTTCCTCACTGCTCTGCCCTAATCAATTCAGCCATTTATGTGACATGCCTAACTCCTCTGGGCTTGTACGTATGTAATGTGTATTGTAAAGCGAGTCATTCCATGATCAATGATGTCACTTTTTCTAGGTGCTTTCGAAATTTGTTCTTCATCATTAATTTTCAGTAGTTTGATTATGATGTGTCTGGGCATGGTTTTCTTTGAGTTTATCCTGCTTAAAGTTTTCTCAGCTTCTTGAGTCTCAAGGTGTTTGTTTTTCAAGAAATTTGGGAAATGATCTGAGACTGTATCTTCAACTTTCTTTTCTGCTCTGATTCTTTCTCCCCTTCGGACCTCCAATGAAATGATGTTGCCCCAAGAGACCCTGAGGTTCTGTTCATTTTGTTATTTATCAACCTTTTTTCCTCTCCAACTTTCAGGTTTAGTAATTTTTATAGAATATTTTCACAATCACCAAGCCTTTTCTCTGTCAGCTCCATTCTGCCCGTCCATTGAATTCTTTTTATCTCAGTTACTTTATCTTTCAGTTCGAAAGTTTCTATTTGGTGATAGATAGATAGATAGATAGATAGATAGATAGATAGACAGACAGATAGATAGATAGATGTTATAACATATATATTATATATTATGTTATATAAAATACATTTATGATGATAATGTAACATATATGTTATATATAGCTATTTATATAGCCATAACTATATATAAACTATATATAGTTATATATAACCATATATAGTTACCATATAGTAACCATATTTATAAAACACATAGTTACATATATAGTGTCTCTCTATATAGTTATAGTTATATATATGGTTATAGATAGAGTTTCTATATCTGTAACTATATATAGTTATATATGTATGTTTCTCTGTATATAACTAGATATATTTCTATATCTATAGTTATAGAAACTATATATATAACTGGGAGATGCTGGGGAAAGATAGCATGAGGAAGCCTGGAGCAGTCATGGTCATCCCTGCTCCGCGCCGAACTCATCAAGAACAGGAGAAGGGTCCTCCTCATTCTCCAGCCATGTTGACCTTGAGCAATTTACTTACCCTCTCAGTACCTCAGTTTTCTCACCTGCCAAGTGGGGATAACAATATTTCATAAATTGGTTGCAAATGTTAAATGCAACTCTATGTAAGAACACCTAGCACGGGGGCTACCAGGGAATTCGGTTTAACAAATATTTATCAGGCACCTATTCTGGGCTAGGCAGAGGGGATAAGATGTTGACTAAGTCAAATGCAGTCCCTCCCCTCACCAAGTTTACAGTGTATTGGGGAAGACTGAAATGGAACAAGCAATTACAATTAACAATAAAAGACAACCAAGTTATTCAGCACTTACTATATGGCATACTGTGTGCTATTTTTTTTATTTTTAACTTTTCATTTTGAAATAAATAATAAATATAATAAAATAAATAATAAATAATATAAATAAGTAATAAATAACTTCATTTTGAAATAATATATATAATAAAATAATATAAATAAATGATAAATAACTTTTCATTTTGAAATAAATAATAAATAAATTCAGGGGATGTTGCGAAAATAGTGTAGCATTCCCCTATACCCTTCACCCAGTTTCTCCCCAATGGCTACATCTTACATAACTCTAATACAATATCAAAAGCAGGAAATTGACGTTGTTAAAATCCATTTTACTGGTTTTACCTGTGTGTGCGTATGTGAGCTTGTGTGTGTGCATGCACGTGTGTGCATGCATGCATGTGTGTGCATGTGTGCATGCATGTGTGCATATGTGCATGGGTGCATGCGTGTGTGTGCATGTGCATGTGTGCACGTATGTGTGAGTTTTTGCACGTGTGTGCATGTGCACGTGTGTGTCCATGCACGTGTGTGTCCATGCATGTGTGTGTGCATGTGTGTGGGTAGCCTATGCAATTTTTATCACATGATCGTAGCCCTATAATCACCACCACCATCAAGATTCAGAACTGTTCCATTCCCCCAAAGATTCCCCTCATGCTACCCTTCATAATCATGCCCGCCGAGCCCAACACTATTGAACAGAATAACCATTGTATTCTGCCCTCCATCTCCCTCTCCCTCTCCCTCTCTACAATTTTATTTTGAGTATGTTATTTAAATGGAAATGCCCAACATGTCACCTTTGGATCTGGCTTCTTTTCCACTCAGTGTAATGCCCTGGAGATGTAGATGTCTTCTTTTTAACAGTCATGTAACCTTCCTAATTTCCCTCCAAAATATCATTATGCCCCTTGTTGCCTTTTTTTTTTTTTTTTTTTTTTTTGGTTTGAGACAGTCTCGCTCTGTTGCCCAGGCTGGAGTGCAGTGGTATAATCTCAGCTCAATGCAGCCTCCATCTCCCGGGTTCAAGTGACTCCCCTGCCTCAGTCTCCTGAGTAGCCGGGATTACAAGTGCATGCCACCAAGCCTGGCTAACTTTTGTATTTTTAGTAGAGACAGGATTTCACCGTCTTGGCCAGGCTGGTCTCAAATTCCTGACCTCAAGTGATCTGCCCGCCTTGGCCTCCCAAAGTGCTGGGATTACAGGCGTGAGCCACCGCGCCTGGCCCATTATGCCCATTGTATTACAGTGGAAGAAACTGAGGTATGGACAGGTAACATGTCCATGGTCACTTGGCTGGTGAGGGGCAGAGAGGGGATTTGAAAACAAATCTGACTCACTAGTGTGGCTGTAACCACGGTAACTATGTCTGTCTACCATGTGGTCTCCTCTTTATTAAAGGAAAGGCAAGTTCTGGGAGTATGGGGATTGGGTGGGGAAGGGTAGCCAAATAAAGCAGGTGAGAGAAGGTCTGCTGTAAGGACTGCTGTTTGATGTTTTGTCGTTGTTGTTCAATGTTCAATGGGATTGAGTTGACTCTTTTTTTCCTTCTTGTTCCCCAAAGCATGAGACTGTCCCGGTCCTTTTTCCTTTTAACTTCTCAGCTAGAGTTTGTTAGGGTGGTTATGGGCACCTGGCAGAGTCTGAGACCTCAGCTTCCAGTAGGCACACATTCTGACCCAATACATCCACCCTGGTCCCCTAACCTGCTTCTGGGCCCAGGTAATGCATTTTAGCAACATCCCACTCTTCTCCTTACCTGGCTTTCCGTTATCCATCCAAACTAAAGCACCCACCTGTCTGCTTCAAGCTCTTGCTTCAAGCACTCTGTCTGGGTCCTCAGAAATTGACTTAGAGTCAGTTCAGATCTGACTCAGGCGTGGTCTTCTTTTCTCCTTCCTTGCAGCAGCCACAGTCCCATTCATGGTGCCATTCACCCTCAACTTCACCATCACCAACCTGCAGTACGTGGAGGACATGCGGCACCCTGGTTCCAGGAAGTTCAACGCCACAGAGAGAGTCCTGCAGGGTCTGGTGAGAGCCCCGCCCACCTTACTCCTCCCCCGCCCACTGAGACAAACCACGCCCACCTCACACTACCTCTCCCACTAATGCCAGCCATGGCCACCTCATCCAACCCCAGCCACCTTTCCCTGCCCCACCCACTGATTTTAGCCAAGCCCACCTCACCCTGCCCCGCCTACTGATGCCAGCCACGCCCACCTTTCCATGCTACGCCCACTTATTTCAGTCACGCCCACCTCACCCTGTCCCACCCACATCACTCCAGCCTGGTCCACCCCTCCAGTGCCCCACTCTTCCTGGCTTCCCACAGCTGTTGTTTCTGTTTCTCACCTCCCCTCTCCTTCCTTGCAGCTCAAACCCTTGTTCAGGAATAGCAGTCTGGAATACCTCTATTCAGGCTGCAGACTAGCCTCACTCAGGTGAGACCCTCCCCAAGAAAAACACAACCCAACAGGTGAATATGACCCTAGTCTCTGGGATCCTTGATTCTGTTCATACTTGGAACAACTATTGCCCATGGATACTAAGCATCACCACCACCAGCAGCAGCTAACTCTTCCTAAGACCCAAGCGGCATTATTATGTACTTTATATTTAATGCTTCATCAGTGTTTGCAACAGTCTCATGAAGCAGGAGCAGAAGGAGAAACTGAGCCTAGGTTAAGTGGCTTGTGCCAGGGCACACGAAGCAATTCCAGCACTTCAGGTTCTAGATCCAAACTCCTATTCCTTAGGTGGCACTGCCTCTTCTGCTCCCTTGCAACATGTGGAAAACCCCAGTCTGATTTCCCTCTAAAGGAACTTTCCCAGAGAATCTAAGAGGGGAAGAAAGGAAGGCGTTCAGCCCTTACACACAGGAGGTCAGCTCCTGAGTGACTCAGAATGCAGCCACAGAGGGCCTGGCCGGTCTGAGGGAGACTGAGAGGCGCCGAGGGCACTGTCCCTGAGTGTGGAAAGGGCAGGTCTTTTAGGGTAGACGTTGGTTGATATCATTTCCTGCCTGGCATTCTCACCTTTCACGCCTCCTACACAGAATCTCCAAGTGTGTCTCTCCCAGGAGTCCCATTTTATCAGTCATCTACCTCCAGCTTCCTTTCCCTCCCAGGGGGAAGCGGGAACAGGGTGCCCTAGTGGCTAAGAGCATTGGTGAACTCAGGCAGACCTCAGTTCTAAACCAACCCAGCTCTGCCATTTACTGAGTTCTGTGACCCTGAGCAAGTGCCTGACATCTTCTGTGCCCTGTTTCCCGACATATTATATACATAAAATACATATATAGACATATATTGCATATGGATATTGAGGCATATTTTATAAACGCATGTTTATAGACATATTTTATATGCACATGCTATATACATATACAGTATATGTTATGTATAATGTATATATTATACATATTGTTATATTGTATACATGTTATATGTTATAACACATATAGTACATGTTATCTATAACATATACATTATGTTACATATAACATGTGTTACATATAACATATGTACATAACATAACATTATGTTACATATGTTATGTTACATATAATGTATATGTTATATATGATATATAATTATATATTATATAATTGTTATATATAAGGTATATATTATAGTTGTTATATATTATATACAGCATATAGCATATACATTATGTATTATCTATAATATAATCTACATATATAACATATGTATAACTTTTGTGTTATATAATGTATATAACATATGTGTGTGATGTATATAACATATCTGACATTAACATATAATATATGCTATAATATATGTTATAACATATAATATATGCTATAATATATGTTATAACATATATTTCATGTTACATATAACATACATTTTGTTATAAATCAGTTTAATATACATTATGTTACATATAATGTATATGTTATATATGACATATATAATTATGTATTATATAATTGTTATGTATAAAGTATATATTATATTTGTTATGTATTATATACCACATATAACATATATTATATATAGTTATAATATAATATATACATACATAACATATATGTATAACTTATATGTTATATATGCTGTATATAACATATATGTGATGTATACAACATATCTGACATTAACATATAACATATATTATAATATAACATATTATATATGTTACATATATATCATGTATAAATATATAATATATAAAAGTATGTAAGTATAAATACATATCATGTATACATATATATAGTATACATGTGGATACATATAACTACTACATATATCTAGTATATATTCTATATATAACCAGTCCATGAATTACAATGATTCAGCTTATGATTTTTCAAACTTTGTGATAATGCCATAGCAATATGCATTCAGTAGAATGCATACCTTCAACACCCATGCAACCATTCTGTCATTCACTTTCGGTACAATATTCAATAAATTATATGATATATTCAACAGTTTATAATAAAATAGGCTTTGTGTTTGGTGATTTTGCCCAACTGTAGGCTAATGTAAGGGTTCAGAACATGTTTAAGGTAGGATAGGCTAAGCTATCATGTTCTGTAGGTTAGGTATAGTCAATTTTTATTTTTATTTTTATTTTTAAGACAGAGTCTTGCTCTGTCACCTAGACTGGAATGCAGTAGTGCGATCATAGCTCACTGCAGCCTCGAATTCCTGGGCTCAAGTGATCCTCCCACCTCAGCCTCCTGAGTAACTAGGACTACAGGTGTGTGTCACCACACCTGGCTATTTTTTTTTTCAATTTTTTTGTGGAGAGGAGGGTCTTGCCATGTTGCCCAGGTGGCCTTGAACTCCTGGGCTCAAGGAATCCTCCCACCTTGGCCTCCCAAAATCCTGGGATTACAGGCATGAGCCACCACACCTGGCTACAGGGCATTTTTGACTTATGATATTTTTAATTCACAATGGTTTATCAGGGCCGGGCATGGTGGCTCCCACTTGTAATCCCAGCACTTTGGGAGGCTAAGGCAGGTGGATCACTTGAGGCCAGGAGTTTGAGACCAGGCTGGCCAAATGGCAAAATCTTTGTCTCTACTAAAACTACAAAAATTAGCCAGGCGTGGTGTGACAGCTGTAGTTCCAGCTACTCAGGAAACTGAAGCATGAGAATCACTTGAACTTAGGAGATGAAGGTTGCAGTGAGTCAAGGTCACACCACTGCACTCCAGCCTGGATGACAGAGAGAGACTCCTGTCTCCAAAAAACAAAAAACACAGGCTGGGTGCGTGGCTCACGCCTGTAATCCCAGCACTTTGGGAGGCTGAGGCTGGTGGATCACCTGAGGTCAGTAGTTCAAGATCAGCTTGGCAAACACGGAGAAAACCCATCTCTACTAAAAATACAAAAATTAGCTGGGTGTGGTGGCGGGTACCTGCAGTCCCAGCTACTCAGGAGGCTGAAGCAGGAGAATGGATTGAACCTGGGAAGCAGAGGTTGCAGTGAGCCAAGATCACACCACTGCACTCCAGCCTGGGCAACAGAGTGAGACTCCATCTCCAAAAACAAAAGAAAACAAAAACAAAAAAAGAAAATAAAAAACATGGGTTTATCAGGACATAATACCGTCATGAGTCAAGAAGCATCTAAAAGTACGTGGTAGTTATATAAAAATAGTTATGTAGTTATATACAATAGTTATATATAAATCAGTTTAATATATGTTAGGTAGAGGTATATGGTAGTTATATAAAAAATAGTTACACAATAGTTATATAGTTGTATAATTATATAAAACAGTTACATATAAACCAATTTAATATATGTTAGGAAGAGGTATAATAATATATATTGTATATGCTATATGATATAATAATGTATAACATGCAAAACAATATCATATATATTTCTATATTAAGCTTATATTTACAGATCTACATATTTATATATTTTATGTTATATACAATTGTGTTATACATAATATAGTATAGTACTGACTGGGGCAATTGAGCAGTACCAACCCATAGGGATGCTTTGAGGATGAAAATATGTGATTATGAATACAAAATGCTGGGTCTGCTGCATAGGAAGTGTTTAATAAATGGTGGTTGTTACTGTAAAGTCGTTCCTACTATAGAGCTACTCACAACCCTGGGACATAGGAATCCGTTTTCCTCTAATCACTCAATAGTGGGTGGCCAGGTAGGTGCGTCCATGTCCTGTGGCCAGGAACAGGTGCTGAGACATGAAGACCTTCTGACTGCTTGTTGGAGCAGCCACAGTTTCAGACAGACCAGCCAAAAAGGGCATTTTCCCCAAGCCATTTAGGTCCCTTGAGTTTCATAACAAATCTCCTAGCCCTGCTGGTCCGTAGGATCTAGAGACGATTACTTGAACCTTCTGATCCCGCCATTTGAAAACACCATGCTGTGGGCACCAGTAGGAGGGCCACTGCTACGCGCACCAGTACAAGGGCCACTGACACGGGTTACAGATTGACCCTAAGTACAGCTGTCGTACATCTGGTACCTTAGGAGGCTTATTTGGGGCCATGCAGAGCCCTGGTGTTATTATCCTAGGATCCTACACCAGGCAAAGCAGGAGCTGCCCCTCCTCATAAACCCATAAGCCCTCCTCTTGAGCAAAGCAGCTGGGAAGGCAGAAGTTATTCAAGCTCCCCTCTGCCCCAGTTCCAAAGGCAGACTCAGCTCAAGCCACATGCAGCAAACCCTATAAAAGTCTCACCTCTTGGCATTTCTGCCATGGTAATGCTTTCTGCTTCCACTAATAATCCTAGTAATTTGTTTATGGTAGGTATCTCTCTGATGAGAGCCGCATTTTTTTTGTTTGTTTGCTTGTTTGTTTGAGACAGAGTCTCGCTCTGTTGCCCAAGTTGGAGTGCAGTGGCGTGATCTTGGCTCGCTGCAACCTCTGGCTCCTGGGTTCAAGTAATTCTCCTGGCTTAGCCTCCTGAGTAGCCGGGACTGCAGGCACGTACCACCACGCCCAACTAATTTTTGCATTTTTAGTGGAGATAAGGTTTCACCATGTTGGCCAGGATGGTTTCAATCTCTTGACCTCGTGATCCACCCGCCTCAGCCTCCCAAAGTGTTGGGATTACAGGCGTGAGCCACTGCGCCCGGACTGAGAGCCACATTCTTGTAAACCACAGTTTCCCCAGATTTCGCATTAGGGGCTGACGAAGAGTGGAAAGGAAGGACAAAAGGAGGGGAGGTGGATTGATTAAGCATATGTAGGTTCTTAACCAGGCCAGAGAAGGACGGATCAGCCACAGCAGTGGATGCCATCTGCACACATCGCCCTGACCCTGAAGGCCTCGCACTGGACAGAGAGCGACTGTACTGGGAGCTGAGCAACCTGACCAATGGCATCCAGGAGCTGGGCCCCTACACCCTGGACCGGAACAGTCTCTATGTCAACGGTGAGCAGCTGTGATGTGGTTGGAGGCTCTTCCTCTTCCTCCTTGCTGGGCAGCCTGTAATCTCTGGCTTGAGGTCACACTCACTACCAGGCAATTGAAAATTTGTCCCTGTGCTCTACATGGGATGACTAAGTTCTGGACTTCAGATTATCTTTTTTTTTTTGAGACGGAGTCTCGCTCTGTTGCCAGGCTGAGGTGCAGTGGCGTGATCTCAGCTCACTGCAACCTCCGCCTCCCAGGTTCGAGCAATTCTCCTGCCTCAGCCTCCCGAGTAGATGGGACTACAGATGCATGCCACCACACCCAACTAATTTTTGTATTTTTAGTAGAGACAGGGTTTCTCCATGTTGGCCAGGATGGTCTTGATCTCTTGACCTCATAATCCACCTTGCCTTGGCCTCCCAAAGTGTTGGGATTACAGGCTTGAGCCATCGCATCTGGCCAGGATTTCATGGTTTCTTCATCATCATGGAATGAATTCCATCAGGGCATTCTTCCCTGATGTGAGGGCGCTGATAGGAAATCTTTAATGGTCCCTGTTGCATGAAACTCCTTCCATTGCACCAGGGTAGCCCTGACCCCTAATTGGTCCCCCACATCTCCTCGTCACTTACCCACACTCCTCCCTCCTTCTCTATGCAGGTTTCACCCATCGAAGCTCTATGTCCGCCACCAGCAGTGAGTATTTAACTCATTTCCACATGTCCATGATCCTACACCAAGTAAAGCAGGAGCTGCCCCTCTTCATAAACCCATAAGTCCTCTTGAGCAAAGCAGCTGGGAAGGCAGAAGTTATTCAGGCTCTCTCTGCCCCAGTTTCAAAGACAGACTCAGCTTAAGCCACATACAGCAAACCTTATAAAAGTCTCGCCTCCTGGTATTTCTGCCATGGTAGTGCTTTCTGCTCTCACTAATGAGGACTTCTCCTCAGCTCCTGGGACCTCCACAGTGGATGTGGGAACCTCAGGAACTCTATCCTCCAGCCCCAGCCCCACAAGTAAGTACCAGTTAATGACATCTCTATTACAGCATGCTATCTCTGTCATTTTTACTCAGATGAAGATGGAAAGTCATAGCAAATCTACTGACAGTGAGTGGACCAACGAAATTTGTTGGCCACTTAGTGTGTACCAGATCCTAGAGATACAGCAGGGAAAACAAAACCGATACAAAATCTCTGCTCTCAGTGAGCTTGTATTCTTGTCATGATGATGACGTTGGTGGTGGTGCTGTTGATGATGATGATGGTGATGGTGATGATGTTGAAGAAAATGATGCTGGTGATGGTGGTGGGGGTTACTATTAATAATGATAAGTTGAGTGTGATGATGATGGTGGTGGTGTTGACGATGGTGGTGATGATGATTATGCTAGTGATGTTGATGATGGTAATGGTGATGTCAATGACAATTACAATGATGGGGATGAGGATGATGTCGGTGATGGTGGTGGGGTTATGATGGTAATGATATGTTGAGTGTGATGATGATGATGGTGATTGTGGTAGTGTTGATGATGACGATGATGGTGATTATTATGCTACTGACATTGTTGGTGATGGTGACGGTGTTGTCCATGCCAATGACGATGATGGTAATGAGAATGATGTCGGTGATGGTGGTGGGGTTATGATGGTAATGATATGTTGAATGTGATGATGGTGATGATGATGTTTGTGGATCATGACCATGATGGGGATCATCATGGTGGTGCTGGTGGCACTTGTGATGACAATAATGATGATGATAATAATAATGATGACTATGATAGTGATGATGATAATGGTGATAATAAAGATAACAGATATCACCTCACAATATTGAGCACTACATATGTGCCAAGAGCTATGCTCAGCATCTAACTACTATTATATAATCTACTTTAGAAAATAAATTGTATCATAGATAAGAAAGGCATGGAAAATATTTATTATGTCACTTAATTTAATTGCTGCATATGGTTATTACAAAGTGCTATTCTCTCTACTTTGAACATAATGTTTATTTCCCACTCCCACTACAGCTGCTGGCCCTCTCCTGGTGCCGTTCACCCTCAACTTCACCATCACCAACCTGCAGTACGAGGAGGACATGCGTCGCCCTGGCTCCAGGAAGTTCAACACCACAGAGAGGGTCCTGCAGGGTCTGGTTAGTGTCTTGCCCTCCACACTCTGCCTTGCTCATGATACCCAGTTCCCCTTACATCATCCATGCCAGGGCAATGGAAGAATATCACACCCAACTCACTCTTGCCCCATGAGATGCAAGCCTCAGCCAGGAGCAGTGGCTCACGCCTGTAATACCAGCACTTTGGGAGGCCAAGGCGGGTGGATCACTGAGGTCAGGAGTTTGTGACCAGCCTGGCCAACATGATGAAACCTCATCTCTACTAAAAATACAAAATTAGCTGAGTATGGTGGTGCATGCCTGTAATCCCAGCTACTTGGGAGGGTGAGGCAAGAGAATCACTCGAATCTGGGAGGCAGAGGTTACAGTGAGCCAAGATCGTGCCTAGGCTAAGAAGCGAAACTCCATCTCAAAAAAAAAAAAAAAAAAGAAGAAGAAGAAGAAATGCAAGCCTCACCCACCGAAGCCAGCCCTGCCCAATTCACTTCTGCCTGGCTCCTACATACAACTTAGCCCTCCTACTCACCTCCCTCTCCCTCCTCCACAGCTCAGGCCCTTGTTCAAGAACACCAGTGTCAGCCCTCTGTACTCTGACTGCAGACTGACCTTGCTCAGGTGAGACCTTAGAATTTCCAGCCTGGCTGCCCCACTTGTTCTCACTCCAAAAGACTTTGCACTGCTTCCTTGCTACACTTCCTACGGATATCCTCACCAAAGATGGAATTCAGGAGTCACTGGCTTCAGGATCAGTGTGTTTCCTGATAGTAACAGCCCTACACCCCACCTCAACAGAGAATCTGCATGGCCCATCATCAGGATTGAGCCCCTACCCTTATCATCCCTCTGAATTCCCTCCATTCCTTGTGCCTCCCTTTCCTTTAGGTGTTAAATTCTGTCTCCAGGATTTCTCTCAGGACAATCATGCCTCATCCACGTGCTTTCATCCTCATTTCCAGCTCTTCACTGGGCTCAAGTCTGGCCCCCCTGTCCCGTCCATGAAAATGTCAGTTTCATCTTGCACTTTTATAAAAGTAATTGTATCCATGACCCCGCTCACAGACCGAAGCCAGACAATAGTGCATGCACTAAGAGTCGATGTGGCTTCTCACCTCTTTCCCAGGTTTTTCATTTCTCTGGTCCTTGCTGTCCTTCCGTCAGCAATCACAAGACCTTTCCTAGATAATCTTTTCATTGTCATTTTTCCCACTGACACTCCCCAGACCCGAGAAGGATGGGGCAGCCACTGGAGTGGATGCCATCTGCACCCACCGCCTTGACCCCAAAAGCCCTGGACTCAACAGGGAGCAGCTGTACTGGGAGCTAAGCAAGCTGACCAATGGCATTGATGAGCTGGGCCCCTACACCCTGGACAGGAACAGTCTCTATGTCAATGGTGAGTGACTGTGATGTGGTTAAAATCTCTTTCCCCTTGCCGGGCAGCCTCTAATCTCTAATTAAAGGTCACACTCCCTGCCTGGCTTTTGAAAATTCTGTCATATGCTCTACATGGGATGACTGAGGTCTGAACTTCATGGTTTCGTTATCATTGTGGACTGTGTTCCTTCAGGGCATTCTTTCCTGATGTGAAGATGCTAATAGGAAATCTTCAGTGGTCCCTGTACCATGAAACTCAGTTCATTGCACCAGGGTAGCATTGACCTCCATTTGGTCCCCCACCTCTCCTGTCTCTTACCCACTCTCCTCTCTCCTTCTCTTTGCAGGTTTCACCCATCGGAGCTCTGTGTCCACCACCAGCAGTGAGTATTCAACTCATGTCCAAATGCCCCAGTTCCTACACCAAGAGGAGCAGGAGCTGGCCCCTCCTCATAAACCCATAAGTCCTCTTCATGAGCAAACAAGTTAGGAGGGCAGAAGTTATTCAAGCGCCCCTCTGCCCAGCTCAAGAGACCAACCTAGCTCAAGCCACACATGCAACAAACCCCATAAATAGTCTCCCCTCTTGCCATTTCTGCCAAGAGAGTGCTTTCTGCTTTCACTGACGAGGAATTTTCCTCAGCTCCTGGGACCTCCATAGTGGATTTTGGAACCTCAGGGACTCCATCCACCCTCTCCAGCCCCACGAGTAAGTATCAGTCAATGACATATCTATGAGAGCGTGCCTGATTAGTGTAAACATCTCTGTCATTTTCACTTAAATAAAGATGGAAAATCAAAGTAAATCTAGTGATAGTGAGTGGACAAATTTGTTTTGGCCACCTACTGTGTACCAGACCCCAGGAATACAGTAAGAAAAAGAAAATCAATTTTAAAACAACCTATGCCCTCAGTGAGCTTGTATTCTTGTGATGATGATGATGGTGGTGATAGTTATGATGGTAATAATGATGTGTTGAGTGGGATGATGATGGTGGTGGTGGTGACATTGTTTATGATGATGATAATGATGATGATGGTCAGACTGTTGATGATGATGGTAGTGATGTTGATGATGATGGTGATGGTGACGAGGATGATGCTGGTGATGGTGGTAGAGGTTACGATGGTAATTATGATGTATTGAGTGAGATGATGATAGTGGTAGTGTTGCTGTTTATAATGATGATAGTGGTGATCGCGATGATGGTGGTAGTGATGTTGATGACAATGATGGTGGTGATGAGGATGATTCTGGTGATGGTGGTGGGCTTATGATGGTAATGATGATGTGTTGAGAGTGATGATGTTTATGGTGGTCATGATGGGGATTATCATGGTGGCGATAACAGTGGCGATGATGATAATAATGATGGTGATGGTGACAATCTTGGTGATGGTGATGATGGTGACAATAAAGTTAACAGAAAATGTCAGACAGTATTGAGCAATATATATTCACCAAAAGCTATGCTCAGCATCTACTATTATACCATACACTTTTATAAAAGTAAATTGTATTATTATAGGCAAGGAAGACATGGTAAATATTTTGTCGCTCAATTTAAATTCTACATATATTGAAAGATAAGTCTCTTGCAAACTGGTATTTTCTCTGCTTTGAACATAGTGTTTATTTCCCATTCCAGCTACAGTCGTTGGCCCTCTCCTGGTGCCATTCACCCTCAACTTCACCATCACCAACCTGCAGTACGAGCAGGACATGCATCACCCTGGCTCCAGGAAGTTCAACACCACAGAGAGGGTCCTGCAGGGTCTGGTGAGAGCCCTACCCACTTTATTCCTGCCCCTCCCCAAATACCCAGTCCCTCCTACATCATCCAAGCCAGAACTGTGGAAGAAGATTGCACCCATCTCACCCTTGCCTGCAAGGGATGCAAGCCTTGCTCACTGAGGCCAGCCCCGCCCACTGGTGCCTGCTCCACACACCTGACTTCTGCCCCCTACACACGCACCTTAGCCCTCCTACTCTCTTTCCTTTCCTTCCTTCACAGCTTGGCCCTGTATTCAAGAACACCAGTGTTGGCCCTCTGTACTCTGGCTGCAGACTGACCTCTCTCAGGTGAGACCTTAGAAGATCCAGCCTGGCTGCCCCAATTGTTTCCACTCCAATAGACTTTGCACTGCCTCCTTGCTGCACCTCCTAGGGATATCCGCACCAAAAGGGGAATTCAGGAGTCACTGGCTTCAGGACCAATGTGTTTCCTGATAGTAACACCCCCACACCTCACCTCAACAGGGAGAATCTGCGTGGTCCATCATCAGGATTGAGCCTCTACCCTGATCATCCTTCTGAATTCCCTCCTGTCCCTGCCACTCCCTTTCATTTAGGTGTTCAATTCTGTCCCCAGAATTTCTCCCAAGACAATCATGCCTCATCCATGTGCTTTCATCCCCATTTCCAGCTCTTCACTGGACTCAAGTCTGGGCTCTCCTGTCCCCATGCCATGAGAATGTAGGTTTCACCTTGCACTTTGATAAGCATGGTTGTATCCGTGATTCTGCTCACAGTCCCAAGCAAGAAAATAGTCAGTGCACTCAGAAAATCTAAGTGTGGCTTCTCACCTCTTTCCCAGGTTTCTCATTTCCTCTGGTTCCTTACTGTCTTTCCGTCATCAGTCTCAAGACACAACCTAGGTAATTTTCTCATAGTCATTCTCCCTACCTACTTTCCCCAGGCCCGAGGAGGATGGAGCAGCCACTGGAGTGGATGCCATCTGCACCCACCATCTTGACCCCAAAAGCCCTGGACTCAACAGAGAGCAGCTGTACTGGGAGCTGAGCCAACTGACCAATGGCATCAAAGAGCTGGGCCCCTACACCCTGGACAGTAACAGTCTCTATGTCAATGGTGAGCAGCTGTGATGTGGTTGGAGTTTTTTCCCTCTAGAATCTGGGAAGAATCTAATCTCTGGCTTGAAGTCACACTCCCTGCCTGGTCATTGAATATTCTGTCATTTGCTCTACATGGGATGACTAAGTTCTGGACTTCACGGTTTCTTCATTATCATGAACTGTGTTCCCTCAGGGCACTCTTCCCTGTTGTGAGGATGCTGATAGGAATTCTTTAATGGCCCCAGTCCCATGAAACTCTTTTTTTTTTTTTTTTTTTTTGAGACAGAGTCTCGCTCTGTGCCCCAGGCTGGAGTGCAATGGCGCAATCTCGGCTCACTGCAAGCTCCGCCTCCCGCGTTCACGCAATTCTCCTGCCTCAGCCTCCTGAGTAGCTGGGACTACAGGCGCCCGCCACCGCGCCCGGCTAATTTTTTGTATTTTTAATAGAGATGGGGTTTCACCGTGGTCTCGATCTCCTGACCTTGTGATCCGCCCACCTCGGCCTCCCAAAGTGCTGGGATTACAGGCGTGAGCCACCGCGCCCGGCCCATGAAACTCTTTTAATTGCACCAGTATTGCCATGGCCCCTATTGTACCCCCCACATCTCCTTAACCCTTACCCAGTCTCCTCCCTCCTTCTCTATGCAGGTTTCACCCATCGGACCTCTGTGCCCACCACCAGCAGTGAGTATTCAACTCATGTCCAGATACCCCTGATCCTACATCAAGTGGAGCAGGAGCTGGCCCCTCCTCCTAAACCCATAAGTCCTCCTCTTGAGCAATGGAGCTGGGAAGGCAGAAGTTATTGAAGCTCCCCTCCACCCCAGCTCCAAAGACAGACCCAGCTGAAGCCCACATGCAGTAGACCTCATCATAGTCTAACTTCTTGCCATTTCTGCCATGAGATTATTTTCTGCTTTCAATGATAAGGATTTTTTTTTCTCAGCTCCTGGGACCTCCACAGTGGACTTTGGAACCTCAGGGACTCCATCCTTCCTCCCAAGCCCCACAGGTAAGTACCAGTCAATGGCATCTCCCTTAGATCATGCCTGATGAATGTAAACATCTGTGCCATTTTCACTCAAATGAAGATGGAAAATCATAGTAAATCTAGTGATACTGAGTGAACCAAAAAAATTTATTGGCCACCTACAGTGTACCAGACCTTAGAGATACAAGGAAAGCAAAACCAATAAAAGCATCTCCGCCCTCAGTGAGCTTGTGTTCATGTGATGATGATGGTGATGGTGGTGGTGATGACAGTAATAATGACAGGTTGAGTGTGATGATGATTGATGATGATAGTGATGCTGTTGATGACGATGGTGGTGATGTTACTGACAATGATGATGATGGACATAAGGATGTTATCAGTGATGGTTGTGAAGGTTATGATGGTAGTGATGATGTGTTGAGTGTGATGATGATGATGATGATGATGGTGGTGGTGCTGTTTATGATGGTGAAAATGATAGCAACAATGACGATGACCAGCCATCATAAATATAACAGATAACATCAGACAATATTGAGCACTGAATATGCATGAATAACTATGCTCAGCATCTAACTACTATTATATAATCTACTTTTATAAAAATAAATTGTATTATTATAGGCAAGGAAGACATGGTAAATATTTTCTCTCTCAATTTAAATTTTGCGCATGTTTAAAGATAAGTCTATTCCAAACCCCCATTTCTTGACTTTGAACATAGTGTTTATTTTCAATTCCCACTACAGCTGCTGGCCCTCTCCTGGTGCCTTTCACCCTCAACTTCACCATCACCAACCTGAAGTATGAGGAGGACATGCGTCACCCTGGTTCCAGGAAGTTCAGCACCACAGAGAGGGTCTTGCAGAATCTGGTTAGTGCCCTGCCCTCCTGACTCTGCCCGGCCCCAGATACCCAGTCCCTTCTACATAATCCATGCCAGGGTGATGAAAGAAGATAGCACCAACTTCACCCTTCCCTCCAAGAGATGCAAACCCGACCCACAAAGATCGGCCCGGCTCATTGGTGCTTGCTCCACCCACCTCACATCTGCGCCTAACACACACACCTCAGCCCTCCTACTCACGTCCCTCTCCCTCCTCCACAGCTTGGTCCCATGTTCAAGAACACCAGTGTTGGCCCTCTCTACTCTGGCTGCAGACTGACCTTGCTCAGGTGAGACTTTAGAAGAGCCAGCCTGGCTGCCCCACTTGTTCCCACTCCAAAAGACTGCACTGCTTCCTTGCTACACTTCCTAGGTATATCCTCACCAAAAGGGGAATTCAGGAGTCGCTGGCTTGAGAACCAGTTGTTTCCTGATAGTAACACCCCCATGCCCCACCTCAACATGCAGAATCTTCATGGTCCATCATCAGGATTGAGGCACTACCCTGATCACCCCTCTGAATTCCCTTCTTTCCCTGCCCCTCCCTTTCATTTAGATGTTAAATTCTGTCCCCAGGATTTCTCTCAACATAGTCATGCCTCATCCACATACATTCATCAGCCTTTCAAGCTCACCACTAGTCTGAAGTCTGGGTTCTCCTGTTCCCATACCATGAGAATGCAGGTTTCACCTTGCACTTTTATAAAAATTACTATATCCATGACTCTGCTTGCAGACAGTGGTCTGTGTGTTCAGATAACCTAAGTGTGGCTTCTCACCTCTTTCCCAGGTTTCTCATTTCTTCTGGTTCCTTAATAGATTTCCCTCAACAATCTCAAGACAAGTCCTAGGCAATCTTTTCATTGTCATTTCCCCTCCTACCTTCCCCAGGTCTGAGAAGGATGGAGCAGCCACTGGAGTGGATGCCCTCTGCACCCATCGTCTTGACCCCAAAAGCCCTGGAGTGGACAGGGAGCAGCTCTACTGGGAACTGAGCCACTTGACCCATGGCATCAAAGAGCTGGGCCCCTACGCCCTGGACATGAACAGCCTCTATGTCAATGGTGAGCAGCTGTGATGTGCTAAGAGTCTCTTCCTCCTTGATGTGCAACTTCTAATCTCTGGCTTGGGGGCACACTCCCTACCTGGCCATTGAAAATTCTGTCATATGCTCTACATAGGATGACAAAGTGCTGGACTTCATGGTTTCTTCATTATCATGAGAGGCATTCCCTCTGGGCACTCTTCCCTGTTCTGATGATGCTGATAGGAAATCTTTAATGACTCCTGTCCTGTGAAACTCATTTAATTGCACCAGGATAGTCCTGAACTCTATTGCGCCCCCCACATCTCCTTAACCCTTACCCAGTCTCCTCCCTCCTTCTCTGTACAGGTTTCACCCATCGGACCTCTGTGACCACCACCAGCAGTGAGTATTTAACTCATGTCCAGATGCCCCCTGATCCTATCAAGTGGAGCAGGAGCTGACCCCTCCTCTTAAACCATATGTGTCCTCCTCTTGAGCAAATGAGCTGAAGGCAAGTTACTCAAGTTCCCCTCTCTTGCAGCTCCAAAGACAGACAGCTCAAACCCATGCAGCAGACCTCACAATAGTCTTTTTGTGGACTTTCTCAGCTCCTGGGACCTCCCACAGTGGACAGCAGGACTTCCAGAGACTCCATCCTCCCTCACCAGCCCACAAGTAAGTAACAGCCAATGGTATCTGTGTTAGATCATGCCTGATGAATGTAAACATCTGTGCCATTTTCAGTCCAATGAAAATGGAAAATCCATATAAATCTAGTGATACTGAGTAGACCAAAATTTATTGGCCACCTACAAGTGTTCCCAGACCGTAGGGATATAGCAAGAGAAAACAAAGCAATAAAACATCCCTGCCCTCAGTGACTTGTGTTCATGTGATGATATGATGGTGGTGGTGGTGGTAACAGTAATAATGACATATTGAGTGTGATGATGATTTATGATTATGGCATTGCTGTTGATGATGGTGGTGGTGATGTTACTGACAATGATGATGGACATGGGGATATTTGTCACAGTGATGGTTGAGGGGTTATGATGGTAATGATGTGCTGAGTGTGATGGTGATGATGATGATGATGGTGGTGGTGCTGTTTATGATGGTGACCATGGGACTGATGATGTTGATGATGGTAGTGCTGGCGCTGATGACAATAACAATGGTGGTGATGAGATGATGCAGTGATGGTTATGGGGTATGATGATAATGATGATGTGTTAGTGTGCTGATGATTATGTTTGTGTTGGTCATGATGGGATGATCATGGTGATGATGATAATGATGGTGATGATGACAATGATAGCAACAATGATGATGGCCATAACAAAGATAACAGATAACATCAGACAATATTGAGCACTGAATATGCACAACTAGCTATGCTCAACATCTAACTACTATTATATAATATACTTGTATAAAAATAAATTGTATTATTATAGGCAAGGGAGACATGGTAAATATTTTTCTCTTTAAATTTTGCATATGTTTAAAGACTAAGTCTATTCAAACCCCTATTTTCTCTACTTTGAACACAGTATTTATTTCGAATTCCACTACAGCTGCTGGCCTCTCCTGGTGCCGTTCACCCTCAACTTCACCATCACCAACCTGAAGTACGAGGAGGACATGCGTCGCCCTGGCTCCAGGAAGTTCAACACCACGGAGAAGGTCCTGCAGAGTCTGGTTAGTGCCCTGCCCTCCTCACTCTGACTAGCCCCAGATATCCAGTCCCTTCTGTCACAGATGCCAAGGTGATGAAGAAGGTAGCCCCAAACTTCACCCCTGCCCTGAGAGATGCAAGCCCCGCCCATGGAGACCAGCCACTCCTCATCGGTGCCTTCTCTGCCCACCTCACATCTGCCCCTAACACACATGCCTTAGCCCTCCCTGCCTCCCTCTCCTCCACAGCTTGGTCCCATGTTCAAGAACACCAGTGTTGGCCCTCTGTACTCTGGCTGCAGGCCTGACCTTGCTCGAGGTGAGACTTAGAAGGCCATCACCAAGCTGCCCCAAAGAGGTGTCCTCACTCCAAAGGCAGTTGCACTGTCTCCTGCTGCACTTCTAGGGATTATCATCACCAAAAATTTAGGAATCAATGGCTTGAGAACACGTTGTTTTCCTGATAGTAACATACCCCCCATGCCCACCTCAACATGCAAAATCTTCATGGTTCACCATCAGGATTGATCTACCCTGATCACTCCTCTGAATTCCCTCCTTTGCCTGTCCCTCCCTTTCTAAAACTTTAGTGTTAAATTCTGTCCCCAGGACTGCTCTTAAGACAATCATGCCTCATCACAGCACATGCATCCTTTCCAAGCTCTTCCTCTCCAAGTCTGGGTTCTCCTGTCCCCCTGCCATGAGAATGTAGGTTTCATCTTACACTCTTATAAAAATTATTATATCCAGGACTCTATTCTCAGTCCCAACCAAGACAGTGGTCAATGTACTCAGATAACGTAAGTGCAGATTTTCCTCTTTACAGATTTCTCATTTCCTCTGGTTCCTTGATATGTTTCCTCAACAATCTCAAGAGACTAAGTCCTAGGTAATCTTTTCATTGTGTTTCCCTCTACCTTCCTCAGGTCCGAGGAAGGATGCGGGGCAACACCCAGTGGATGCCCTCTGCACCCATCGTCTTGACCCCAAAAGCCCTGGGTGGACAGGGGAGCACGCTGTGGGGGTGAGCCGCTGACCCATGGCATCAAGAGCTGGGCCCCGCACCCTGGACATGGTTTCCAGCCTCTATGTCAATGGTGAGCAGCTGTGATATGCTGGAAGTCTGTTTCCCTCCTTGATGTGCAAACTCTAATCTCTGGCAGGGGCACACTCCTACTGGCCATTGCAAATTTCTGTCATGTGCTTCTACATGGGATGACTAAGTTCTGGACTTCATGGATTCTTCGTTATCATGAGAGGCATTCCCTCTGGGCACTCTTCCCTGTTGTGATGATGCTGATAGAAAATCGTTAATGACTCTTGTCCCATGAAACACATTTAATTGCACCAGGATAGTCTGAACTCTGTTACGTCCCCCGCATCTCCTTAACCCTTACCCAGTCTCCTCCCTCCTTCTCTGTACAGGTTTCACCCATCGGACCTCTGTGACCACCACCAGCAGTGAGTATTTAACTCATGTCCAGATGCCCCTGATCCTATATCAAGTGGAGCAGAATTTGGCCCTCTTAAGCCCATATGTCTCCTCTTGAGCAAATGAACTGGGAAGGCAGAAGTTACTCAAGTTCCCTGTAGCTCAAAGACAGACCAGCTCAAGGCCACATGCAGCAGACCTCACAATAGTCTACCTTCATGTCATTTCTGCCCTTGAGAGTGCTTTCTGCTTTTTCACTGATGTGGACTTTTTCTCAGCTCCTGGGACCTCCACAGTGGACCTTGGGACTTCAGAGACTCCATCCTCCCTCGCCAGCCCCCACAAGTGTTCCAGCCAATGGTATCTCTATTAGATCATGCCTGATGATTGTAAACATCTGTGCCATTTTAGTCAATGAAAATGGAAAATCATAATAAATCTAGTGATACTGAGTGAACCAAAAATATTTGTGGCCAACTAAAAGTGTACCAGACCCTAGGGATATAGCAAGGAAAACAAAAGCAATAAAAACATCCCTGCCCTCAGTGAGCTTGTGTTCATGTGATGATATGATGGTGGTGGTGGTGGTGGTAACAGTAATAATGACATATTGAGTGTGATGATGATTTATGATTATGGAGTTGCTGTTGATGATGGTGGTAGTGATGTTGCAGCATTGATGATGATGGACTTGAGAATGTTGTCAGTGATGGTTAATGAGGTTATGATGGTAATGATGTGCTGAGTGTGATGATGATGATGATGATGATGATGGTGGTGGTGCTCATTTATGATGGTGACCATGGTACTGATGATGTTGATGATGTTGGTAGTGGTGACACTGATGTCAGCTAACAATGATGGTGATGAGGATGATGCCAGTGATGGTCATGTGGTTATGATGATAATGATGATGTGTTGAGTGTGCTGATGATTATGTTTGTGTTGGTCATGATGGGGATGATCATAGTGATGATGATAATAATGATGGTGATGATGACAATGATAGCAGCAATGATGGCCATAACAAGAAGATAACAGATAACATCAGACAATATTGAGCACTGAATATGCCCAACTAGTTATGCTCAACATCACAACTACTATTATATAATGTACTTTTAAAATAATTGCATTATTATAGGCGAGGGAGACATGGTAAATATTTTCTCTCAGTTTAAATTTTGCATATGTTTAAAGATAAGTCTATTCCAAACCCCTATTTTCTCTACTTTGAACGCAGTATTTATTTCCATTCCCTGCAGCTGCTGGCCCTGTCTGGTGCCGTTCACCCTCAACTTCACCATCACTAACCTGAAGTACGAGGGGAGGACATCGTCGCCCTGGCTCCAGGAAGTTCAACACCCGCGGAGAGGTCCTGCAGAGTCTGGTTGAGTGCCCTCCTCACTCTGACTAGCCCCGGAGGACATGCGTCGCCCTGGCTCCAGGAAGTTCAACACCACGGAGAGGGTCCTGCAGAGTCTGGTTAGTGCCCTGCCCTCCTCACTCTGACTAGCCCCAGATATCCAGTCCCTTCTACATCATAGATGCCAAGGTGATGAAAGAAGGTAGCCCCAACATTACCCCTGCCCCCGAGAGATGCAAGCCTTGCCCTCAGAGACCAGGCCTTCTTATTGGTGCCTTCTCTGCCCACCTCACATCTGCCCCTAACACACACACCTTAGCCCTCCTACTCACCTCCCTCTCCCTCCTCCACAGCTTGGTCCCATGTTCAAGAACACCAGTGTTGGCCCTCTCTATTCTGGCTGCAGATTGACCTTGCTCAGGTGAGACTTTAGAAGAGGCAGCCTCTCTGCCCCAATTGTCCTCACTCCAAATGACTTTGCACTGTCTCCTTGCTGCACTTCCTAGGGATATCATCACCAAAAAGAGAATTTAGGAGTTACTGACTTGAGAACCAGTTGTTTCCTAATGGTGACACCCCCATGCCCCACCTCAACATACAGAATCTTCATGATCCACCATCAGGAATGAGGCACCACCCTGATCACTACTCTGAATTCCCTCCTTTGCCTGTCCCTCCCTTTCATTTAGGAGTTAAATTCTGTCCCCAGGATTTCTCTCAACATAATCATGCCTCATCCACATACATTCATCAGCCTTCAAGCTCACCACTAGTCTGAAGTCTGGGTTCTCCTGTTCCCATGCCATGACAATGCAGGTTTCATCTTGCACTTTTATAAAAATTATTTATCCATGACTCTGCTTGCAGTCCCAACCAAGACAGTGGTCTGTGTACTCAGATAACCTAAGTGTGGCTTCTCACCTCTTTCCCAGGTTGCTCATTTCTTCTGGTTCCTTGATATGTTTCCCTCAATCTCAAGATTGTCTAGGCAATCTTTCATTGTCATTTCCCCTCCTACCTTCCTCAGGTCCGAGAAGGATGGAGCAGCCACTGGAGTGGATGCCATCTGCACCCATCGTCTTGACCCCAAAAGTCCTGGAGTGGACAGGAAGCAGCTGTATTGGGAGCTGAGCCAGCTGACCCATGGCATCAAAGAGCTGGGCCCCTACACCCTGGACAGGAACAGTCTGTATGTCAATGGTGAGCAGCTGTGATGTGCTAGGAGTCTCTTCCTCCTTGCTGTGCAACCTCTAATCTCTGGCTTTGGGTCACGCTCCCTCCCTGGCTACTGAAAATTCTGTCATATGCTCTACATGGTCTGACTGAGTTCTAGATTTCGTGGTTTCTTCTTCATCGTGAACTGCATTCCCTCAGGCCACTGTTCCTTTTTGGGAGGATGCTGATAGGAAATCTTAATGGCCTCTGTCCCATGAAACTCATTTAATTGCACCAGGGTAGCCCTGAACCCTATTGCATCTCCCACATCTCCTTAACCCATACCGAGTCTCCTCCCTACTTCTCTATGCAGGTTTCACCTATTGGACCTCTGTGCCCACCACCAGCAGTGAGTATTCAACTCATGTCCAGATGCCCCTGATCCTACATCAAGTGGAGCAGGAATTGGCCCCTCCTCTTAAACCCATAAGTCCTCCTCTTGAGAAAATGAGCTGGGAAGGCAGAAGTCACTCAAGCTCCCTTCTGCCCCAGCTCCAAAGACAGACCCAGCTCAAGCCCAAATGCAGCAGACCTCACAATAGTCTACCTTCTTGTCATTTCTACCATGAGAGTGTTTTCTGCTTTCACTGATGAGGACTTTTTCTCAGCTCCTGGGACCGTCACAGTGGACCTTGGGACCTTAGGGACTCCATCCTCCCTCCCCAGCCCTACATGTAAGTACCAGTCAGTGACATGTCTATTAGATCATACCTGATGAATGTGAACATCTGTGCCATTTTCACTCAAATGAAGATGGAAAGTCATAGTACATATAGTGATACTCAGTGAACCAAAAAACTTTGTTGGCCACCAACAGTGTGCCAGACCCTAGGGATACAGCAAGGAAAATAAAACCGATAAAAGCATCCCTGCCCTCAGTGAGCTTGTGTTCATGTGATGATGATGGTGGTGGTGGTGGTTATGATAGTAATAATGACATGTTGAGTGGGATGATGTTGATGATGGTGGTGGTGATATTACCAATGATTATGGTGATGGACTTGCGGATGTTGTCAGTGATGGTTGTGAAGGTTATGATGGTAATGATGATGTGTTAAGTGTGATGATGATGATAATTGTGGTGATGCTGTTTATGATGGTGACCATGGTACTGATGATATTGATGTTGGTAGTGGTTATGTTGATGACAATGAAAATGATGGTGATGACGATGATGCCAGTGATTGTTGCAGGGTTATGATGATAATGATGATGCGTTGAGTGTGGTGATGATAATATTTGTGGTGGTCATGATGGGGATTATTATGGCAGTGATGATCATAATAATGATGGTGATAGTGACAATGATAGCAAAGATGAAGATGGCAATAAAATAATAGATAACATCAGACAATATTGAGCACTGAATATGCACCAGGAGCAGTGCTCAGCAACTAAATACTATTATATAATATATGTTTGTAAAAATAAATTGTATGATTATAGGCAAGGGAAGCATGGTAAATATTTTGTCACTCAATTTAAATTCTGCATATGTTTAAAGATAAGTCTATTGCAAACTCCTATTTTCTCTACTTTGAACATAGTGTTTGCTTCCCACCTCCACTACAGCTGCTGGCCCTCTCCTGGTGCCATTCACCCTCAACTTCACCATCACCAACCTGCAGTACGAGGAGGACATGCATCACCCAGGGTCCAGGAAGTTCAACACCACAGAGAGCGTCCTGCAGGGTCTGGTTAGTGCCCCACCCTCCTCATTCTGCCCCACCCCAGACAGTCAGTACCTCCTACATCATCCATGCCAGGCAATGAAAGAAGATCACACCCACCTCACTCTTGCCCCAGGAGATGCAAACCATGCCCATTGAAGCCAGCCCCACTCACTGATCTGTCTCTGCCCACCTAACTTCTGTCCTACACACCCACACATGCAACTTAGCCCTCCTACTCACCTCCCTCTCCCTCCTCCACAGCTTGGTCCCGTGTTCAAGAACACCAGTGTCGGCCCTCTGTACTCTGGCTGCAGACTGACCTTGCTCAGGTGAGATGTTAGAAGATCAAGCCTGGGTGCCCCACTTGTTCTCACTCCAGTAGACTTTGCACTGCTTCCTTGCTGCACTTCCTAGGGATATCCTCACCAGAGGTGGAGTTCAGGAGTCACTGGCTTCATGATCAATGTGTTTTCTGATAGTAACACCCCCACACCCTACCTCAACAGGGAGAATCTGCATAGTCCATCATGAGGATTGAGCCTCTACCTTGATCATCCCTCTGAATTCCCTCCTGTCCCTGCACCTCCCTTTCCTTTAGGTCTTAAATTCTGTCCCCAGGATTTCTCTCAAGATGATTGTGCCTCATCCACAGGCTTTCATCTCCATTTCCAGCTCTTCATTGGTCTCAAGTCTGGCGTCTCTGTCCCCATGTCATGAGAATGCAGGTTTCAACTTGCACTATTTTATTTTATTTTATTTTATTTTATTTTATTTTATTATTTCATTGTTGAAATGTAGTCTCACTGCACACCAGACTGGTCTCAGCTCACTGCAACCTCTGCCTTCCATGTTCAAGTGATTCTCCTGCCTCAGCCTCCCGAGTAGCTGGGATTACAGGCACCCACTACTATACCCAGCTAATTTTTGTATTTTTCATACAGACGGGGTTTCACCATGTTGACCAGGCTAGTCTTGAACTCCTGACCTCAAGTGATCTGCCCGCCTTGGCCTCCCAAAGTGCTGGGATTACAGGCATAAGCCACCGTGCCAGGCCACTTTGCACTTTTATAAAAATTCTTGTATCCATTACCCTGCTTGCAGTTCAAAGCACACCAGTGGTTGGTGCACTCAGAGAAACTAAGTGTGATTTCTCACCTCTTTCCCAGGCTTCTCATTTCCTCTGGTTCCTTGCTATCCTTCCCTCAGCAATCTCAAAACCCTTCGTAGTTAATCTTTTGATTGCATTCCTCCCACCTACCTTCCCCAGGCCTGAGAAGAATGGGGCAGCCACTGGAGTGGATGCCATCTGCACCCACCGTCTTGACCCCAAAAGCCCTGGACTCAACAGAGAGCAGCTGTACTGGGAGCTGAGCCAGCTGACCCATGGCATCAAAGAGCTGGGCCCCTACACCCTGGACAGGAACAGTCTCTATGTCAATGGTGAGCAGATGTGGTATGGTTGGAGTCTCTTCCTCTCTGCTGGGCAGACTCTAATCTCTGGCTTGCGGGCACACTCTCCACCTGGCCGTTGAAAATTCTGTTATGTGCTCTATATGGGGTGATTAAGTTCTGGACTTCATGGTTTCTTCGTCATCGTGAACTGCATTCCCTCAGGGCATTCTTCTCTGTTATGAGGATGCTGATAGGAAATCTTTAATGGTCCTTGTCCCATGGCACCAGGATAGCCATGACCCCTATTGCATCCCCCACATCTCCTGAATCCTTACACAATTTCCTCCCTCCTTCTCTATGCAGGTTTCACCCATTGGAGCTCTCTGGCCCCCACCAGCAGTGAGTATTCAACTCGTGTCCACATGCCCCTGATCCTACACCAAGCAAAGCAGGAGCTGCCCCTCCCCATAAACCCATAAGTCCTCCTCATGAGCAAAGGAGCTGGGAAGGCCGAAGTTATTGAAGCTTCCCTCTGCCTCAGCTCCAAAGACAGACCCAGCTGAAGCCCACATGCAGCAGGCCTCATCATAGTCCCCTGTCTTGCCATTTCCACCATGAGAGTGTTTTCTGCTTTCACTGATGAGGACATTTCCTCAGCTCCTGGGACCTCCACAGTGGACCTTGGAACCTCAGGGACTCCATCCTTCCTCCTCAGCCCCACAGGTAAGTACCAGTCAATGACATCTCTATTATAGCATGCCTGATGAGTGTGAACATCTCTGCCATTTTCACTCAAATAAAGATGGAAAAGTACAGTACATCTGGTAATAGTGAGTGGACCAAAAATATTTGTTGGCCACCTCCTGTGTACCACACCCAAGGGATACACCAAGGAAAACAAAACCAGTAAAAGTGTCTCTGCCCTCAGTGAGCTTTTTTATTCATGTGTTGATGATAGTGGTGGTGGTGCTAGTTGTTGATGACGATGATGATGATCATGATGATGATCATGATGGTAATGCTGCTGCTGATGGTGGTAGTGATGCCGTTGATGATGATGATGATAGTGATGCTGATGATAATGGTGTTGATGTTGCCGACCATGATGATGATGGACATGAGGATGATGTCAGTGATGGTTATGATGTTAGTGAGGATGATGGTGGTGGTGGTGCTGTTGATGATGGCGATGACGAAACTGGTGATGTTGATGACAATAACAATGATGGTGATGAGGATGATGCCAGAGATGGTCATGGGGTTATGATGATAATAGTGACGTATTGAGTGTGGCGATGATGATGTTTGTCGTGGTCATGGTGGGGACTATTATGGTGGTGGTGATAATAATAATGATTGTGATTGTGACAATGATAGCAAGGATAATAATGGCAAAAATAAAGATAACAGGTAACATCAGACAATATTGAGCACTGAATATGAACCAAGAGCTATGCTCAGCATCTAACTACTATTTTATATAATATCCTTTAAAAAATAAATTCTGTCATTGAAGACAAGGGAGGCATGGTAAATATTTATTTTGTCAGTCAATTGAAATGCTGCCTATATTTAAAGATAAGTATATTGCAAACTCCTATTTTCTCTACTTTGAACACAGTATTTATTTTCAATTCCCACTACAGCAGCTGTTCCTCTCCTGGTGCCATTCACCCTCAACTTCACCATCACCAACCTGCAGTATGGGGAGGACATGCATCACCCTGGCTCCAGGAAGTTCAACACCACAGAGAGGGTCCTACAGGGTCTGGTTAGTGCCCTGTCCTCCTCACTCTGCCCTGACCCAGATACTCAGTGCCTCCTACAACATCCAAGCCAGGGTAATGGGAGAAGAATGTACCCACTTCGTCCTTGCCCCAAGAGATGCAAGACTCGCCCACTGAGGCCAGCCACGCCCACTGAAGCCAGCCTCACCCACTGGGCCATGCCTCGCTCACCTTATTTCTGCACCCACACACGGTGACCTTAGCCTTCCTACTCACCTCTCTCTCTCTCTTCCATAGCTTGGTCCGTTGTTCAAGAACTCCAGTGTCGGCCCTCTGTACTCTGGCTGCAGACTGATCTCCCTCAGGTGAAGCTAGAATAGCCAGCCTGGCTGTCCCAATTATTCTCACTCCAAAAGACTTTGCACTGCTTCCTTGCTGCACTTCCTAGGGATATCCTCACCAAGGATGGGATTCAGAAGTCACTGGCTTCAGGACCAGTGTGTCTCCTGACAGTAACACCCCCACACCCCACCTCAACAGAGAGAATCTGCATTGTCCATCATCAGGATTGAGCCCCTACCCCAGTCATCCCTCTGAATTTCCTCCTTTCCCTGCCCCTCCCTTTCATTTAGTTCTTAAATTCTGTCTCCAGGATTTCTCTCAAGACACTCATGCCTCAGCCACGTGCTTTCATCCTCATTTCCAGCTCTTCACTGGCCTCAAATCTGGGCTCTCCTGTCCCCATGCCGTGAGAATGCAGGATTCACCTTGCATTTTTTTTTTCTTTTTTTTTTTTTTTGAGACAGAGTTTCACTCTTGTTGCCCTTTTTGGGGTTTCTCTTGTTGCCCAGGCTGGAGAGTGCAATCACACGATCTCGGCTGCAGCCTCCACCTCTCCCAGGTTTTTTTGAGACAGAGTTTCACTCTTGTTGCCCAGGCTGGAGTGCAATCACACGATCTCGGCTCACTGCAACCTCTGTCTCCCAGGTTCAAGCGATTCTCCTGCCTCAGCCTCCCGGGTAGCTGGGATTACAGGCACAGGCCACCACACCCGGCAAATTTTGTATTTTTAGCAGAGACAGGGTTTCTCCATGTTGGTCAGGCTGGTCTCGAACTCCTGACCTCAGGTGATCCACCCGCCTCGGCCTCCCAAAGTGCTGGGATTATAGGCATGAGCCACCGTGCCCAGACTCACCTTGCACTTTTATCAAAACTGTTGTGTTCATGACTCTGCTCACAGTCCCAACAAGCCAGTAGTCTGTGCACTCAGAGAATCTAAGTGTGGCTTCTCACCTCTTTCCCAGGTTTCTCATTTCCTCTGGTTACTTGCCATCCTTCTCTCAGCAATCTCAAGACCTGTCCTAGGTAATCTTTTCATTGTCATTCTCCCCACCTACCTTCCCCAGGTCTGAGAAGGATGGGGCAGCCACTGGAGTGGATGCCATCTGTATCCACCGCCTTAACCCTCAAAGCCCTGGACTGGACAGGGAGCAGCTGTACTGGGAGCTGAGCCAGATGACCAGTGGCATCAAAGAGCTGGGCCCCTACACCCTGGACAGGAACAGTCTCTATGTCAATGGTGAGTGGCTGTGATGTGATTGAAGTCTCTTCCTCCTTGCTGAGCAGCCTCTAATCTCTAACTAGAGGTCACACTTCCTGCCTGGCAATTGAAAATTCTGTCATGTGTTTTACATGTGATGACTAAGGTCTGGATTTCATAGTTTCTTTATCACCATGGACCATATTCCCTCAGAGCATTCTTTCCTGATGTGAGGATGCTGATAGGAAATCTTCAAATACCCCTGTAAATTGAAATTCATTCCTTTGCACAGGGTAGCCTTGACCCCTATTTGGTCGCCAATGTCTCCTTAACCCTTATGCACTCTCCTGCCTCCTTCTCTATGTAGGTTTCACCTATTGGAGCTCTGTGCCCACCACCAGCAGTGAGTATTCAAGTCATGTCCACATGCCCCTGATTCTACACCAAGCAGAACAGGAGCTACCCCTCCTCGTAAGCCCATAGGTCCTCTTCTTCAGCAAAGGAGATAGGAGGACAGCAGTTACTCAAGCTCTGCTCTGCCCCAGCTCCAAAGAAAGACCCATCTCTAGTCACACAGGCAGCAGACCCCATAGTCTCCCCTCTTGCCATTTCTGTCATGAGAGTGCTTCCTGCTTTCACTGATGAGGACTTTTTCTCAGCTCCTTGGACTTCCACAGTGGACCTTGGAATCTCAGGGACTCCATCCTCCGTCCCCAGCCCCACAAGTAAGTACCAGTCAATGGCATCTCTGTTAGAGCATGCCTGATGAATGTAAATGTCTGTGCCATTTTCATTCAAATCAAGATAGAAAATCATAGTAAGTCTAGTGATAGTGAGTGAACCAAAAAAATTAATTGGCCACCTACCGTGTACCAGACCCTAGGGATACAACAAGGAAAATAAAACCAATAAAAACATGTCTGCCCTCAGTGAGCTTCTGTTTATGTGATGATGATGATGATGATGATGGTGGTGGTGGTGCTCTTTATGATGATTATGATGACGATGATGATAGCGATGCTGTTGGTGATAATGGCGGTGGTGGTGCTGACCATGATGATGATGGACATGAGGATGTCAGTAACAGTTACGATATTCGTGATGACGTGTTGAGTGTGATGATGATGATGGTGACGGTGGTGCTGTTTATTTATTTTTATTTATTTATTTTTTTGGGTGCTGTTTGAGATGGTGATGATGAGACTGGTGATGTTGATGAAAATGACAATGATGGTGATGAGGATGATGCCAGTGATGGTCGTGGGGTTTTGATGATAATGGTGATGTGTTGTCTGTGGTGATGATGATGTTTGTGGTGGTCATGCTTGGGATTATCATGGTGGTGATGATGATAATAATGATGGTGATGGTGACAATGATAGCAACAATAATGATGGCAGTAAAAAAGATAACAGATAACATCAGACAATATTAAGCTCTGAATATGCACCAAGAGCTATGCTCGGCATCTAACTATTATTATAAAGCATCCTTTAAAAAATAAATTATGTCAGGCCGGGTGCGGTGGCTCACGTCTATAATCTCAGCATTTTGGAAGGCCAAGGTGGGTGGATCACAAGGTCAAGAGATCGAGACCATCCTGGCCAACATGGCGAAACCCCATCTCTACTAAAAATACAAAAATTAGCCGGGTGTGGTGGTGCATGCCTGTAGTCCCAGCTACTTGGGAGGCTGAGGCAGGAGAATTGCTTAAATCCAGGAGGCAGAGGTTGCAGTGAGGCAAGATGGTGCCACTGCACTCCAGCCTGGTGACAGAGTGAGACTCCATCTCAAAAAAATAAATAAATTCTGTCATTATAGGAAAGGGATGCACGGTAAATATTTTTTTAGTCATTCAATTTAAATGTTGCACATGTTTAAAGATAAGTCTGTTGCAAATTCCTATTTTCTCCACTTTGAACATAATGTTTATTTCCCCCTCCCACTACAGCTGCTGGCCCTCTCCTGGTGCCGTTCACCCTCAACTTCACCATCACCAACCTGCAGTATGAGGAGGATATGCATCGCCTTGGCTCCAGGAAGTTCAACACCACAGAGAGGGTCCTGCAGGGTCTGGTTAGTACCCTGACCTCTTCACTCTCCCGCACTCCAGATACCCAGCCCCTCATACAACATCCGTGCCAGGGCCATGGAAGAAGATCGCACCCACCTTGCCCTCATCCCCAGAGATGCAAGCCTCACCCACTGAAGCCAGCCATGCCCACTGGGCCCTGCCCCACCCACCTCACTTTTGCCCCCACACAGGGACCTTAGCCCTCCTACTCACCTCTCTCTCCCTCCTCCACAGCTTAGTCCCATATTCAAGAACTCCAGTGTTGGCCCTCTGTACTCTGGCTGCAGACTGACTTCTCTCAGGTGAGGCCAGAATAGCCAGCCTGGCTGTCCCAACTATTCTCACTCCAATAGACTTTGCACATCTTCCTTTATACACTTCCTAGGGATATCCTTACCAAAGGTGGAATTCAGGAGTCACTGGCTTCAGGACCGGTGTGTTTCCTGATAGTAACACCCCCACACCTCACCTCAACAGAGAGAATCTGCGTGGTCCATCATCAGGATTGAGCCCCTACCCTGGTCATCACTCTGAATTCCCTCCTTTTCCTCTCTCTCCCTTTCCTTTAGGTGTTAAATTCTGTCCCCAGAATTTCTCTCAAGACAATCATGCCTCATCCATGTGCTTTCATCCCCATTTCAAGGTCTTCAGTGGTCTCAAGTCTGGGCTCTTTTTTCCCATGCCATGAGAATGCAAATTTCACCCTTGCACTTTTATGAGAATTGTTGTATCCATGACTCTGTTCATGGTCCCAAGCAAGCTGGTAGTCCATGCACTCAGAGAATCTAAGTGTGGCTTCTCACCTGTTTCCCAGGTTTCTCATTTTCCCTTCTCCTTTGCTGTCCTTCCATCAGCAATCTCAAGACCTGTCCTAGGTAATCTTTTCATTGTCATTCCCCCCACCTCCTTTCCCCAGGACCGAGAAGGATGGAGCAGCCACTGGAGTGGACGCTGTCTGCCTCTACCACCCTGATCCCAAAAGACCTGGTCTGGACAGAGAGCAGCTCTACTGGGAGCTGAGCCAACTGACCCACAGCATCAATGAACTGGGCCCCTACACCCTGGACAGAGACAGTCTGTATGTCAATGGTGAGCAGCTGTGATGTGGTTGGAGGCTCTTCCTCTCTGATGGGCAACCTCTACTCCCTGGCTTGAGGTCATACTCACTGCCTGGCCATTGAAAGCTTGACCTTGTTGTCTATATTTGATAGTTGACGTCAGAATATCATGGTTTCTTCTTTAAGTTGAAGACTGAGTTTACCCTCAGGGTTTTCTTCCCTGATGTGAGGGTACTGATAGAAACCTCTAGCAGCCCCGGTTCCATTTCACCAGGGTAGCCCTGACCCCTATTTGGTTATCCACCTCTACCTTAACCTTACTCAGGTTAATCCCTCTCTCTCTGCAGGTTTCACCCATCGGAAATCTGTGCCCACCACCAGTAGTGAGTATTCAACTGATAATCTCATGCCCCTGATTCTACACAAAGCAGAGCAGGAGCTGACCCTTCTCCTTATAAAACCATAGGTCCTCTTCTTAAGAGAAGGAGCTGGGAAAGCAGAAGGGATTCATCCTCCCTTCTGCCCCAGCTACAGACTGATCTAGATCAAACCCCATATGCATCAAGTTTCATAATAGTCTTACCTGCTGGCATTTCTGCCATGGGGGTACTTGCTAATTTCACTGATGAGAACTTCTTCTCAGCTCCTGGGACCTCCACAGTGCACCTGGCAACCTCTGGGACTCCATCCTCCCTCTCCAGCCACACAGGTGAGCACCAGTCAATGATACCAGTCAATGGTGAGTGTCTTCATCTCTGTCATTTTCATGCAAATTAAGATGAAACATCATAGCAAATCAAATCTAGTGTAGTTGATGCAACCAACACACTTTGTTGAGCGCTTACTCTGTGCCAGACCTATGGAATGTGGCAGAGAATACAAAAGAGATAAAAATGTCTTCCTTCAGAGAGCTTATATTCTTGTGATGATGAGGATGATAAGGGTGGCAGTGATGATGACAGTGGTGGGGATGGAGATGATGATAATATCATGGAGATGACTATAAAGATGGCGATGCTGCTGATGATGTTGGTGATGGTGACGATGATTATGGAGATGGTGATGAAGATGATGGTGATAATAGTGGTGCTGATTATAACAGGAACGGGATGATTGTGGTGATACTGGTGATGTTTGAGGTGATTGTGGTGGTGATGGTGATGGTGGTGATGACAACTGCCAATGATGATTGTGATGTTGACAATGAGGATAATGAAGATGATGATGATGATGATTGTGTTGGTGATTATCCTGGTAATAATAATGTTATGATGGTGCTGGTGATGATGATGCTGATTACGATCTCTGTGGTGGTGATGGTGATGAGGATGGTGGTAGTGGTGGTGCTGATGTTGATAGTGATGAAAGCGATGATGGCCATGGCAACAACTATGGTTATGTTGATGATGAAGATGGCAATAACAGAGGTAAAAAACAGCATCTGACATTACTGAGCACTAAATATGCACCAAGTACTATGTTCACCATCTCATTACAATTATATAATATGCTTATTTATGAAAAACTTCTATTATTGTAGTCAAGAGAGGCATGAAAATCTTTTACTTTTTATCCACATGAAATGCTGCTGCATACATTTAAAAATAAGTCTATTGCAAACTGTTATATATTTCTCTACTTTTGAACATCGTGTTTATTTCCCAACTCCTTTACAGCCCCTGGCCCTCTCCTGACACCATTCACCCTCAACTTTACCATCACTAACCTGCATTATGAGGAAACCATGCAACACCCTGGCTCCAGAAAGTTCAACACCACGGAGAGGGTTCTGCAGGGTCTGGTAAGAGCTCCACCACCTTACCAGTCCTGCTTATATCACCCATGCCAGGGCCATGGAAGATCTCATCCACCACTCCTTGGTCCCAGAGTTGCAAGCCCCAACTAGTGAGCCCCCTCCTACCTCATGTCTGCCCCATCCCTACACCTCAGCCCGCCCACTCACCTCCCTCCCCTTCCTCCACAGCTCAAGCCCTTGTTCAAGAGCACCAGTGTCGGCCCTCTGTACTCTGGCTGCAGACTGACCTTGCTCAGGTGAGACCTTAGAATTTCCAGCCTGGTTTCCCCAATTGTTCCCAGGCCTAAAAAGTTTGGTCACCTTCCTTCCCACCCTACCGCGGGATGGCCTCAGCACAGATGGAATTCAGGAGGCACTGGCTCCAGAACCAGTTTGTCTCCTGATTCTACCACCTCCCACCTCAACTGACACATTCTTCGGAGTCCATCAGCAGGATTGAGCCCTTACCCTCATCACCCCTCTAAATTCCCTCCACCTCCCTTTCCTTCAGTTGTTAAAGTCTGTCCCCAGAATTTCTGCCAAACGTGCCTCATCCACTTGATTTCACCCCTAATTCCTGTTCTTCTCCTGTCTCAGGATTCAGCTCTTCTTTCCCCATTGCTGTGAGAATGCAGGTTGCACCTTGTGATTTCATAAAAATCCTCGCATCCATGACTTTGTTCACAATCCCAGGCTGGCAGGGAGTCAAAGCACTTAGAGAATCAAAGTGTGACTTCTCTCACGTTTGTACCAGGCTTCTCAATTCCTCTGACCCCTTCCTGTCCTTCACCCAGCAAGCTCAAGACCCCTCCCTAGGCAATCCATTAATTGCCATTCCCCACTCTTGCCCTCCCCAGACCTGAGAAGGATGGGACAGCCACTGGAGTGGACGCCATCTGCACCCACCGCTTTGATCCCACCAGCCCTGGACTGGACAGAGAGCGGCTATACTGGGAGCTGAGCCAGCTGACCAACAGCATCACAGAGCTGGGCCCCTACACCCTGGACAGAGACAGTCTCTATGTCAATGGTGAGCAGCCATGATGTGACTGGAGGCTCTTCCTCCTAGCTGGGTAGACCCTACTGTCTGTCCTGGGGTCACATGCCCTGTCTGACCATTGAGGGTTTGATGATGTGCTCTATATGTGATGATTGAGGTTTCAACCTCACGGTTTCATCTTCATCTTGCACGGATTTTACCCTCAAGGTCTTCTTCCCCCATGTGAGGGTGCTGGTGAAGATTCTCAATGACCATGCTTCATGAAACTTTCCTCACTGCACTAGGGTAACCCTGACCCCTATTTGGTCTGACCTCTCCTTAATCCTTACCCACTCTCCTCCCTGCCTCTCTCTGCAGGCTTCACCCATCAGAGCTCTGTGCCAACCACCAGAAGTGAGTATTTTACTGATGTTCCAGTCCCCCCAGTCCTACACCAAGCAGGGCAGGAGCTGGCATTACCTCTTATCCCTTTATGTCCTCTTCATGAGGGAAAAGCCTTCAAGGGCACAGTCTATTCCCTTTCCCCTGTGCCCTAGCTCCATAGAGAGGCTCAGCTCAAACCTCAAATGCAGCAGGGCCCATAATAGTTTTACCTGCTGGCATTTCCACCATGAGAGGGTTTGCTGCTTTCAGTAATGAGGGCTTCTTCTCAGTTCCTGGGACCTCTGCAGTGCACTTGGAAACCTCTGGGACTCCAGCCTCCCTCCCTGGCCACACAGGTGAGCACCAGTCAATGGCACCTCTATTAGAGCATGACTGATGAGCAGAAACATGTCTGCCATTATTTACTCAAATAAAGGTAAAAATTATAGTAAATCTAGTGATGATAAGTCAACCTATAAATGTGATTGATCACCTCCTCTGTGCCAGACCCTGGGGGGGGATATAGCAGGTATACAAAACAGATAAAAATCTCTGCCATCAGAGAGCTTATGTTCTTGTGATGATGACTGTGGCGGGTGGTGATGATGATAGTGGTGGCAGTTTTGATGATGATGGTGATGCTTATGGTAGCAATGATGATAATGATGATGAAGGTGGTGAGGATGATGACAATGGTGGGGGTTATGATGATGATGAAGTGTTGAGTGTGATAAATGATAGTGCTGGTGGTCGTGATGGAGATGATCATGGTGGTGGTCATGGCAGTGGTGGTGACAAGGATGGTATGGGTGACAGTGATGGTGATTGATGATGATGGTGGTTCTGGTGCTGGTGGTGATGATGGAGATTATTATGGTGGTGGTGTTGGTGGCAGTGATGATGACAATTATTATGGTGTGGGTGACAATGATGATGATGACAATGGGGATTATCATGGTGATGGTGGTGGCAGTGATGATGGCAGTAATGATGGTGATGATGATGATGGTGGTGGTGATGGTTGTGCTGGTGGTGATTATGGGGATTATTATGGTGGTGGTGGTGGCAATGATGATGACAATAATGATGCTGTAGGTGACAATGATGGTGATTATGATGGTGGTAACAAAGGTAAGGGATGAGGTATGACATTATTGAGCAATGAACATACAATGAAAACTAGGCTCAGCATCCAACTGATATGATATGCTATGTGTCTTTTTAACTTCTATCGTTATAGTTAAGGGAGGGATCAAAAATCTTCATTTTGTCCATCCCGTTTAATGCTGTGTATATTTAAAAATAATTTTATTGCAAATCCATAATTTCTGTACTTCTGAACATAGTGTTTGTTTCTTACCCACACTACAGTGCCTGGTCCTCTCCTCCTGCCATTCACCCTCAACTTCACCATCACCAACTTGCAGTATGAGGAGGCCATGCGACACCCTGGCTCCAGGAAGTTCAACACCACGGAGAGGGTCCTACAGGGTCTGGTGAGAGTCCAACCCATTTAACTCTGCCTGGCCCACCTTACCAGATTCTACCTGCATCACCCATGCCAGGGATGTACAAGAAGATCCCATGTGAATCACCTTTGACCCCAAATCACAAGCCGTACCCACTGGTATCAGCCCCACCTGTCTCATTTCTGCCCTGCCCCTCCTCATCACCCCTCCCAATCACCTCTCTCTCCACAGCTGGGGCCCTTGTTCAAGAATACCAGTATCAGCCCTTTGTACTCCAGCTGCAGACTGACCTTGCTCAGGTGAGACCTTAGAATAGCCAATCAGGGCTTACCCAAGTGTTCCCAGGCCCCAGCAGCATCCTTCTTGCCCTCCCTGTGAGCGTCCTCAGCAGAAGTGGGATTCAGTTGGCAGTGGCTTCAAGAAAGAACGTGTCTCCTGATCCTAGCACTTCCCCACTCAAGTGACAGATTCTGCAGAGCCCATCATCAAGATTGGGTTCTTACTCCACTCATCCTTCTTAATACCTTCCATTCCTCCTTATCCCTTCCCTTAAGTTTTAAAATTCTGTTCCCAAGGTCTCCCTTAAGAGAAAGGTGGGTTTTCCACTTGCTTTTATCTCTGATTCTAGCTCTTCACTTGTCTCAAGTCTGAGCTCTCCTGTCTTCGTGCTATCAAACTGGAAGTTTCACCTAGCAATTTCATAAATATTCTTGTGTCCATGACTCTGCTCCCAATCCAGGGCTGGCTAGGAGTTGGTGCATTTAGAGAAATTAATTGTGGCTTCTCACCTCTCTCCCCGGCTTCTCATTTCCTCTGTCCCCTCCCTGTCCTTCCCTCAGGAATCTCAGAACCCCTGCCTGGGCAATCCTTTCATTGTCACCCCCTCCACCCACTTAACCTCCTCAGGCCAGAGAAGGACAAGGCAGCCACCAGAGTGGATGCCATCTGTACCTACCGCCCTGACCCTCAAAGCCCTGGACTGGACAGAGAGCAGCTGTACTGGGAGCTGAGCCAGTTGACCCATGGCATCACTGAGCTGGGCCCCTACACCCTGGACAGGGACAGTCTCTATGTCAATGGTGAGCAGCTTTGATGTGGTTGGATTCTCGTCCTTCTTGCTGGGCAGCCCCTCCTTTCTGGCTTGAGGTCACACTTCCTGTCTGGACGTTGAAATCTCTGCCATGTTGTCTGCATGTGATGATTGATGTTAGAACTTCATTATTTTTTTTTCTGCATCTTGTACTGTGTTCATTCTCCAGACCTTGGACCCTGAAGTGAATGTGCTGATAGAGAACCTTTAATGGCTCCTGTTCCACGAAACCCCTTCTATTCCACCAGGGTAGCCCTGATTCCTATTTCATCCCCCCACCTCTCCTTAACCCTTACCCACTATCCTCCTTCCCTCTCTCTGCAGGTTTCACTCATTGGAGCTCCATACCAACCACCAACAGTGAGTATTCAACTGATGTTCCAGTACCCCCAATTCTACTCCAAGCAGGGCAGGTGCTGAGCCCTCCTCATACACACTTATGTCCTCTTCATGAGAGAAGGTGCTGGGAGAGCACAAGTTATTCCTTCTCCCTTGTGCCCAAAGAGAAACACAGTTCAAGACCCACATGCAGCAAGCCTCATACTAGTCCTACCTGCTGGCATTTCTGCCATGAGAATGCTTGCTGCTTTCACTGATAAGGGCTTCTCCTTAGCTCCTGGGACCTCCACAGTGAACCTGGGAACCTCTGGGATCCTGTCTTCCCTCCCTGAAACTACAGGTAAGTATCAGCCAGTGGCACCTCCGTTAGAGCATTCCTGATGAATATAAACATTTCTGCCATTACGCACTTAAATAAAGATAAAAGTCATAGTAAATCTAGTGATGAGGAGTTAACCTGTACATTTTATTGAGCACCTACTGTGTGCCAGGCCCTGAAGATACAGCAGGGAACATAGAAATAGATAGCAATCTCTGCTTAAGATAGCTTATATTCCTGTGATGATGATGGTGGTGATGGTGATGATGATGATGATGATAATGATCATGATATAGATGATGGTGGTGATGATGCTAATTATTATGACAGTGATGAGGATGATGACAATGGTGGGGGTAGTGGTTGTGATGATAATAATTATGTGAAGACAGTAATAATTATGGTGGTGGTGATTGACAAAAATGATGGTGATGTTGACACTGATGGTAATGAAGATGGCAATGATGATAGCACTGCTGGTGATGGGGATGATGAGGATAATGATGATGGTGGTGGTGATGATGACAATAATACTACTGATGGTGATAAGCATGGTGATATTGACAATGATGATGGTGATGATGAAAATGGTGATGGAGGTGATGATTAGGATGATGATGGTTGTGGTGGTAATGATGATGATGATGATGGTAGTGCTGGTAGTGGCGGGGTTGGTGCTAATGGTGATGATGATGACAGTAACACTCATGGAGATAATCATGGTGATGTTGAAAATGAAGTTGGTGTTAACAATGGCACTAGATAGTATCTGGCACTATGGAACACTGAATATGCACCAAGACCTATGCTCAGCATTTCACTACTATTATTTAATGTGCTCTATCCAAAACATCTATCATAATAGTCAAAGGAGGCATGAAAACATTATGCTTTATCACTCATTTTAAATCCTGTTGCATATATTTAGAAATAAGTCTATTGCAAACTCTTAAATGTTCTCTACCTTCAAACACAGTGTTTATTTCCCACCTTCACTATAGCCACCAGCCCTCTCCTGGTGCCATTCACACTCAACTTCACCATCACTAACCTACAGTATGAGGAGAACATGGGTCACCCTGGCTCCAGGAAGTTCAACACCACGGAGAGGGTTCTGCAGGGTCTGGTGAGAGCCCCACCTATCTCAGTCTGCCCTACCCATCTTACCTAGTCCCACCTATCTATAGGTGTATCTATATGGCCACAGAAGATCTCACCCACCTCCCCTCACCCCAAGAGATAAAAGCCCCATCCAACCTACTGATGTCAGCTCTACCAACTAAAGCCAGCCCCACCCACCTCACTTCTGCCCTGCCCCTACCTCCTCAGCCCTGCCACTGACCTCTCTCTCCCTCCTCCACAGCTCAAGCACTTGTTCAAGAGCACGGGTGTTGGCCCTCTGTATTCTGGCTGCAGACTGACCTTGCTCAGGTGAGACCTTAGAATTTCCTGCCTGGTTGCCCCAATTGTTCCTAGTCTCAATGAGTTTGGACTTCTTTTTTCCTGTCCTCTTTGTGATTATTCTTATCAAAGATGGAATTCAGGAAACAGTAGCTCCAGGACTAACCTGTCTCCTGGTATTAGCAGTGCCCCCGCCCCCACTTCCAAACAGACTGAGAAATTCCAGAGTCCATCAACAGGACTGGACTTCTACCCTGGCCATCCCTCCGAATTCCCTGTTTTCCCCCAACCTGCATTGACTTTAGGTGTTAAATTCTGTAACCAGGATTTCTCTCAAGACAAACATGCCTCAACCACTTGCTTTCATCCCCAATTTCAGCTCTTCACCTATCTCAAATCTGAGCTCTCCTGTTTCCAGGCTTTAAGAATGCAGGATCAACCCTGCCATTTTGGGAAAACTATTACATCCACAAGTATGCTCACAGTCCCAGGCCGGCCAGTGCACTCAGAGAATCTAAGTATTGCTTCCCACCTCTGTAATAGGCTTTTTACTTCCTCTGTCCTTTTTGTCCTTCACTCTGCCATCTCAGGATCTCTCCTTAGGCAATTCATTTATTGCCATTCCCCTCACCACCTCTCCCTAGGCCTGAGAAGGATGGAGCAGCCACCAGAGTGGACGCCATCTGTACCCACCGCCCTGACCCCAAAATCCCTGGGCTAGACAGAGAGCGGCTATACTGGGAGCTGAGCCAGCTGACCCACAGCATCACTGAATTGGGCCCCTACACCCTGGACAGGGATAGTCTCTATGTCAATGGTAAGCAGCTGTTATGTGGTTAGAGTCTCTTTCTCCTAGCTGGGCAGCCTCTACTCTCTGACTTGAGGTCACATGCCCTGCCTGGACACTGAAGGCTAGGACATGTCTGTATGTGGTGATTGATGTCACAATTTCATGATTTCTTCTTTATATTGAACTGATTTCATCCTTAGTACCTTCTTCCCTGATACTCAGATTCTGACAGAGAATCTCCAAATGTCCCTGTTCCATGAAACTCCTTTCATTCCACCAGGGTAGTCCTGACTTTTGTTTGATTCCCTACCTCCCACTTGACTCTTATTCACATTCCTCCCTCCCTCTCTATGCAGGTTTCACCCAGCGGAGCTCTATGCCTGCCACCAACAGTGAGTATTCTACTGATGTTCCAGTGGCCCCAATCCTACACCAAACTTAGCAGGAGCTGACCCCTATTCATAAGCCCTTACGTCCTTTCCATATGGGAAGGAACATAGAGGGCAAAAATTATTCCCCATCCCCACTGCCCCAGCTAACCAGAATCCCAGCTGAAGCCCTACAGGCAAAAATCCCCATGAATAGTCCCTCCTGCTGGCATTACTTCCATGAGAGTGCTTGCTCCTTTCACTGACGAGGGCTTCTCCTCAGCTCCTGGGACTTTCACAGTACAGCTGGAAACCTCCGAGACTCCATCATCCCTCCCTGCCCCCACAGGTAAATACCAGTCAATGATATTTAGAGCATGGTTGATGAGTGTAAACATCTCTGTCATGATTCACTCAACTAAAGATGGAAATTCATGGTAAATCTAGTAACCATAGGTCAACCAACTAAGTTCGTTGAGCACTGCCTGTGTATCAGGACCTGGATATACATCAGGGAACAAAAAAAGAAAAAACACTGCCCTCAATGAGCTTATATTATTGTGATGACGTTGATGGAGGTGGCGGTGGTGATGGTGACTGCAGTGGTGGTGGTGGTGGTGGTGGTGGTGGTGGTGGTGATGGTAAGGATAATGATGATTGTGGTGGGGGTAATCATGGGAAGAATGATGGTGGTGGTGGTGGTGGGGATTACAATTAACAATAATTATGGGGATGTTGGCAATAATTATAATAACAATGATGATGATGACAGTTGTATTGACTGTGGGGATGATGTTGGAGTGGTGATGATGATAACAATGGTGATGATGATGGTAAAGATGATGATGGCTGTTTGGATGATGACAGTAATGTTGCTGGTTATGATGGTAATGATGATATGATTATGGTGATGATGATGTTTGTGGTGGTGTTGATGTAGATTATGACATTGGTGATGGTGTTACTGAGGATGACAATAATGATGACGATGGTGATTATGATGACAATGATCGTGATGATGATGATTATTCAGATGATGACAGTGATGGTGATTATGATGGTAATGATGAGATGACAATGGTGATAATGATGTTTGTGATAGCATTAATGGGGATTATCATGGTGGTGATAGTGGTGGTGCTGATGCTGACAATAATGATGATGATCATCATGATTATGATGATGATAATGGTGATGACAAAGGTAACAGGTAATATCTGATATTTTTCAGCACTGAATATGCACCAAAAGCTGAGCTCAGAATCTAACAAGTATTATTTAATATGCTTTTAAAAAAAATAATTTATATCAAGAAGGGCACAGAAACCTTTTATTTTTCATTCATTTTAAATTCTGTTGCATATGATTAAAAATAAATTTATTGCACTCTTCAGTCTATCGCAAAAGTCGAGAACCTTGAGGAGTTTTCAATAGACTTATTTTAACTATATGCAACTGATTAAAAATACAAACGCAATAGTGTTTGTTTCCCACCTTTTACTACAGGCACTGGCCCCCTCCTGCTGCCATTCACCCTCAATTTTACCATCAATAACCTGCGGTACGAGGAGGACATGGGTCGCCCTGGCTCCAGGAAGTTCAACACCACGGAGAGGGTCCTTCAGGGTCTGGTGAGACACCTGCCCACCTTACTCTGCCCCACTCACCTTACCTGGTCCCAACAACATTACCCATGCCAGGGCCATGGAAGAAAATCTCATCCACCTACCCTATAGACACAAGCCCTGCCCACTGGTGCCAGCTGCGTCCGCCACACTTGTGCCCCACCACTGTCCCCAGCCCTCCTAGTCACCTCCCTCTCCCTCTTCCACAGCTTAGGCCCTTGTTCAAGAACACCAGCGTTGGCACTCTGTACTCTGGTTGCAGACTGACCTTGCTCAGGTGAGACTTTAGAAGAGCTAGCCTAGCTGCCCCAATTGTTCCTAGACTCAAAGAGTTTGGATTGGTTTTTTTCTTTCCTGCCATCCCTGTGAATGTCCTCACAAAAGATGGAATTCAGGAAGCAGTGGCTTCAAAACTAATCTGTCTCTTGATACCATCGGCACCACCCCAATCAACAGAGAGATTCTGCAGAGTCCATCAGGAGAATTGGGCTTCTACCTTGGTCATCCCTCTTTTGGAAAGAATTCCCTCCTTTCCACCCACCTCCCTTTCCTCCAGTTGTTAAATTCTGTCCCCAGGATTTCTCCTAAGACAAACATGTCTCATCCACTTGCTTTCATCCCCAATTCCAGCTCTTCATCTGTCTCACGTCTGAGTACTCTTGTCTCCACGCCATAAGAATGCAGGTTTCAACTTGCAATTTTATAAAAAGTTCTTGCATCTATGACTCTGTTCACAGTCCTGGGCTGGCTGGCAGCCGGGACACTCAGAGAATCTAAATGTGACTTATGACCTCTTTCCCAGGCTTCTCATTTCCTCTGGTCCCTTCCTGTCTGGCCTCAGGAAATCTCAGAACTCCCCCTGAGGCAAGTTTTAAATTGTTATTTGCTTCATCTGCCCTCCCCAGGCCTGAGAAGGATGGGGCAGCCACCAGAGTGGATGCTGTCTGCACCCACCGTCCTGACCCCCAAAGCCCTGGACTGGACAGAGAGCGGCTGTACTGGAAGCTGAGCCAGCTGACCCACGGCATCACTGAGCTGGGCCCCTACACCCTGGACAGACACAGTCTCTATGTCAATGGTGGGCAACTTTGGTGTGGCTGGAGTCTCTTCTGCCTTGCTGGGCAGCCTCTATTCTCTGGCCTGAGGTCACACTCCCTGTCTGGCTATTGAAGGCTCAGCCATGTTGTCTGTATGTGGTGGCCAAGGTCAAAACCTCATGGTTTCTTCTTCATCTGGGACTGAGTTTGCCCTCAGGATCTGCTTTCTAAATCTGAGGGTGCTGATAGAGAATCTTCAATGTCCCGTGTTCTGGAAAATTCCTTCTGTTGCACCCGGGTACCCCACCACTCCGTTAACACTTACCCACTCTCCTCCCTCCATCTCTGCAGGTTTCACCCATCAGAGCTCCATGGTGACCACCAGAAGTGAGTATTAACTGATGTTCTAGTGCTCCTGATCCTACACCATAAAGGGCAGGAGCTTTCCTCTCCTTCTATGCCCCTATATCCTCTTCATGAGGGAAGGAACTGAGAGAGCACAAGTTATTCCCCTTTCCCTCTGGCCCATCTCCAGATGGAGATCCTGCTCAAGCCCCACACGCAGCAGGGGCCATAAATACTCCTACCTGCTGGTGTTTCTGCCGTGAGAGGGTTTGCTGCTTTCACTAATACAGCAAACCTTCTCCTCAGCTCCTGATACCTCCACAATGCACCTGGGAACCTCGAGAACTCCAGCCTCCCTGTCTGGACCCACGAGTGAGTACCATTCAGTGCCATCTCTATTACAGCATGCCTGAGGAGTGTCAACATCTCTGCCATTTTCTTTTCTTTTTCTTTCCTTTTTTGAGATGGAGTCTTACTCTGTCGCCCAGGCTGGAATGCAATGGCGTGATCTTGGCCCACTGCAACCTCTGCCTCCTGGGTTCAAGCAATTCTCCTGCCTCTGCCTCCTGGATAGCTGGGATTACAGGTGCATGCCACCACGCCCAGCTAATTTTTATATTTTTAGTAGAGATGGGGCTTCACCATGTTGGTCAAGCTGATCTCAAACTCCTTACCTCGTGATCTGTCTGCCTTGGTCCCCCAAAGTGCTGGGATGACAGGCATGAGCCACCGCACCTGGCCTACAACTCTGCCATTTTCACTCAAATAAAGATGAAAAGTCCTAGTGAACGTAGTGATGAGAAGTCAACCAACAAATTTTATTGAGAGTCTGGCTGCTTCAGGGCCCTAGGGATAAGGCGGGGAACACAAAAGAAATACAAATCTCTGTCCTCAGGAAGGTTATATTATTGTGATGATGATGATGATAATGATAGGGGTAGTGGTGGTGATGGTGGTGGACATGATGACAACAATGATGGCATTGCTGATAATGATGGTGATGATGATGGTGGTGGTAGTGGTTTTGACGGTGATGATGACGATGGTGGTGATGATTATAGGAAGGATGACAGTGGTGGTGGTGATGTGATGGTTTTGAAGGTAATTGACAATGTGATCGTGATGTTGACAAAAAGGATAATGATAGTGGTGATGATGGTGATAATGATGATGATGGTGGTGGTGGTGGTGATGGTGGTTATGACGGTAAGAATGATATGATAATGGTGTTAGTGACCATGTGCTAGTGGTGAGTATATGGATGATGATGGTTGGGGTGCTGGTGTTGTGATGATGGCAATGGGTGGGGATGATAGGGATTATGATGGTCATGGTTTTGTGCTGATGCTGGTGGTGATGACAATAATGATAGTGATGGTCACAGTGTTGCTGATGTTGACGATGATCGTGATGTTGACAAAGTAGTAGATAATGTCTAGTAGTATGGAATACTGAATATGCACCAAGAGCTATGCTCAGGATCTAACTACTATTATTTAGTATGCTCTATGAAAATTATCTATCATTATAGTCAAGAGAGGCATGAAAACCCTTTATTTTGTCACTTTAAATCATGTTGCATATGTTTAGAAACAATTCTATCACAAATTCTTTTTTTTTTGAAACGGAGTCCCCATCACCCAGGCTAGATCTGGTCCAGTGGCGCGATCTTGGCTCACTGCAAGCTCCGCCTCCTGGGTTCACGCCATTCTCCTGCCTCAGCCTCCCGAATAGCTGGGACTACAGGCACCCGCCACCATGCCTGGCTAATTTTTTTGTATTTTTAGTAGAGACAGGGTTTCACTCTGTTAACCGGGATGGTCTCAATCTCCTGACCTCATGATCCACCCACCTCGGCCTCCCAAAGTGCTGGGATTACAGGCATGAGCCACCACGCCCAGCCTCTATCACAGATTCTTAAATGTTAGTCTACTTTTGAACACTGTTTATTTCCCATCTTCACTATAGCCGCCAGCCCTCTCCTGGTGCTATTCACACTTAACTTCACCATCACTAACCTGTGGTATGAGGAGAGCATGCATCACCCTGGCTCTGGAAAGTTTAACACCACAGAGAGAGTCCTTCAGGGTCTGGTAAGAGCCCCACACACCTCATTCTACCCCACTCACCATGTTTAGTCCTGCCCACCTCACCTGTTGCAGAGCACGGAAGATCTCACCTACCTCATCTTACCCCCAGATATGCATGCCCCAACCACTGATGCCAGCCCCACCAACTGTTGCCAGCCCTGCCCACCTCCCTTCTACCACACCCCTATGACTTCAGTCCTCCCATTCACCTCTTTCTCCCTCCTCCACAGCTCAGGCCTTTGTTCAAGAACACCAGTGTTGGCCCTCTGTACTCTGGCTGCAGACTGACCTTACTCAGGTGAGAACTGAGAACAGCCAGTCTGACTGATCTGAGAAGTCTGACCTGCTTCCTTTCTGCACTCCCTGGAGATGTCCACAGCACAGGTGGAATCCAGCAGGCAGTGGCTCCAAGACCAATGTGCTTCCTGATCCTAGCACCTCCCACCTCAACTGAGAGATGCAGAGCCCATCAGCATGACTGGGCTTCTACCTTGGTCATCCCTCTGAATTCCCTCCTTTTCCCTACCTGCCTTTCCACAAGTGGTTAAATTCTGTTAAATGCTGTTCCCAGGATTTCTCCCAAGAAAAACATGCCTTGTCCACTTGCTTTCATTCCAGCTCTTTACCTGTCTCAAGTATGAGTTCTCCTCTTTGCAATTTTCCTAAAAGGTTTCCACTTTGCAATTTTATAAAAATCCTTGCATCCATGATTCTGCTTATAGTCGCTGAGAGTCAGTGTGCTCAGAGAATGGAAGTGTGGCTTCTCACTTCTCTACCAGGCTTCTCATTTCTTCTGGCCCCATCCTATCCTGCCCCATGGAATCTCAGGACGCCTCCCTAGGCAATCCATGTATTGTCTTCCCCCAATCTTGCCCTCCCCAGGCCCAAGAAGGATGGGGCAGCCACCAAAGTGGATACCATCTGCACCTACCGCCCTGACCCCAAAAGCCCTGGACTGGACAGAGAGCAGCTATACTGGGAACTGAGCCAGCTGACCCATGGCATCACTGAGCTGGGTCCCTACACCCTGGACAGGGACAGTCTCTATGTCAATGGTGAGTAGCTGTGATGTGGTTGGAGTCTCTTCCTCCTCGCTGGGAAGCCTCTACTCTCTGCCTTGAGGTCACACTCCCTGCCTGGCTATTGAATGCTCGGCCATGTTGTCTGTATGTGACAGCTGATGTTGGAACTTCATGGTTTCTATTTCATCTTGGACTGAGTTCTTCCTGGGGATCTGCTTTCTGGATCTGAGGGTGCTGGTAGAGAACCTTCAATGGCTCGTGTTCTGGGAAATTCCTTCCATTGCAACAGGGTACCTTCACCCCTATATAGTGCCCCACCACTCCTTTAACCCTTACCTACCCTCCTCCCTCCATCTCTATGCAGGTTTCACACAACGGAGCTCTGTGCCCACCACCAGCAGTGAGTATTCCACTGATGTTCCAATGCTCCTGATCCTACACCATGCAGAGCAAGAACTGAACCCTCCTCACATGCCCCTATGTCCTCTATGAGCAAAGGAGCTGGGACAGCACAAGTTATTCCCTTTCCCTTCTGGCCCAAGTCTCTTCAGAGAGAGACCCAGCTCAAGCCCCACATGCAGCAAGGTCCATAAATACTCCTACCTGCTGGCATTTCTGCCATGAGAGGGTTTGACACTTTCACTAAAGAGGCCTTCTCCTCAGCTCCTGGGACCTCCACAGTGGACCCGGGAACATCTGGGACTCCAGCTTCTAAACCTGGTCCCTCGGATAAATACAAATCAGTTGCATCTCTGTTAGAGCATGCCTGATGACTGTCAACATCTCTGCCATTTTCGCTTAAATAAAGATTTAAAAAATCCTAATGAATCTACAGATGAGGAGTCATCTAACAAATTTAATTGAGTGCCTACTTTCTGCAGGGCTCTAGGGATAAGGAAGGGGACACAAAAGAGTTAAAAATCTCTGCTGCAAGGAAACTTATTTTATTGTGAGGGTGATGGAGATTGTTGGTGCTGAGGTTACTGGAGATGATGACAATAAAAATGGTGATGCTAGTGATAATGATGGCGATAAGGATGATAATTATGAAGATGGTGGTGGTGATGATGATGTTGGTGGCAGGGGTTATAATGGTGATGCTGTGATGATGACAATGGTGGTGGTGATTACGGGAAGGATGATCGTGGTGTTGGTGATGGTGGTGGTTTTGGTAGTGATTGACAATATTAATGATGATGTTGACAATGATAATAATGATGATGATGGTGGTGGTGGTTATAATGGTAATCATGTGATGATGAGGAGGATAGTTGTGGGGGTGATTATGGGAAGAATGATGGTGGTAAGGATGGTGGTGGTTGTGGTAGTGATTGACAATAGTGATTGTGATGGTTACAATGAAGATAATGATGATTATAATGATGATGGTTGTGATGGTGGTGGTGGTGATGAGAGTAATGATGATATGATAATGGTGTTGGTAATCATGGTGCTGGTGATGATGATGCAAATGATGATTGTGGTGGTGGTGATGATGATGATGATGGTAGTGGGGATGCTAGAATCATCCCTACCATGGTTTTGGTCATGATTTTGGTGCTGATGTGGGTAGTGCTGATGCTGGTGGTGATGACAATAATAATAGTGAGGCTCACAGTGTTGGTGACATTGATGATGACAATGGTGATAATAAAGGTAATATTTAGTATTATGGAACTCTGAATATGCACCAAGAAGTATGCTAGCTACTACTATTATTTAGTAGGCTTTGTTAGAAACTTCTATCGTTATAGTCGAGGGACACATGGAAACTTTTTATTTTATTCTCTTTAAATCCCGTTGCATATGTTTAGAAGTAGGCCTTTTAGAAATCTATGAAGTTCTCCACTTTTGAACATGTCGTTTCTTTCCCACCTCCACAGCAGCTGCCAGCCCTCTCCTGGTGCCGTTCACTCTCAACTTCACCATCACCAACCTGCGGTATGAGGAGAACATGCAGCACCCTGGCTCCAGGAAGTTCAACACCACGGAGAGGGTCCTTCAGGGCCTGGTAAGAGCCCCAAGCATCTCACTCTACCCAGTTCACCTTGTCTAGCCCCACCTCTCTCACTCATGGCAGGGCACAGAAGAAGATCTCACCCACCTCCCCTCACACCCAGAGACATGAGCCCCCATCCACTGATGCCAGGCCCACCTACTGGTGCCAGCCCCAATGACTAGTCCCCTGCCCCTACCCCCTCAGCCATCCTACTCACCTCCCTCTCCCTCCCCCACAGCTCAGGCCCCTGTTCAAGAGTACCAGTGTTGGCCCTCTGTACTCTGGCTGCAGACTGACCTTGCTCAGGTGAGACCTTAGAATTGCCAACCTTTGTTGCCCCAATTGTTTCCAGTCTCCATGAGTTTGCACTTCTTTTTTCCTGCCCTCTCTGTGGTTATTCTCATCAAAGATGGAACTCAAGGAACAGTGGCTCCAAGACTCATCTGTCTCCCAATATTACCACTGCCCCCTGCCATCCTACCCAAATCAACTGAAAATTTCCACAGGGTCCATCAGAAAGATTGGACTTTCACCCTGGCCATCCCTCTGAATTCCCTCTTTTTTCCCCACCTCCTTTGCCTTTAGGTGTTAAATTCTCTAACTAGGATTTCTCTCAAGACAAACATGCCCCATTCACTTGTTTAATTCTCAATTCCAGCTCTTCACCTGTCTCTAGTCTAAGCTGTCTTGTCCCCATGCCATGAGAATGCAAGAGCCACACTGCAATGTTAGAAAAATGTTTGTATCCACAAGTATGCTCACTGTAACAAGCTGAACAGTAGTCAGTGCACTCAGAGAATCTAAGTGTGGCTTCTCATCTGTGTACCAGGCTTCTCATTTCCTGTGGCCCCTTCCTGTCCTTCGCTCAGCAATCTTGGGACTCCTCCTTAGACAAAACTTTATTATTATTCCCCTCACCTGCCCTCTCCAGGCCTGAGAAGGATGGGGCAGCCACTGGAGTGGACGCCATCTGCACCCACCACCCTGACCCCAAAAGCCCTAGGCTGGACAGAGAGCAGTTGTATTGGGAGCTGAGCCAACTGACCCACAGCATCACTGAGCTGGGCCCCTATACCCTGGACAACGACAGCCTCTTTGTCAATGGTGAGCAACTGTGATGTGGTTGGAGTTTCTTCTTCCTCGTTGAGCAGGCCTCTACTCTCTGTCTTGAGGTCACACTCCCTACCTGGCCATTAAAGTCTCGGCCATGTTGTCTGTATTTGATGACTAATCTGAACTTCATGGTTTCTTCTTCATCTTGTACTGGAGACTTTCATCCTCAGGACCTTCTTCCCTGATCTGAGGGTGCTTATAGAGAATCCTCAAAGTCCATGTTCCCTGAAACTCCTTCAATTGCACCATGGTAGTACTGACCCCTTTTAGTCCCCTACATTTCCCTTAACCCTTACCCACTCTCCTTCCTCCCTCTCTATGCAGGTTTCACCCATCGGAGCTCTGTGCCCACCACCAGCAGTGAGTATTCTACTAACATTCCAGTGGCCCAAATCCTACTCCAAGCAGGACAGGAGCTGACCCGCTTCTCCTATGCCCCTATATCTTCTTCATGAGGGAAAGATCTGACAGGGTATAAATGATTCCCTTTCCCTCTGGCCCAGCTCCAGAGAGACACTAATCTCAAGCCCCGTATGCAGAAATACTCCTATTTGCTGGCATTTCTGCCATGAAAGAGCTTGCTGCTTTAACTAATGCGGGCTTCTCCTCAGCTCCTGGGATCCCCACAGTGTATCTGGGAGCATCTAGGACTCCAACCTCGATACTTGGCCCTTCAGGTAAGTGCTAGTCGATGACACCTCTATTAGAGTATGCATGATGAGTGTCAACATCTCTGTTCTTTTTACTTAAATAAAGATTAAAAATCATAGCAAATTTACTGATGATGAGTCACCCAACAAACTTTTTTGAGCACCCACTTTCTGCCAGGCCCTAGAGATAAGGCAGGGAACACAAAAGAGGTAAAAATCTCTGCCCTCAGAGAGCTTATTTTATTTTGAGGATGATGTGGGATAGTGGTGATGATGATGTTGCTGGAGATGATTACAATAATGATGGTGATGCTGATGACCATGATGTGATGATAATGGTGATTATGAAGATGATGATGATGATGATACTGATGATGGTAGTGGTTTTGACAGTAATGATGATGTGATGATGATGATGATGATAGTGTTGGTGGTGATTATAGGAAGGATGACAGTGGTGGTGATGGTGGTGATTGTGGCGGTGATTGACAATGTGATGGTGTTACTGACAATGAGGATGATGATGATAGTGGTGGTGGTGGTGGTTATGATGGTTGAGGACGATGGGATGAGGGTGTTGGTGATCATGGTACTAGTGGTGGTGATGTGGATCATGATGGCTGTGTGGCGGTGGTGGTGGTGGTTGTGATGATGATGATGGTGGTGGTGATCGTTATGATGGTAAGGATGAAATAGTGATGGTGCTGGTGACCGCGTTCCTGGTGGTGATAGTGGAGGTGATGATGTGGATGATGATGATGATGGGGATGGGGATGATAGGGATTATGATGATCTTGGTTTTGGTCCTGATGGTGGTGGTGATGACAATAATGAAAGTGATGGCCGCAGTGTTGGTGATGATGATGATGGTGGTGACAACAAAGGTAATAGATAGTATCTAGTATTATGGAACACTGAATATGCATGAAAGGTTGTGCTCAGCATCTAACTATTATTATTTAGCATGCTATATGAAAAACTTTGATCATTATAGTCAAGGGAGGCATGAAAACCTATTTTATCACTCTCTTTAAATCTGGTTGCATATGTTTAGAGATAAGTCTATTACAAACTCTTAAATGTTCTCTGCTTTTGAACATAGTGTTTACTTCCCACCTACACTACAGCTGCCAGCCATCTCCTGATACTATTCACCCTCAACTTCACCATCACTAACCTGCAGTATGAGGAGAACATGTGGCCTGGCTCCAGGAAGTTCAACACTACAGAGAGGGTCCTTCAGGGTCTGGTGAGAGCCCTGCCCACCTCACTCTGCCCTGCCCACCTTGTCTCGTTCCATCTACGTCACCCATTCCAAGGCATGGAAGAAGATCTCACCCACCTCCCCTCACCTGAGAGATGCAATTCTCGCCCCCTGATTACAGCCCCTCCCACCTTACATCTTCCTCGCTCCTGTGTCCTCAGCTGTCCTACTCACCTCCCTCTTCCTCCACCACAGCTAAGGCCCTTGCTCAAGAACACCAGTGTTGGCCTTCTGTACTCTGGCTGCAGGCTGACCTTGCTCAGGTGAGAACTGAGAATAACCAATCTGGCTGCCCCAAGTGTTCCCAGGCCCAAGGAGTTTGGTCAGCTTTCTTCCTTCCCTCCCTATGGAAGTCCTCAGCACGAGTGGAATTCAGGCATTGGTGGCTCCAGGACCAACATATCTCCTGATCCGACCACCTCCCCCATCAACCGAGAGAACTTGCAGGGCCCATCAGTCAGATCAGGCTTCTACCTTGGTGATCCCTCTGAATTTCTTACTTCTCCCCACCTCCCTCTCCTTCAGGTGTTAAATTATCTTCCAAGGTTTCTCTCAGGATAAACATCCCCCATCCACTTGCTTTTATCCCCAATTCCAGCTCTTAATGTTTCTCAAGTCTGGGTTGTCCTGTCCCCATGCCATGAGAATACAGTTTTATAAAATTCTTGTATTCCTGACCCTACTCACATTCCCAGGCTGCCTGGAAGTCAGCACATTCAGAAAATCTTAGTATGGCTTCTCACCTGTCCACCAGGAGTCTCATTTCCTCTGTCCCCTTCCTGTCCTGCCCTCAGGAATCTCATAATGCCTCCCTGTAGGCAGTCTATTTAATGTCATTCCCCTTATCTGCCCTCCCTAGGCCAGAGAAGGATGGGGAAGCCACCGGAGTGGATGTCATCTGCACCCACCGCCCTGACCCCACAGGCCCTGGGCTGGACAGAGAGCAGCTGTATTTGGAGCTGAGCCAGCTGACCCATAGCATCACTGAGCTGGGCCCCTACACCCTGGACAGGGACAGTCTCTATGTCAATGGTGAGCAGCTGTGATGTGGTTGGAGAGTCTTCCTCTTTGCTGGGCAGCCTCTTACTCTCTGACTTGAGGTCACACTCCCTGACTGGCCACTGAAGTCTTGGCTATGTTGTCTTTGTGTGATGACTGATGTCTGAACTTCATAGTTTCTTCATCTTGGACTAGTTCATCCCAAGTACCTTCTTCCCTGATCTGAGAGTACTGATAGAGAATCTTCAAAGGCCTCTGTTCCTTGAAACTTCTTCCATTCCACTGGGTATCTGTGACCCCTATTTGATTGCCCACCTCTCCCTTAACCCTTACCCACTCTCCTCTCTCCTTCTCTATGCAGGTTTCACCCATCAGAGCTCTGTGCCCACCACCAGCAGTGAGTATTCAACCGATGTTCCAGTGGCCCCAATTATATGCCAAGCAGGGCAGGAGCTGTCCCCTCTTCCTATGCCCCTATGTCCTCTTCATAAGGAAAGGGGCTGGGAGGGCACAAGTTATTCCCTTTCCCTTCTGACCAACTCCAGAGAGAGACTCAACTCAGGCCTCATATGCAGCAAGGCCTGTAAATAGTTGTATTTGCTGACCTTTCTGCCATGAGAGGGTTGGATGCTTCCACTGAAGAGGGCTTCTCTGTAGCTCTTGGGACTACCACAGTGGACCTGGGAAATTCTGGGGCTCCATCCCTTCTACTGGTCCCTTGAATAAGTATGTGCCAATGGCACCTCTGTTAGAGCATGGCTGATGAGCGTAAACATCTCTTCCATTATTCAGTCTAATAAAGATGGAAATTCTTTATAAATCTAGTGATGATGAGCCAACCAACAAACTTTATTGAGCACTGTGCCAAGCCCTGGGGCTCTGCCAAATCCTGGGGATATGGCATGGATCATGAAACAATTAATAATCTCTCCTCTCAGAGAGCTATTTTTATGATGATACTGATGGTGGCAATGATGACGACGATGGTGATGGTGATTATGATGATCATGATGACAATGGTGATGGTGGTGGTGATGATGGTAATGATGATGATGGTGATGGTGGTAATGATGGTGGTGATTATGACAATAAAGATGGTGATGGTGACAAGGATGGTGATGATTATGATGGTGGTGGTGATAACAAAGGTAATAGATAATATATGAACTTATTGGATCCTGAATATGCACCAAAGTGCTATGCTCAGTGTTTAACTAGTACTATTTAATATGATTTCTAAAAAGAAAAAAAAAACTTGAATTATTATAGGCAAAAGAATTATGGGAACCTTTTATTTTGTCACTCACTTTAAGTCCTGTTGCATATTTTTTTAAGTCCATTGCAAACACATTTTCTCTGCTTTGAACATTGTGTTTATATCCAGTCACCCCAATGGTGCATAAAACTGCTGATTGGAGCAACTGTGTCTTACTCCCTTGTGCTTCCCTAGTATCTACTTCAGGACCTTGTACATGGTAGACTGACAGATTTAGATCTACAGGAAAACATGGATTTTCCCAGAGAAGGAAAGAATGAAGTATGCTTTCTTATAATGTATGGAAACTTTCCTCTTCTGCCTTGGTTCAACTTTAGTGTCTGCCAGAGTTTACACTGGAAAGCTATATGGCATCTGCTGCACTCCCTCATCCGTGACAGACATCATTAATTGATTGCAGCATTCATGGCAGACATCACCAATTGATAATAGCGTTCATTTTCTCTCAGTTCAAAACAGCTTCAGAATGGTTACCAAAAAAAAAAAAAAAAAATCAGTCTCTACCAATTCAGTTGGAGCTGACTCAGGATTATGGGGCAGAATTCAAGAGAGTTAGGTTCCTTGATGATGTGTAGTTGGCTCTTTGGTTTTCCTAGAAGGCTCAACTCAGGCTCAGCTTGGTCATTGCTGATATCCTTTCTTCCACTTGATCGATTTGGCTGTTGATACTTGTGTATGCTTCACAAAGTTTTTGTGCTGTGTTTTTCAGCTCCATCAGGTTGTTTATGTTCCTCTCTAAACTGTTTATTCTAGTTAGCAATTCCTTTAACCTTTCATCAAGATTCTTGGCTTCTTTGCATTGCATTAGGACATGCTCCCTTAGCTCATTGTACTTTTTTATTGCCTATCTTCTGAAGCCTATTTCTGTCAATTCATCCATCTGATCCTCCATTCAGTTCTGCACCCTTAATGGAGAGATGTTGCAGTCATTTGGAGGAGAAGAGGCACTCTGGTCTTTTGGGTTTTCAGCATATTTTTGTTGATTCTTTCTTATCTTTGTGAGTTTTAGTTTCAGGCTTTGAGGATGCTGATCCTTGGAGGGGTTTTTGTGGAGGACTTTTTGTTGTTGTAGTTGTTGTTGATGCTGTTGTTGTCACTTTCTGCTTGTTTTTCTGTCAATAGTCAGGTCCCTCTTCTGTAGGGCTGCTGCAGTTTGCTAGGGGTTCACTTCAGGTCCTATTCATCTGATTCACTCCCATGCCTGGAGATGTCACACAGGGAGGCTGGAGAGCAGCAAAGATAGGTGCCTGCTTCTTCTGGGACCTCTGATCTTGAGAGGCACCAACCTGATGCCAGGAGGATCGCTCCTGTATAGGGTGTCTGACAACTATTGTTGGAGGGTCTCACCCAGTTGACTGGCATGGGGAACAGGACCCATTTAATGAAGCACTTTGTCCCTGGTGGAGAGGGGGTGCTTCACTGGGGGGAAACCCACACATCTGGGCTGCCTGGATTCCTCAGAACTACCAGGAGGAGAGGCTAACTCTGCTGGTCTGCAGAGACTGCAGCCACCCCTCCCACTAGGGGCTCAAGCCCAGGGAGTCTGAATTCTGTCCCTGAGCCTCTGGCTGGAATTATTGGAGATCCTGCAGAAAAGCCCTGCCCACTGAGGAAGGTTGGGTAAGGGTAAGCCCTGAAGAATCACTTTGGCTGCAGACTGCCACAGCCCGTGTGTTGGACTGTGGGGACAAAACTTGGGACGAAGCCATTCAGCCTTACTGGCTCCAGCAGGGAAAAAGCACAGCCTGGAGCTATAGAAAGGGGTGCTGCCCTTCCCCCACCCAGGGAGCTTAGCGTGTTAGGCAGTTGTGAGTCCCAGTGCTGGCTGTTGCCCCTCCCCCAAGGAACTCAAAAGACTTAGACAGCAGGCAGCTGCAGCCAGTGCTGGTTGCCCCTCCCCCGGGGAGTTCCGTAGGCTTAGGTAGATTCCAGCTGTAAGAATCTGCGCGTTCTGGGGTTGGGACACTAGGTCCCAGTGGCATGGGTTCGCGAATGGGATCTTCCAATCTGTGGGTGGCACAGTTCCGTGGAAAAAGCACAGTTTCTCCAGATTGGATAGCCCGCTCACTCACCACCTCCCTTGGCTAGGGGGAAGGGGTTCCCCTTCCCCTTGTGTCTCTCAGGTGGGCCACCACACCACACTGCTCTTCCTTCTCTCCGTGGGTCACTGCCAGCCTTCTAGTCAATTTTGATGAGGGAACCTGGATATCTTGGTTGCCAGGGAAGGATTCACACACTTACTGTGGTTTTTTTCAATGGGAGCCTCCAAGCACTCTGCTTCTAGCCGACCGTCTTGGCCCCCAGAGCCACATCTATTATTTTTTTATTTTTTGATTATGGCAATTCTTGTAGAAGTAAGGTGGTATCACATTATGGTTTTGATTTTTCATTTCCCCGGTCATTAGTGATGTTGAACATTTTTTCATATGTTCTTTGGCCATTTGTGTATCTTCTTTCGAGAATTGTCTATTCATGTCCTTAATCCAGTTTTTGATGGGATTGTTTGTTTTTTTCTTGCTATTTTGTTTGAGTTCGTTGTAGATTCTAGATATTAGTCCTTTGTTGGATATATAGATTGTGAAGATTTTCTCCCACTCTGTGGGTTGTCTGTTCAATCTGCAGACTGTGAAGGAAAAGTCAATTTCTTACACTAATTTGTCTCACTTATACTTCCAAATGAGATCCTGGGTTTTTTGGTTTGTTTGTTTGTTTTCTGTTAATCCTTCACAATACTTCTCTCACTTTTTGGAACTTACTGGTTTATATTCTGTTGTCTGCTTCTCTTTTATAGGAATGTAACTTCTTATGGGCTTTCTCTATTATACCACTTGTGGGTTTTTGTTTTGTTTTGTTTTGTTTTTGTCCTCGGATCCATTCTCCAACCTTCCTGTGCTCTGTGGGATAGAGTTCTGACTCATGAAAACTTCATTTCCCAGGTTCCCATGCTAACTAGCTGCCTGTTAGGTTCAGCCAATAGGAGGCATTGGTGGGACAATGGTAGGCGGGGCTATTGAAGGGCCAGAATATTTCTTTACCCCACCCCCCTGCTCCCCTTCAAATGTTCCTGGAGCAGTGTAGGACCAATTCCATATATATGGAAGGAAGGCAAGGTGGATAGATGGAAGGAAGAAGTGATGAATGGAAGGAGGAAGGGATAGAGGATGGATGAGTGGATTGAAGAAATAAAAAAAATGGATGAAAGAAGAAACGGAGGAGGAAAGGTGGATAAGTGGATGGAAGGAAGAAAAGAGAGGTGTAAGGAAGGAAAGATAGATGATGGATGGATGGGTGGATGGGTGGGTGGATGGATGGGTGGGTGGATGAATGGGTGGATGGATGGATGGATGAACAGATGGTTGGGTGAGTGAGTGAATGGATGAATGGATGGATGGACAGATGGATGAACGGATGGGTGGGTGGATGGATGGATGGATGGATTAATGGGTAGGTGGATGGATGGATGGATGGATGGACAGATGAGTGGGTAGGTGGATGGATGGATAGATGGATGGATAAATGAATGGATGGATGGATGGGTGAATGGATGGACGGATGGATGGATGGACAAATGGATGGATGGATGGTTGAAAAGAAGGAAAGAAGTGAGAGAAGGAAGAGGAAGGATAAATAAATGATACAAGGTAAAATGAAAGGAAGGAAGTCAGCAAGAAAGAAAGGATGCATTAATAGAATGAAAGATGGAAGGGAAGAAGAAAGGATGGAAACAGAGAAGGAGAGAAGGAAGAATGAACAGAAGGAAGTTCAGGAGAGAAAGAAGGAGAGAAGGAAGAATGAACAGAAGGAAATTCAAGAGGGATGAAAAGAATAAAGGCAGGGAGAGAAGGAGAGGTAAACTTTTCTTCTAGTGGTTTGTCTTAAATCTTAGCTTGGCTGGGCGCAGTGACTCACACCTGTAATCCCAGCACTTTGGGAGGCTGAGGCGGGTGGATCACAAAGTCAGGAGATTGAGACCATCCTGGCTAACACGGTGAAACCCCATCTCTATTAAAAAAAAAAAAAAAAAAAATTAGCCGGGCGTGGTGGTGCACAGCTGTGGTCCCAGCTACTCAGGAGGCTGAGGCAGGAGAATGGCGTAAAACCTGGGAGGTGGAGCTTGCAGTGAGCCGAGATCGCACCACTGCTCTCCAGCCTGGGCGACAGAGTGAGACTCCGTCTCAAAACAAAAAAAAAGAAAAAAAGTAAAAAAGAATCCTTAGCTCATACTTCCATAAAGTTCCACACAGAGGGAGTGATTAGAAAGTATTTGTGATATAGTTTATATAATAAACATGTACACCATATTGACTTGTGTGCCCAGCAGTGCTTACATGCTTTACAATGATTAACTTGTTTAAGCTTTATAACAACTGTTGAGGCAGGAATCATCATTGTGAACCATCGTCATCTCATTTTACAGATGAGTAAACTGAGGTGCAGAGAGGTTGGTTATGGCTGCAAAGATTGTTGGCCATGTTAACCAATGCATAGAAGATTAGCATACCTGGTTGTGAGTGCAGGAGAGAGAGAAATGGGAGAAAGGCAGAGAAGGATCAAGGGGGAGACAGGAAAAGAGAGAGAGAAAATACATTTTTTAAAAATGTCTGGAGTTATGCATGACTTCTGCATCAGTGTGGTAATACGGAGCCTCTCCCCTGGGAAAGATCAGAATCACTGGCACTTTTTACAGAATCCTCCCTTCCTGCATTTGGGTAGGACCCCATCTGGACATCCCAAATCATTAAGCGCACCCTTATTGGCTGCTGGAGATGTCTCCATTAAAAGTCAGCCTTGGGCTTATTGAGAGGTGGACACAGGGTCTTTGGAACCCACTGCCCCTACCCTGTCCCACACCACTCCCTATCCACCCATCATCCTCCCCAAGAGCTTCATCTCTCTCTCTGTCTCTCTCTCTCTCTCTCTTCCCCCTGCCCTAGCCGGGGTGGTCAGCGAGGAGCCATTCACACTGAACTTCACCATCAACAACCTGCGCTACATGGCGGACATGGGTCAACCCGGCTCCCTCAAGTTCAACATCACAGACAACGTCATGCAGCACCTGGTGAGAGGCCTGCCTCCCCCTGCAGCCCTGCCATGCCCATCCTAGGGCTGTTGCCTGCCTGCCTCTGACCAACCCCGGCTCCCTTCTCCCTCTGCAGCTCAGCCCTTTGTTCCAGAGGAGCAGCCTGGGTGCACGGTACACAGGCTGCAGGGTCATTGCACTAAGGTGAGAAACTCCCCCACCCACAGCCCACCACCAAGAAGTTAGGGTTCTGACTGGGAGGGCCTTTTTGGGTTGGAGTGGGCTATATTTTTTTTGTCTTTTCATCTTTCTTTTTTTTTTTTTTTTTTTTGAGATGAAGTTTTGCTCTCGTTGCCCAGGCTGGAGTGCAATGGCACGATCTTGGCTCGCTGCAACCTCTGCCTCCTGGGTTCAAGTGATTCTCCTGCCTCAGCCTCCAGAGTAGCTGGGATTACAGGCATGTACCACCATGCCTGGCTATTTTTTTGTTGTTGTTGTTTGTTTGTTTGTATTTGTAGTAGAGATGGGGTTTCTCCACGTTGGTCAGGCTGATCTCGAACTCCTGACCTCAGGTGATCCGCTCTCCTCGGCCTCCCAAAGTGCTGGGATTACAGGTGTGAGCCACCACGTCCAGCCCCATTCTTTTTTTAAAATGGATTTAAGGAGTGCAAGTGCAGTTTTTGTTACATGCATATATTGCATAGTGAAGTCTGCAGACAGTAGACTTTCAGACAGTAGCTTTTAGTGTACGCATCACCCAAATAGTGTACATTGTACCATTAAGTGAGGTTCCCCACCCTTCTCTCACTCTCCCACCTTTCTGAGTATCCAGTGTCTATTATTCCACACTCCATGTCCATGTGTACATGGACCTGGAGTCCATGCTCATGTGTACATGGACCTGGAGTCCATGCTCCCACGTATAAGTGAAAACGTATGGTATTTGACCATGAGCTAATGGACATGGAGTCCATTGGCTCCCACTTATAAGTGAGAACATGCGGTACTTTACTTTCTATTTCTGAGTTGTTTCACTTAAGGTAATGGACTCCCATTCCATCCATGTTTCTGCAAAAGACATGATTTCACTCTTTTTATGACTGAATAGTATTTCGTGGTGTATATATATATATACATATATATATCACATTTTCTTTAGCCAGTCTTCTGTTGAGGGACACTTAGGTTAGGTCCATATCTTTGCTATTGTGAATAGTGCTACAATAAACAAACATGTGCAGGTGTCTCTTTGATATAATGATTTCTTTTCCATTGGGTAGATCCCCAAGAGTGGGATTGCTGGGTCAAATGGTAGTTTTACATTTTTGTTCTTTGAGAAATCCTCATATTGTTTTCCATAGAGATTGTACTAATTCAGTCTCCCGCCAACAGTGTATAAGAGTTCCCTTTTTTTTTTTATTCTTGCCAGCATCTGGTTGTTTGGTGTTTATCTGGTTGGTGGGTTGGTTGGTTTTTGTCTTTTTAGTGATTGTTATTCTGACTGGTATAAATAACTTTTTTATTTATTCCTGACAATTTGATTTTTTGACATATAAAAATTGCTTGCATTTAAAATGTACAACTTGATATTTTGGTATACATTGTAAAACGATGGCCACATTTCAGCTAATTAATATATCTATTACCTCTACATAGTTTTCATGTTTGTACCCTTTGACCAATATCACTCCATTTGCTCCTCCTCCCAGCCCCTGGCAACCACCATCCTACTCTCTGCTTCTATGAGTTTGACAATTTTAGATTCCACCTGTAAGTTAGATCGTGCGGTATTTGTCTTTCTGTGCCTGGCTTGTTTCACTTAGCCTAATGTCCTCCAGTTCCATCTATGTTATCCCAAGGGGCAGAATCTTCTTCTTTTTAAAGACCAAGTAATATTTCATTGTATATGTGTATGCCACATTTTCTTTATCCATTCATCCACTGAAGGTCATTTAGCTTGTTTCTATATCTTGGCTATTTTGAACAGTGCTACAATGAACATAGGAGTGCAGCTATCTCTTTAAGATACAGGTTTCATTTCTTTTTCTTTTTTTTCACCCAAGCTGGAGTGCAGTGGTGCAACCTCAGCTCACTGCAAACTCTGCCTCCTGAGTTCAAGCAATTCTTGTACCTCAACCTCCCAAGGAGTTTTGCTTTTGCTACCCAGGCTGGAGTGCAGTGGTGCGATCTCAACTTATCACAACCTCCGCCTCCCAGGTTCAAGCGATTCTCCTGCCTCAGCCTCCCAGGTAGAAAGTATTGGGTGCCCAATACCAAACCAGGCTAAATTTTTTTGATTTTTAGTAGAGAAGGGGTTTTGCCATGTTGTCCAGGCTAGTCTCTAATTCCTGGCCTTAAGTGATCCACCTGCCTCGGCCTCCTGAAGTTCTGGGATTTTACAGGCACGAACCACCACATCTGGCCTCATTTCCTTTAGATATATATGGGTTGAGCTATTCTCAGAGGGTCCTTTTCTGCATCTGTTTTTTAAAATCACATTATTAATTTTTTATATTGTGGCAAAAATACATGTAACATAAAATCTGCCATTTTAACCATTTTTAAATGTACAATTCAGTGACATCGATTATATTCACAATGTCATGCAGCCATCACCACTATTTATTTCCAAAACTTTTCCATTGGGTAGATCCCCAACAGTGGGATTGCTGGGTCAAATGGTAGTTCTAATTTTTTTTGTTCTTTGAGAAATCTCCATACTGTTTTTCATTCAAGGTTGTACTAATTTACATTCCCACCAACAGTGTATAAGAGTTTCCTTTTCATGCATCTTTGCCAGCTTGACTTTTCTGGGTCACTTTGCACTCTTGGTATTTACTAGATACTTCTCCATTCATATTTTTACTCAACCCATGCCCATGGCACCACTCCTCTACCATTCCCACCAACCATGTATAAGAGTTTCCTTTCCTTGCATCCTTGCCAACTTGAATTCTTTGGGTCAGTTTGCACTCTCTTGGTATTTACTATTTACTTCTCCATTTATATTTTTACTCAACTGATGCCCCTGGCTCTGCTCCTCTGAGGCAGGTGCTGGGTACTATAGTTATAAGACAGATGCTGTCCCTGCCCTCACCCAGTGGAGAACAGATGCTAAACAGGAACATAAATATCTAAGTAAAGTGGCTTCAAATGGGGTAAAGTGATATGAAACATAAATAAATAGCAAGTAATGGGAAGAGCAACTTTACCCAGGATGAATCTTGGGCTGTGTCCGAAATGGCCATGAAAACTGTTCCAGGCAGGGAGAACAGCATGAGAAAAGGTCTTGAGGTGCAAATGAGCTTGGCGTGTTCTACAAAGAGCAAAGAGGCCAGTGTGGCTGGAGCAGAGAGAAAGCAAGAAGGAAAGAGAGAGGATGAGACCCAAGACATCAGCAGGGTTGAAGGGCCTTGGAGGACTTGGATTTTTTTTTTTTTTTTTTTTTTTTTTTAAGATGGAGCTTTGCTCTTGTTGCCCAGGCATGATCTCAGCTCACCACAACCTCCGCCTCCTGTGTTCAAGTGATTCCCCTGCCTCAGCCTCCCGAGTAGCTGGGATTACAGGCTTGCACCACCACATCCGGCTAATTTTGTATTTTTAGTAGAAATGGGACTTCTCCATGTGGGTCAGGCTGGTCTCAAACTCCCAACCTCAGGTGATCCGCCCGCCTCAGCCTCCCGAAGTGCTGGGATTATAGGTGTGAGTCCCTGTGCCCAGCCTGGATTTTTTTTTTTTTTCTAAATTGTGGTAACATACACATCACATTAAATTTACCATTTTAGCCATATTTCCCATTCAGTGGCATCAAGCACATTCACATTACTGTGCAACCATCACCACTATCATCCGTCTCCAGAACTTTCTCATCTTCCCAAACTGAAACTCCATCCCCATGAAGTACTCACTCCTCATCCCCCTCCTCAAGCCTCTGGCACCCACCGTTCTGCTTTCCGTCTCTGTGAATCTGATGATTCTAAGGACCTTCTATAAATGGAGGAATCATATGGTATATGTCCTGGTTTGTACTGTATGACTGGCTTATCTCATCAAGCATAATGTCCTCAAAGTTCATCCATGTCATAGCATGTGTCAGAACTCCCTTCCTTTTCAGGGCTGAATAATATTCCACTTGTATGTAAATGCTATATTTTGTTTCTCCATTCATGAGGACTTTGATTTTTGCAGGGAGTTGTCAAGGGGTGCTAGGTTCTGGGGCTTCGATACAATAAGAGTAAGCTAAACTGGTTCATTTCCTCCTTCGTGGAGACCATGTTCTGGTAGGAACAGGAACAAATAATTTATAATTACATAGAGGGTGATCAGGGCAGTGACAGGGGAAGAGTGGAGGATTGTGGGACCCAGAGGAGGCTCCTCACCTTGCCTAGGAATTGCCTAGAAAGATAGGAGCAGGAAGAAGAGGAGGAGGAGGAAGAGGAGGAGGAGGAGGGGAGGAGGACAAAGAGGAGGAGGAGGAAGAGGAAGAGGAAGAAGAGGAGAAGGAGGAGGAAGAGGAGGAGGAGGAGGAGGAAGAAGAGGAGAAGGAGGAGGAAGAGGAGGAGGAGGAGGAGCAGGAGGAGCAGGAGGAGGAGGAGGAGGAGGAGGGAGTCCTCTAAGCTGAGACCTGGAGGATGACCAGGAAGTTATCCAGGTAAGGAGAAATGGGGAGAAGCTTCCAGACAAAAGTAACAGCAAGTGCAGAGATCCTGAGATGATAGATAAGGCCAGGTGGAGAAACTGCAAATTGTCAATGAGACCACAATATGGACTGTGAGTTGTGCAGTGACAGTGACCACAAGTGGAGAGGTGCCAGGTGGCCTTCATCCCCAAAAGGTGCACCTCTCTCTCCTCAGGTCTGTCAAGAACAGCGCTAAGACACAGGTGGACATCCTCTGCACCTACCTGCAGCCCCTCAGTGGCCCAGGTCTGCCTATCAAGCAGGTGTTCCATGAGCTGAGCCAGCAGACCCACGGCATCACCCGGCTGGGCCCCTACTCTCTGGACAAAGACAGCCTCTACCTTAACGGTGAGCATCTCGTAGCCCCATCTCCCTGCCTCAACCCCCAACCCCCGCTGCAGCCCAGGAGGGTGTCTGTTTGCCGGTTCTCTAGGGAAAGACTTGGGGTTCAATTCTTGATGTTACCACTGACCCTCCCATAACCACCATGCAAGGTTGGACTTTGATTAATCCCATTTTACAGATGAAGAAACTGAGGCTTAGACAGGTTAAACAATTTACCTTGATGGTGATGGAACCAGGATATGAACTCCACTTGTCAGCATTCAGTGCTATGATCCACTCTACATGTTTAACTCACAGAAGAGTCTTCCTGGTGGGGGCACTTGGGGGACAAAAAACACATTTACCGCTGGGCACAGCGGCTCACACCTGTAATCCCAACACTTTGGGAGGCCAAGGCAGGCGGATCACAAGGTTAAGAGATTGAGACCACCCTGGCTAACATGGTGAAACCCTGTCTCTACTAAAAATACAAAAATTAGCTGGGTGTGGTGGTGCACACCTGTAGTCCCAGCTGCTCAGGAGGCTGAGGCAGGAGAATCGCTTGAACCCAGGAGGCAGAGGTTGCAGTGAGCCGAGATTGCACCATTGCACTCCAGCCTGGTAACAGAGCAAGACTGTCTCAAAACAAAACAAAACAAACACATTTTCCCTCCGTTTTCTTTTTTTTTTTTTTTTTTTTTTGAGACGGAGTCTCGCTCTGTCGCCCAGGCTGGAGTGCAGTGGCGCGATCTCGGCTCACTGCAAGCTCCGCCTCCCGGGTTCATGCCATTCTCCTGCCTCAGCCTCTTGAGTAGCTGGGACTACAGGCGCCACCACCACGCCCGGCTAATTTTTTGTGTTTTTAGTAGAGACGGAGTTTCACCGTGGTCTCGATCTCCTGACCTTGTGATCCGCCCACCTCGGCCTCCCAAAGTGCTGGGATTACAGGCGTGAGCCACCGCGCCCGGCCCCCCTCCCTGTTTTCTCCTCATCATTGAGGAAGGATGGGCTTCTCTCCTACGTGAGGCCCCTATACCAGGAAGATCTAGGGGATCTAAGCTTCAGGCACACTGGGCCTCAGCATTGGTCTAGAACTCAGGAAAAGACATTTAAGAAGGCATCCCCTAAATGGGGTTCTGAGAGGCAAAGCATGACCATGGAGAATTGACAAAATAGCTCCCCTTTCATCCCCTCCACCACCAACCCAAGAACAGTGCTCATCATCATGACCCCATGAGGTGGGCACCCCATATCACTTATATGAGGTACCTTTAGGTAGGAACCAGGATGTAGAGAGACATCCTGGACTTTCATTACTCTTATTTTAGCAAAGAGGGAAACTGAGGCACAGAGAGGGGAATGGACTTGCTCACACCCATGCTAAGTTCTTGGCTGGTCTGAGTCTTGATGTTCTTTTTTATTATAATTACTATCATCATCATCATCCTCATTGTCTGAGTACATTTCTGGGGTACAAGTGCAATTTTGTTACATGTATAGATTGCATAGTAGGGAAGTCAGGGCTTTCAGAGTATCCACCACTCCAATAACATACATGGTATCCATTAAGTCATTTCTCATCACCCACCCCTCTCCTACCCCCTCACCCTTCCAAGCCTCCTTTATCTGTCATTCCCCTCTCTGAGTTCTTGTCCACACATTGTTTAGCTCCCACTTATGAGTGAGAACATGTGATATTTGTCTGTCTGTGTCTGACGTGTTTCACTTAAGGTAACTTCAGTTTCATCCATGTTGCTGCAAAAGACATGGATTCATTCTTTTTTTCTAACTTTTAAGTTCAGGCATACAGGTGCAGGTTTTCTATATAGTTAAACTCATGTCACAGGGGTTTGTTGTACAGATTATTTCATCACCCGAGTATTAAGCCTAGTACCCATTAGTTATTTTTTCTGATCCTCTTCCTCCTCCCACCCTCCACCCTCAGGTAGGCCCCAGTGTGTGTTGTTCCCCTCTATGTGTCCATGTGTTCTCATCATTTAGCTCCCACTTATGATTTTCTGTTCCTACATTAGTTTGCTAAGGATAATGACCTCCAGCTCCATCCATGTTCCTGCAAAGGAAATGATCTCATTCTTTTTTATAGCTGCATAGTATTCCGTGGTGTATATGTACCACATTTTCTTTATCCAGTCTATCATTGACGGGCGTTTAAGTAGATTCCACGTCTTTGCTATTGTGGATAGTACTGCAATGAACATGTGTCTTTATGATAGAAAAATGTATATTCCTTTGGGCATATACCCAGTGATGGGATTGCTGGGTCGAATGGTAGTTCTGTTTTTAGCTCTCTGAGGAATCGCCCCACTGCTTTCCACAGTGGATGAACTAATTTACACTCCCACCAACAGTGTATAAGCACTCCTTTTTCTCTGCAACCTCACCAGCGTGGTTTTATTTCTCTTTATGGCTGAATAGTGTTCCATTGTGCATATCTACCACATTTTCTGTATCGATTCATCTGTTGATGGACACGTAGGTTAATTCCACATCTTTGCTATTGTGAATAGTGCTGTGATAAACACACAGGTGCAGGTTGGGTCTTGATGATCTGAGTTGACACACAGTCCCTTTGACTTGGCTGTTCCTGGGAGCTGTTCCCCCTTGTAAACTGCACAGCTTCTTTGCTTCATTTTGTTCTTTCATTTAGATTTACTGAGCAGCTACTATTAACCAGGTCTTGTGCCTGGCCCCAGGGACAGAGATAGGTTACATGTGCATCCTGTTCTAATGTCATCTCCAGAGGGGCAGAGACTGGTTTTTTCTACCCTTTAGTCCCCAAATGTAAAGGAAGGCTTGCATATAGTAAACCCTTAATAAACATTCACTGGGTGGAGGAATAGATTGGAGGAGGCCTGGAAGGGGAGGCGGGGGGCATGGATGGACAGGAGGATAGACTTGTGAACACAAAGGTAACGACAGCCTCTCACTGGAGGCATGCTAGAGACGTGAGTAGGGAAGGTCAGTGCTAATTGAAATATCAGGAAATTCATTCTAGTGGTGAACACATTTAAGTCAAATATTAGATGATACATAAATGTATCCATCATCTCTAGATACACAAAGGGAAAGGCATCCAGGCAGGCACCCCTTATGGACAAAGGCATGGAGTATCTGGGTCGGTTCCACCACCTCCTCTTATGTGTGACCTCTTTGTTTCTAGGTTACAATGAACCTGGTCCAGATGAGCCTCCTACAAGTACGTGTCTTTGAATCCAGTGCCCATTTCAATCTCCATGGGTCTTGGTTCAAGCTTTTCTCCTCATTCATAAAGGAAGCTTGCCCCAAATTCGGGCTAGTCCCCTGAGGTGGTGAGGGGCAACGTCTCAGTGGGAGGAAGAATGCTGAGTCCTTGGCCTGTTTTTAGACCTGCAGCCATAGTCTTGGCTTTGTGAATTTTCCACGCCCCTCTGGGTTGGAGGAAGAAGTTTGAACAAGCATTCCCTACAGGGATCGAGGTTGAGGTCAGATGATGACCTTGTTAGTCCATACCTCCTGATAACAAAATCTCCTCCAAGTGCCCCAACAGGGGCTTCATGGTCAAGCTGCAAACTCTGCTGGCTACTCAAGTGATTTTGGCTAAATTTGCCCATTGCCTCATCCAGTGATCCACTCATCTATCGTTCCAGCCATCCATTTTTCTATCCTTCCAGTCATCTCTCAGACACCATCCTTCCTTCCATCCATCCATCCATTCACCCATCCATCCATCCACCCTATTTTCCTGACCATTTACCTCCTCATCCTTCTTCCATCTGTCCTTTTCTCCATCTATTCATCCATCACCCATCATCCTGCCCATTCACCTGTTTGTCCCTCCTTTCTTCTGTCCTTCTATACATCCATCCATCCATCCATCCACTCATCCACCACCCACCCATCATGCCTATTCACTTGCTAGCCCCTCCTTCCTTCTCTCCTTCCGTCCATCCATCCATCCACCCATCTTCCTGCCCATTCACCTGCTTGTCTTTCCTTCTGTCTGCTCTTTTATCTATCTCTGCATCCATCCACCATCCATCCACCCTTCTCCCTATTCACCTGTTTGTCCTTCTTTCTGTCCTTCCAACCACCCATCCATCTTTCCAGTCATCCTCCTCTTCATTCACCTGTTTCCTTCTTTCTGTCTTCCCATCCATCCATCTATCCAGCCAGCCATCTCTCCACCCATTCTCCTCCCCATTCACTCAATTTTCCTTCCTTCCATCTGTCCTTTTATCCATCCATCCACCCATCCATCCATCCATCATCCATCCATCTATCCTTCTCCCCATTCACCTGTTTGTCCTTCTTTCTGTCCTTGCAACCATCCATCCATCCATCATCCGTCCATCTGTCCTTCTCCCCATTCACTTGTTTGTCCTTCTTTCTGTCCTTCCAACCATCCATCCATCTCTCCATCCATCCTCATGCCTATTCATCTGCATGTCTCTCCTTCCTTCTGTCCCTCCATCCATTCATCCATCTGCCCATCCACCCACTCATCCTCTTGCCCATTCACCTGCTTGTCCTTCCTTCCACCTGTCCTTTTATCCATCCATCCATCTTCCATCCATTCATCCTTCTCCCCATTTACCTGTTTGTCCTTCTCTCTATCCTTCTAACCATCCATCCATCCTTGTATTCATTCACCTGTTTCCTTCTTTCCGTCCTTTCATCCATCCATCTATCCACCTAGCCATCTCTCCACCCACCCTTCTTCTCACTCACCCAATTGTCCTTCCTTCCTTCTGTCCTTCAATTAATTCATCCTTCTATCCATTCACTCATCCATCCATCCATCTATCCATTCATATGTCTACCCATCCTCCTGCCCAATTAACCTGTTTGTTCTTCTTCCTTTCCTTCCTTCTTTCATCTCTCCAACTTCTCTTCCTCGTTCTTATCTATCTTGCCTTCTCTTTTGACCCTCCAGTTGTACATTGCACCTTCTGCCCATTCATTGATCCCTTCCATTTTCCTGCCCACCCATCCACCTATCCTCTTTGTTTAACCTTTCTCTTGTTCACCCCCACCCCCACTCTCTTGGGTTAATTTCACTCACAGTCTTGTTCACTCCTCCACTCACACAGTCACTCCTTCCCTCAGTCTCATTTATGGCCCACCTGTGAATGGTTGTCCTGGCTTGGACTACTGATGAAGCCCAGGGGAGCTTCTCCCACTAGGTGATGGGCTTTGTTCCTCTCTGATGGACTGTTCCTTCCACAGCTCCCAAGCCAGCCACCACATTCCTGCCTCCTCTGTCAGAAGCCACAACAGGTATCTGGGGTCCATTTTTCCTCCTCAAAGATTAGACTAGCAGTTCAATCAGACACCTGCCCTCGTGGAGCCCCCAATTTTATGAAATAAATAGACCATCATAATGTCAGTTGTTTTGGGGTGAGACACCTGGCATAACTGGGAAGGAGGAGGGCTTTCTGGAGAAAGTTTCACCTGAACTGAGTCTTTAAGGATGAGTAACAGTGATTCAGGCAAATAGGGCATGAATAGTATAACTGAAAGAGGGGAGTCCGTGAGCAAACCTTCAGTGGCCAGAAACAGTCTTAGAGTATAGGGAGAAGTGAGAGGAATTTGGTTTGCATGAAACATAAAGCTTAACCCAGAGTAGATGGGTAAGTGAGACTAAAAGGTCAGCAGGAGCCAGATTGGGAAGGACCTTGAATGCCAAGTCAAGAAATTTGAACTTCATACTGAAGGCCATAGGGAGCTGTGGATGGTACTAGAGCAGGGGAAGCCGTAGTGAGATCGTCATTTCAGAAAGATTCTTCTCGTGTTCAGTATAGAGAATGTCCTTTAGATAGGGCATCCAGTGGTCTGCCAGGGTGCTAATCAGGGTGAGAGAAAATAAGACCTTAACTGGGATAGGGGAGGAGTTAGAGGATATATGTGATGAATATGCAGCAAAGGGAATTGGTGTGACTTGGAGAGGAGAAGATACGTAGCTTCTGACTTGGATGGCCACACTGGTTAATAATGAGTGCAGTCTGATCTAGTCTCAGACCAGCCCTCAGCTGCAGGCATCTCTCCTCCCCTCCTCCTGCAGCCATGGGGTACCACCTGAAGACCCTCACACTCAACTTCACCATCTCCAATCTCCAGTATTCACCAGACATGGGCAATGGCTCAGCTGCCTTCAACTCCACCGAGAGGGTCCTGAAGCACCTGGTGAGACCCTGGTCCCAGCAGCTCCCGGTGGGATAAATCCTACCCCCAACCTCTGTTCCTTGGCTTACCCTCTTCCTCCTTCCTCTCAAGCTCAGAGCCTTGTTCCAGAAGAGCAGCATGGGCCCCTTCTACTTGGGTTGCCGACTGATCTCCCTCAGGTAAGACCACTTCCTGGCCATTTGCCAGTAATGACCACCCCTTTCTCAGCCCTCCCCTGCTCCTCCCTCCTCTGCTCTCTACCTGCAGAGGTCTCAGAACCTCTCTAGAGTCCTCAAATGCCTCTCTCCCAAGGCCTGAGAAGAATGGAGCAGCCACTGGCGTGGACACCACCTGCACCTACCACACTGACCCTGTGGGCCCTGGGCTGGACATACAGCAGCTTTACTGGGAGCTGAGTCAGCTGACCCATGGTGTCACCCAACTGGGCTTCTATGTCCTGGACAGGGATAGCCTCTTCATCAACGGTGAGTGTCAGGCTGAACTGGGATTTACAGTGACTTTTTGGGGGTTGGTGGGTTGTTTTGTTTTTGAGATGGAGTCTCACTCTGTCACCCAGGCTGGGGTGCAATGGTGCAATCTCGGCTCTGCAACCTCTGCCTCCCAGGTTCAAGCAATTCTCCTGCCTCAGCCTCCCAAGTAGCTGGGATTACAGGTGCATACCACCATGCCCAGCTAATTTTTGCATTTTTAGTAGAGACAGGGTTTCACCGTGTTGCCCAGGCTGGTCTCGAACCCCTGACTTCAGGTGATCCACCTGCCTTGGCCTCCCAAAGTGCTGGGATTACAGGCATGAGCCACCGTGCCTAGCCTACCATGACTATTATTTGTCCCTGTTGTATTCCCTTTCCTCTCTAAAAAAAAACAGCCCAAGGCCTGGCTGGGGGCTACCCTTCCCCAAACCACCAAGGAGAGAATCTTTCCTATCATTTTGAGTAAATAGCATGAAATTCTTTGACCAAATTAATGTCATAAATTGTTTCTTTCTCTTTCATTTTTGTTTCCAACTTGGTTGTGGTATAACTATCAAATACAATTATATGTATTTAAGATGTATAATGTGGTGATTTAATATATGTGTAGCTTATGAAATGATTAGCATGATCAAATTAGTTAACACTGCTATTATGTCATGTAGTTACTGTGTGTTTTTGTGCGTCTGTGTGAGAGAGAGAGAGAGAGAGAGAGAGAACACTTAAGATCTACTCTCACTGAAAATTTCAGGTTTACAATACAATATTATTAACTATAATCACCAAGCTTTATACTCAATCCCCAGAACTTATTCATCTTATAACTGAAAGTTTGTATTTTGTGACCAACATCTCCCCATTTTCTCTATCACCACCCCCATGCCCCAGCCCCTGATAACCACCATGCCACTGTCTGCTTCTATAAGTTTGACTTCTTCAGATCCCACATATAAGTGAGGTCATGCAGTATTTGTCTTTCTCTGTCTGGTTTATTTCACTTAGCATAATTCCCGCCCCCCTCCCCAGTTTCATCCATAATGAATTTCAATTCAAAACCCAGTGGCTGAGCCGTGGCATCCTTTGGACAGGATAGCAGGGCCTTCTATATGAGGATCCTCTGTGTCAGCGGTTATTACCAGGGGACACTTCTGTACTTCTGCCCCGCCCCCCACAACCGGGAGACTCTAGGCAATATACGGAAACAGTTTTGGGTATCACAACTCAGACAGAGAAGGAAGGTGCAACTGGCATCTAGTGGTTCAGTAGCCCATTTTCCAGTGCACAGGAGATGCCCATCCCAGGAAATGATCCAGCCCCAGACGCCAATAAATTCAAGGGTGAGAAATCCTGTTGTACACGGTCCCAAAGTTCCCAGGTGGGCACAAGGCTGACATTTATCACACTTTACTGTAATTACTTATTAAATTTTCTGATTCCCCCTTACCTTGTGAGCTCAACAAAATTACAGTCTTTTACGAGTGCCACTGTACCCACGGTTCTCAGTATATCAGCACATCGTAGTATGGAAAGAATCATTGCATGAGTGAGCAAATGAAAGATTAGAATCTCTGCTGCAATTCACATTCATTCATTCATTCAGCAAACATATATGGGTGGCTGTTCTGCCCCAAGCCTTGTGCTGGGTCTGGAGATGGAAGACACATTCTTCTGTCTCTGAAAAACTCATACTCAGGTGAACAACAAATTAAGGGTACAATAAAGACCCCACTGCTGTTACTAACAGGATACTAAGGGAGCTGAGAGGAGGAGTAAATCAAGGAGGGCTTCCTGGAGGAGGGTGTTATGTACCCGGCCCTGTGCCGGGACACAGTAATGAATAAGACAGACATAGGCCCCTGCTGTGCTGGAGCTCCCTCTCACTGGGCTCTTGAAGTGTGAGCTTCAAGCGTTTTGCAGGAAATGAAAAGGATGCATTCCTAGAAGCGGGAACTGCATAGCACATGCAGGAAAGTTCAGCTTAGGAGAATCTGTGTAAAATTCCAGTTTTCCCTCTCTTTGGGACAACTTTCCGTCTAAGAGCTCCTGCAATGCCCAGCATGTGGACCTGAAATTGACTGATTCTGACGGTAGGCAGGGGACCCTTGGGCCATTCTGGCTCTGCATTTTGTGATCAGCATTTCTTCGCTATTTGTTGTATTTTCTTCTTCTCTGTGGCTCCAGGCTATGCACCCCAGAACTTATCAACCCGGGGCAAGTACCAGATAAATTTCCATATTGTCAACTGGAACCTCAGTAATCCAGACCCCACATCCTCGGAGTACATCGCCCTGCTGAGGGACATCCAGGACAAGGTAGGGTATCTCTCACCCCTCCCGTCTTCCCTGCCCTGTGTGCTTCTCTGCCTCTTCTACCTGATTTGTCTATTAAGTGATCATTTCAAATGCTTCACTTCACTACGTGTTCTGAGTTCTCTCTCAGTTTCCAAAAGTGCTCTCTTGACTACCATTCCCATTTCCCAGATGGGCAAACTGAGGCTCAGAATGGGGCGTGGTGTGCCTAGGGTCACACACTGCTTTAGGAGCAGTGTTAGGATTTGAACTGTGGTCCCCTTTGCTCCAAGTACTGTGTTTTTTTCCACTGGCATCAGCGGCCCCTCCACCCCCAAGAGATGTCCATCTCACCCACTCTCCCTACCTATCCTTCTAGGTCACCACACTCTACAAAGGCAGCCAACTACATGACACGTTCCGCTACTGCCTGGTCACCAACTTGACGTAAGTTCTGAAGGTCACAAGCAGTGGCCAAGCTTGTGGCTGTGTCTCTGAGCACCCTTGAACTAGACATCCCCAGTGGGGTACCCATTGTCCCCTACATCCCTGTTAGCTAATCCTACCATCTCCTCCCATAAATCCTCAAGGTAGGGAGTGAGGATTAACCTCATGGAGCCACCAACTCCCCACATTCACCTTCTTTTTTTTCTGGACACTTGGGAAAAGGTAACGTTCTGATGTAGAACTCAAAATATTAGCCTGATAATAATATTTAACATCAACCAGCCTCCTCTCATTTAATTCTGACAACACTCTCTAGGAGTTGAGTGCAAAGATCATCCCTGTGTGCAGATGGGAAAATCGAGGGTCAGAAAAGTGAACTTCCCAAGAACTGTCAAAGTTGGGATTTGAACCCAGGTCTCTGATGACTGGAGGAAGGAATGAAGATATCTATACTTGGGAAGAGGAGGATTACAGGACACAGGGCTGACTGCATATTTCTAAACATCAAGGATTTTGTATTTCAGTTGGGGATATGGAGATGGTTAATGGGAACAAAAAACTAGAAAGAATGAATAAGACCTAGTATTTGCTAGCACAACAGGGTGACTATAGTCAAAAATAATTTGATTGTACATTTTAAACATTTTAAATCTATAACTAAGGTGTATGCTTGGGTTGTTTGTAACACAAAGGATATATGCTTGAGGGGATGGATACCCCATTTACTCTGATGATTATTATGTATTACATGCTTGTATCAAAACATCTCATGTACCCCATAAATATAAAAACAACTACTATGCACCCACAAAAATTACAAACAAATAAAATCAAAAGTAGGCTGGGCACAGTGGCTCACGCCTGTAATTCCAGCACTTTGGGAGGCCAGGGCAGGCGGATCTCTTGAGCCCAGAAGTTCAAGACCAGCCTGGGCAACATAGGGAGACCTAGTCTCTACAACAAAATACAAAAATTAGCCAGGCATGGTGGCGCACACCTGTAGTCCCACACTTGGGAAGTTGAGGTGGGAGGATCACCTGACCCTAGGAGGCTGCACTCCAGCCTGGGTGACAGAGTGAGACCTTATCTCAAACAAATAAAATAAAATAATAAAAAGTAGAAATCAAGAGGGGAAAAGTGGGAGAAATCGGGATAATTTTAACAATACCTACCACCAGAGTGATGATGAAGAATGCATAAGTCACTTCTTAAGGGTCTTGATCTATTAAAAAATGTTGATTATTGTTACTGTTATTGCTTCTAGATGTAATTCCTGGAAGCCTTCCTTTTTTTTTTTTGAGATGGAGTCTCGCTCTGTTGCTCAGGCTGGAGTGCAGTGGTGCGACCTCTGCTCACTGCAGCTGCCTCCTGGGTTCAAGCAATTCTCCTGCCTCAGCTCCCCCATGTAGCAGGGACTACAGGCAGGTGCCACCACTCCCGGTGAGGTTTTGTATTTTTATTAGAGACGGGGTTTTGCCATGTTGGTCAGGCTGGTCTCAAACTCCTGACCTCAGGCGGTTTGCCTGCCTCGGCCTCCCAAAGTGCTGGGATTATAGACGTAAGCCACTGCATCCAGCCGAAGGCCTCCCATTTTGATCAGGACCCTTCTCTAGACTGGGGGTGGGGGCAGCTAGCCACTCCACCACCACCTTGCCTCTAGATCTTTGGCTCTTTAAAGATGGCAACCCATGACCCTGCTGATGCTGAATACTGGCTGAATTCCTGTGGTCTCTGTCCCTAGGATGGACTCCATGTTGGTCACTGTCAAGGCATTGTTCTCCTCCGATCTGGACCCCAGCCTGGTGGAGCAAGTCTTTCTGGATAAGACCCTGAATGCCTCATCCCATTGGCTGGGCTCCACCTACCAGCTGGTGGACATCCATGTGACAGGTACAAGCTGGGGTGGCTGGTTTCATAACTGGAAGAGGTGGGGTTAGGAGGAAAGATGGGGCTTCTCGGTACCAGTGGAATTGGTGGAGGCTCTAGAGAGAGAAAGGGAGGCTTTCTGGAGACCCTTGTAGATGATCTCTGGCAGGAGATTATCCAACAAGGCAGGAACAGAACACTCAGTCATTGCACCTAAGAGAATAGCTATTTTTACATATTTAAAAAATTGTGTTGAATGAATGAATCAATAAATCATTTTTTGAATCAATTTATTGATTCATTCTTTTAAATAAGTGATTCATTAAAAATTAATTAATTGATTGATTGATTTAATTGACTAATAATTGATTAATTGATTTGAGTATTGATTTAACTGATCAATTAAAATGGTTGATTAATTAAATGAATGAATCAATCAATGAAGAAGTCATTCATTCATTCAATAAACAATGGAAGTAAACACATACTGATGATACAGTGTGATCATCGCTATGATAAGGGAATTTCAGGAGCCTATGGGAGCCCCAAGGAGGAACACACAACCTTGTCTTGGAAAGTTTTGTGTAGGAAGGGGTGAAGAAGCTGAGATCTGACAGAGAATGGGACCTAGCCAGGGGTAATAGATGGAGAACAGAGCTCCATGCATCTATAACCTAAAAGATAAAAAGAATATGGCATTTGCCCGGGCATGGTGGCTCACACCTGTAATCCTAGCACTTTCAGAGGCTGAGGCAGGTGGATCACCTGAGGTCAGGAGTTCGAGACCAGTGTGACCAATATGATGAAGCCCCATCTCCACTAAAAATACAAAAATTAGCCAGACATGGTGGTGTGTGCCTGTAATCCCAGCTACTTGGGAGGCTGAGACAGGAGAATCACTTGAACCCGGGAGGCAGATGTTGCAGTGAGCCAAGATCGCGCCATTGCACTCCAGCCTGGGCAACAAGAGCGAAACTGCATCTCAAAAGAAAAAAAAAAAAAAGAATATGGCATTTTGGGGGAAGTTTAAGAAGATTGGTGTAGCTGGAGCATCCACTCTGATATTGGAGAGGTGACAGTTGAAGCCAAAGATGTGGGCAGAGACTTTGTTGGGTACTGGAATGGCTTGGGGAGGAACATGACACACTCATGAGTTCTGCTTTAGAAAGAAAGTGAAATGAATTCTGCTTATCCTCTGGGTGCTGTGTGCAGAATGGAGGGTAGAGGGAGAGAAGAGCAGAGTCAGGAAGACCCTTTACGAACAAAGATCATCAGTTAGAAGACTCTGGGTTGCTCAGCACCTATGCTTGCTGACTATACCCCCAGAGAAACCCAGTCTTTCACCCCACATTGTAGGCAATTCTTACAATGCTTGGTAGAAAGAGAGTTGGACAGGTAGATGGGTGGATGGATGCAAGTTGGACAGATGGATGGAGGAAGATCCTCCATCCAATATAGAACTGTTACCTAAAACCCTCTATCCCACCTTTAAAATCCTAGCTCAGCCGGGCACGGTGGCTCACACCTGTAATCCCAGCACTTTGGGAGGCCAATGCGGGTGGATCACCTGAGGTCGGGAGTTCGAGACCAGCCTGACCAACATGGAGAAACCATGTCTCTACTAAAAATACAAAAAAAAAAAAAAAAAAAAAAAATTAGCCAGGCGTGGTGGTGCATGCCTGTAATCCCAGCTACTCAGAAGGCTGAGGCAGGAGAATGGCTTGAACCCAGGAGGTGGAGGTTGCGCTGAGCCAAGATCACGCCATTGCACTCCAGCCTGGGCAAAGAGAGTTAAACTGTCTCAAAGAAACAAAACAAAACATCCCCTCCAGAAAGAAAAAAACCAAAAAACAAAAAACAAAAAAAAACCTAGCTCAGCTCACAATGCCAGAAATAAGTTAAGCTAGCTGGAATACTCTCTTAAAACCCTGCCTTGAGAGTGAATTTTTACATCCTTTTTTTAAAATTCTAGAAATGGAGCCATCAGTTTATCAACCAACAAAACCAACAAGCAGTTCCAGCACCCAGCACTTCTACCTGAATTTCACCATCACCAACCTACCATATTCCCAGGACATATCCCAGCCAAGCACCACCAATTACCAGAGGAACAAAAGGAATATTGAGGACGCGGTGAGAAGGGGGTGGTGTGTCCACTCTATTGCATGCAGAAATCGACTTATGCATTCTGGGTAGCCACAGGGTGACTTTTTATAACAATCCACAAAGACAGGTTCTTATTCCCATTTAAGACGCAAGCACAGAGAGGTTCAGTAGCTGACCCAAGGTCACACAGCTAAGTCATACCCTAGAAGAACATATCCTTTGATATACACACCTGGGCAAGTGGTTGTCATGACAAGAAACAAAATAGATGGAGAAGTGTGCTCAGTGGTTGAAAATTCTCTGATGCTACCGGGACCAGGATTCTGACCTGAGAAACATCGCCCTGTCTTTCAGCTCAACCAACTCTTCCGAAATAGCAGCATCAAGAGCTATTTTTCTGACTGTCAAGTTTCAACATTCAGGTGAGTTCTAACTCAGGACCTAATGACTCTAGGAACTTCTGCTGTCCTTTAAATAGAAGTGTTCCCAAGCCATAGCTTTGATGGAAGAGAGCCCTAGAAATAGAGAGCTGTTAACTAAAAACCAGCTTTTTCCTAAAGCTGGAACCCAACTGGCTCCAACACTCAAGAGCACTGGTGTAAATCTCAGCAGACATAAAGCTACCTGGTGCTGAGGCCATGGACTCTAGAGTGTAGAATCGACTACATTAAGACATCGGCCACTGAAATCAGGACCCATGGAAGATGGGGGAAGGAGGGGATTAAAACCAGATTACTTAGATCCCAGCAGCCTAACTGTGCTTTGCTTTGCTTTGCTTTTCTTTTCTTTTCTTTTTTTTTTTTTGAGACAGAGTCTCGCTCTGTCGCCCAGGCTGGAGTGCAGTGGTGGGATCTCAGCTCACTGCAAGCTCCGCCTCCCGGGTTTACACCATTCTCCGGGCTCAGCCTCCTGAGTAGCTGGGACTACAGGCGCCCGCCACCTCACCCGGCTAGTTTTTTGTATTTTTTAGTAGAGACGGGGTTTCACCATGTTAGCCAGGATGGTCTCAATCTCCTGACCTCGTGATCCGCCCGTCTCAGCCTCCCAAAGTGCTGGGATTACAGGCATGAGCCACCGCGCCTGGCCCTAACTGTGCTTTTCAATGAGAGGTATCAATTCCAATGGGGGAATACCAACGAATTTTTTTTTTTTTTTTTTTTGACAACTGCCCTGAGAACAGACTTTCCTCACTAAACAAATTCTGAGTCAGAACAAATAAAGATAAGCCCTGAGAACAGGGCTTTTTCAAGGAGCTGCCAAGCAGATCAGATAGTGACAAGGTTCTGCGGATTGATGTCTGCAGCACTCTCAAGCTATTTTGACTGCTAGGCAGCTGGTTTTCGCAGCTATCATGATTGTGAGGCTACTGGTTTTCAAAATGACCGAGGATCTTGCTGGATGCAGTGGCTCGCAACTGTAATCCCAGCACTTTGGGAGGCCAAGGTGGGCGGACCGCTTGAGCTCAGGAGTTTGAGACCAGCCTGTGCAATATGGTGAAAACCCATCTCTACAAAAAATAACCAAAATCAGCTGAGCGTAGTGGTGTGCACTGTAGTCCCAGTTACTTAGGAGGCTGAGGTGGGAGGATGACTTGAGCCCAGGAGGCAGAGGTTGCAGTGAGCTGAGATTGTGCCATGCACTCCAGCCTGGGCAACAGAGCCAGGGCCTGTCTCAATAATAACAATTAATAATAATAATAATAAAATACTGAGGATCTTGAAAGAGCACTGTGGAAATAATGCAAGTTAAAATGCCACAAAGCTTGCTCTTTTTATTGAGATTTAACACCTTCCTTAACTAAACATCCCTTGAATTTTTGCAAGCCTTTGGTTCACTTCCAGACTTCTGGAAAAATTGATTTGGACTATTTTGGTCATTTTTCTCATTGATTTTATGGGTATTCAGAAGTCGTTACCCCAACATTCCAATGTTACCCCAATTTTAAATAAATAAAAAATTTATTTAAATTTTATTTATTTGATACACAGTCTCCCTCTATTGCCCAGGCTGGAGTGCAGTGGCACAATCTCAGCTCACTGCAAACTCCACTTCCCAGGTTCAAGCAATTCTCCTGCCTCAGCCTCCCAAGCAGCTGGGATTATGGGCGTGTGCCACCATACCTGGCTAATTTTTGTGTTTTTAGTAGAGATGGGGTTTCACCGTGTTGGCCAGGCTGGTCTCAAACTCCTGATCTTGAGTGATCCACCCGCCTTGGCCTCCCAAAGCGCTGGGATAACAGGCATGAGCCATCGTGCCTGGCCTCCCTGTGGCTATTTTTAAATGAATTGAGTAGAATAAAATTAGAAATTCAGTTCTTCTCCCACACTAGCTGCCTTTTAAGCGCTTAATAACAACATGAAGCTACTAATGGCTGCATTGTGTAGTGCAGATATAGAATTTTTTTGTTTGTTTTTTGTTTTGTTTTTGAGATGGAGTCTTGCTCTGTCACCAGGCTGGAGTGCAGGGGCGCGGTCTCGGCTCACTGCAAACTCTACTCCCTGGTTCGAGCGATTCTCCTGCCTCAGCCTCCCGAGTAGCTGGGATTACAGGCACACGCCACCACACCCAGCTAATATTTGTGTGGATCCACCTGCCTGAGCCTCCCAAAGTTTTGGGATTACAGGCGTGAGCCACTGTGCCTGGCCGACATGGAATGTTTACATCATTGCAGAAAGTTCTTACAGGAAGACTCTAGAAGGAGAAAGCCTAGAATCATGATAAAATTGCAGATAACTTTCCTTATCCCTTGTCTTCTTCCAGGTCTGTCCCCAACAGCCACCACACGGGGGTGGATTCCCTGTGTAACTTCTCGCCACTGGCTCGGAGAGTAGACAGAGTTGCCATCTATGAGGAATTCCTGCGGATGACCCGGAATGGTAGCCAGCTGCAGAACTTCACTCTGGACAGGAGCAGTGTCCTTGTGGATGGTAAAGTTCCCTGGGTCATTGGGGCTGGGATAGAAGCTCCCACTTCCTCACCTGGGTCCTTCCCTGGGAATCCGAAGGCTTGGGGATGATTCATCATCGAACTTTCTCAGACTGGGAGAAAGCGGCTTAGTTCTCCTAGGCGTTACCCATCATTGGAGGAGAGAAAAGGATGTCCGAGGGATACGGGAGGCATTTGCCCTCTTCTGGCCAGCTCTGTGACCTCAGGCTAGTCACATCTCCTCTCTGGACTTCTTATCTCTGTACTTAGCAAGTCACTTGGTTTTTGGTTCCCTTCTTGCCTGCCCTAGATGGTATTGCTCCTCCACCCCCAGGCAGCTGCCGTGTTAAACAATTACCCTGATTAGTTGTTGTTGTTGTGTTGTTTATTTGTTTGTTTGTTTTTGAGAGAGGGTCTCACTCTGTCACCTAGGCTGGAGTGCAGTGACATGATCTCAGCTCACTGCAGCCTCAACCCCTGGGCTCAAGCAATCCACCCATCTCAGCCTCCCAGATAGCTGGGACTATAGCCATGTGCCACCATCCCTGGATAATTTTTGTATTTTTTCTAGAGATGGGGTTTGGCGATGTTGCCCAGGCTGGTCTTGAACTCCTGAGCTCAAGCATGTCACCTGCTTCAGCCTCCCAAAGTGCTGGGATTACAGGCAGGCATGCACCACTGCACCTGGCTCTGGTTTGTTTGTGTTGGTTTTTTTCTTTGAGAGGCAGGGTCTCGCTCTGTTACCCAGAATGAAGTGCAGTGGTGCAATCATAGCTCACTGCAGTCTTGAACTTCCGGGCTCCAGCAAGCCCCCCACCTCGGCCTCCCGAGTTGCTGGGACTACAGGCACATGTCACCACACCTTGCTAATTTCTAAATTTTGTGTAGAGAGAGAGTCTCACTATGTTGCCCAGACTGGTCTCTAAATCCTGGCCACAAGTGATCCTCTTGCTTCAGCAGGTCAATTAGGGCTTCCAGTTTCAAGCTATATGTGATTCATCCTCAACCTATGTGGTAGGATGGACCTATTTTCCAACTCCAGGAATGGCTTCAAGGTGACTCAACTTTGCATATCCAAATTTACCCATTCAAAGAATAGTTACATACATTGTACCATGTATCAGGAATATAACAGAGAGTAACTGCTTTTTCACCACTATATTCCAAGAACCCCATTTTCTGCCTGGCACATAATAAACGCTCAACTCATATTTACAGAAGAAATAACTAGATTTCATACGAGGTTCTTTTCAAGTCAAATGTGAACAATGTGTTAGATAGGACCTTCCAGTGCCTGTGTGCCCTGTCCTTGGTTCTGATTTATTGTTGTGCAACAGAGCACTGTTGATTCTTCAGAATCAACAAGCCTTTCACATGCCTTTTTTCTTGTTTTACCAATTTGCTTTTTAAAAATAAAAATTGTTGTCAGCTCACAGGCTTTCTAAAACTAGGCCATGGACCCAGCAGGGCTGTAGTTTGCCAAACCTTGCCTTGAATCAGCCCATCCAATAGAACTTTCTGCAGTGATAGAAAATGTTTCTATCTGTGCCATTCAGCACAGAGCCATGTGTGATTACTAAGTGCTTGAAGTGTGGTTAATGTAACTGAGATACTGAAGTTTTAATTTTATTTAATTTTAATTTAAAAGACACTTGTGGCTGCTCCATATTGCACACTACTTTTTAAAATTATTATTTGTATATATTTAAGGGATACAAGTGCAATTTTGTCGCATGGATCTATTGCCCAGTGGGAAAGTCTGGGCTTTTAGGGTATCCATTACCTGAATAATGTACATTGTAGCCATTGAGTAATTTCTCATCATCCACTCTCCTCCACTCCCCAACTCTTCCAAGTCTCCACTCTCTATTATTCCACTCTTTATGTCCATGCCTATGCATTATTTAGCACTGACATGTCTATGCATTATTTAGTCAAATACATGTGCTATTTGACTTCCTGTACATGAGTTGTTTGACCTTCACTTCCTTCCATGTTGCTGCAAAAGACATTATTTCATTCTTTTTTATGCCTGAGTGATATTGCATTGTGTGTGTGTGTATGTGTGTGTGTATGTGTGTATGTGTGTGTGTATGTGTGTATGTGTGTGTGTATGTGTGTGTATATATGTGTGTGTATGTGTGTATGTGTGTGTATGTGTGTGTGTATGTGTGTGTGTGTATGTGTGTATGTGTGTGTGTGTGTGTGTATGTGTGTGTACGTATGTGTGTGTGTGTATGTGTGTGTGTGTGTGTGTAGAGAGAGAGAGAGAGATCACATTTTCTTTATACACTCCTCCATTGATGGACACTTAGGTTGATTCCATATCTTTGCTATGGTGAATAGTTCTGTGATGAACACACAGGTGCAGGTGTCTTTTTGACACAATTATTTATTTTCCTTTGTGTAGATACTCAGTTGTGGGATTCCTGGGTCAAATGGTAGTTCCATTTTTAGTTCTTTGAGAAACCTCCATACGTTTTTCATAGAGATTGTACTAAATTACATTCCCACCAACACTGTGTAAGAGTTCGCTTTTCTGGCATCCTTTCCAACATCTGTTATTTTTTGTCTTTTTAGTAATAGCCATTCTGACTGGTGTAAGGCAGTATCTCATCATGGTTTTAACCTGCATTTCTCTGATTATTAGTGATGCTGAGCATTTTTTCATATACTTGTTAGTCATTGGTATGTATTCCACATCTTTAAGAAGTTGACTATAGGCTGGGCGTGGTGGCTCACACCCATAATCCCAGCACTTTGGGAGGCCATAGCAGGCAGATCATGAGGTCAAGAGTTCAAAACCAGCCTGGCCAACATGGTGAAACCCTGTCTCTACTAAAAATACAAAAAATTAGCCAGGCATGGTGGTGCGCGCCTGTAATCCCAGCTACTTGGGAGGCTGAGGCAGGAGAATCGCTTGAACCCAGGAGGCGGAGGTTGCAGTAAGATAAGATCACATCATTGCACTCCAGCCTGGATGACAGAGCAAGACTCCATCTTGAGAAAAAAAAAAGAAGTTGGCTATAACAGAGTTGTAGAAGTAGAGGAATCAGTAACCCTTCTCCCCATGCCTGATGGTGGCTTTACATCCCTATCTTCATGGAGTTTGCGCTGTAGTGAGGAATAACAAGAACAGGCAGTTGTCAATTATAAATTATTTGATGTGAACCTATTCATACATGGGTGTGGTCATCAGGGAAGGCTTCCTGGAGGAAATGACATTGAAGGTAAATTCTAAAAGATGACGATAAAACCACCAAGTGAAGGAGAGCTTAAATGTGTTTTTAGGCAGAAGAAAAAGCTTTTGGGTAAGAATTTATAAACCTAGAGAGATCCCATGAGTTTCCAACTGCGATGATCCATTCTCTCCACCACCGCCATCGGGCCCAGCCCAATTTAGGTCCACCATGCCCAGAGGCATGAATTTAACTTATGACACTCTTGTAGTGGGATAATGGCTTTGGGCTTATGTAGCCACACATCCTCATTTTTTTAGAGATACAAATTGAAATATTTGGGGTGAGATGTCATGATGTCCACTCAACTCTAAAACTTCAGCAAAAACATTTACTTTCACTGAAATGTTAATAAATCATAAATTGGATGTATATGTTTTAGTTGGAGGAAATATAAATCACTAAATCTAGGTGATGAATATTTATTGTACTCTTCTCTCTGCTTTTTTGTATGCTTGTAAAATTGTATTTAAAAGAATAAGACACACTCGGCCGGGCATGGTGGCTCACACCTGTAATCCCAGCACTTTGGGAGGCCGAGGTGGGTGGATCACGAGGTCAGGAGTTTGAGACCAGCCTGTCTAACATGGTAAAACCCCATCACTACTAAAAAAAAAAATACAAAAATTAGCCAGGCGTTTTGGCAGGCGCCTGTAATCCCAGCTACTTGGGAGGTTGAGGCAGGAGAATTGCTTGAACCTGGGAAGTGGAGGTTGCAGTGAGCCAAGATCATGCCACTGCAATCTAGCCTGGGCAACAGAGCAAGACTCCATCTCCAAAAAAAAAAAAGAAAAGAAAAGAATAAGACATACTCACATGCACCCTCCATTTCTTTCATTTCTAGGGTATTCTCCCAACAGAAATGAGCCCTTAACTGGGAATTCTGGTAAGTCTCAAAGAAGCCCCAGCCCAGGGTAGGGAGGGGGTAACCTGATGGTACTTTGCCTTGTCCAAGAGCACCAGGCACACAGAGTCTTGGATGAGGATCAAAGTTGACCAACTCATGGCAAAGACTATTGAGGCATCGTGAAGGGATAGCAGGGATGCTGGCTTGCTGGGGACCCACTTTTTGGGGGCATCAGAGGCTTGAGGTGTTGAGCCACTAAGCTCTCCTCCCCAGGGCTGTGCCCATCCTCAGGCCACACAGGGTCCAAGAAGGAGCCCTAGGACATGGCAGGAGGTGGCTCACCCCAGCCTTTGTCTCCCCAGACCTTCCCTTCTGGGCCATCATCCTCATCTGCTTGGCAGTACTCCTGGGACTCATCACATGCCTGATCTGCGGCTTCCTGGTGAGCAAGGAAGGGTTACTTGTCTTCTTACTATTGGGTTGTAAGAGTGCTTAATATATTACAAAACCATACTATGCTATACACAAGTCCTTTGCTGGATATATGTTTTGCAAATATTTTCTCCCAGTTCACGCAGTGGCTTTCCTATTTTCTTTCTATAATTTTATTTTTAATTAATTGACAAATAATGAATGCATATATTTAGGGGATACAATGTGATGCTTTGGTATATGTACAATTATGGAATGACTCAATCAAGCTAATTAATATGTCCCTTACCTCTCATAGTTATTATTTCTTCGTGGTGTGAACATTGGCAACCTATACTCTTAGCAATTTTGAAATCTACATTATTATTAACTATATACATTATTATTAACTATAGTTACTATGTTGTGCACATCTCAAAAACTTCACAACCTATATGCTGATTACAAGATATTGAGTGAAAAAGTGATTGCAAAGAGTGTAAACAAAAGAATATAAGAGAAAAATGTAACAACATTAGTCATTAGGGAAATATACATGGAAGGCACAATGAGAGGCCACTTTGCACAAGAATGGATAAAATTGAAAAGATTGACTATAACAAGTGTTGGCGAAAATGTGACAGAACTGGAACTCTCATAAAGTGCTAGTGGAAAATAGCTTGGCCATTTCTTTGAAAATTACACACAACCTACCATAAGACCCTACCATCCCACTCCTAGTAATTTATTTAAGAGAAATAAAAACATATTTCTATATGAAGACTTGTACACAAATAAATGTTCATAACAGCTTTGTTTGTAATAGCCAAACTCTGAAAACAACCCTAATGTTCATTAACAAATATATCCTGACAATGGAATATTATTGAGCAATGAAAAGGAATTAATTATTAATACATTAATAAAGTATACAGCAACATGTATAAATTGCAAAATAATTATGCCTAGTGAAATAATCCAGACAAAGAAAAGAGTACATGCCATATGATTCCCTTTATAGACAAATTCTAGAAAATACAAACTAATCGCCGGACTCGGTGGCTCACACCTGTAATCCCAGCAATTTGGGAGGCCGAGGTGGGCAGAGAGAGTTCAAGACCAGCCTGACCAACATGGAGAGACCCCATCTCTACTAAAAATACAAAATTAGCCAGGCTTGGTGGCACATGCCTGTAACCCCAGCTACTCAGAAGGCTGAGGCAGGAGAATCTCTTGAACCCAGGAGGCAGAGGTTGTGGTGAGCCGAGATTGCACCATTGCATTCCAGCCTGGGCAACAAGAGCAAAAGTTGGAAGGAAGGAAGGAAAGGAAGGAAAGGAAGGAAAGGAAGGAAAGGAAGGAAAGGAAGGAAGGAAATACAAACTAATCTGTAAGGACAGGAATCATATTAGTGGTTGCCTGGGAATGAAAATTGTTTGCAGTGGCAGGGAAAAAGGAACCGTAAAAGAGCGGGAGGAAAGGGGTGTGTGTGTGTGTGTGTGTGTGTGTGTGTGTGTGTTTTCTTTTTTCTTGAGACAGAGTCTCACTCTGTCGCCCAGACTGGAGCACAATGGCATGATCTTGGCTCATTGCAACCTCTGCCTCTCAGGTTCAAGTGTTTTTCCTGCCTCAGCCTCCCGAGTAGCTGGGATTACAGACACACACCATTACACCCAGCTAATTTTTGTATTTTTAGTAGAGGCGGGGTTTTATCATGTAGGCCAGGCTGGTCTCGAACTCCTGACCTCTGGTGATCCACCCGCCTCGGCTTCCCAAAGTGCTGGGATTACAGGTGTGAGCCACCATGCCTGGCCAGGAGGAAAGTTTTAGGAACGATGGATGGACGTTCCTTATGTTGACTGTGGTGATGGTTCAGTAAGTTATGATCAGAACTTATTCAAAACATTCACTTTAAATCTGTGCAGTTTATTTTATGTCAGTTATGCCTCAGTTAAGCCAGACAGGTGTAGAGGAGGAAGGGAGGGAGAGAGAGGGAGAGGCTGAGATCAGGACCAAAAGCCAGAGAGAAAGAGACTGAGAATGAGATGAGAGAGAAATGATATTTAGACAGAAGATAGGAGATAGATGATTGATAGTTGATAGATGATTGGTGGATAGCTGATAGGTAGATGATAAATAGATTATTTTTGATAGATAATTGATAGATAAATTGATAGGTAACAGGTATTTGATAGATATTGATAAGTAGATGATAAATAGATGATTGGTGGATGACAGGTGATTGATAGATGATTGATAGATTATAAATAGCAGATGATTGACAGGTGAGAGATAATTGATAGTTATTGATTGGTAGATAGATAATTGATTCACAGATAGATAAATATTGATAGCTAGATGATAGATAAATAAATCATTGGTAGATATGCGATATATTGATCAAGAAATTTGGGGCAAGGGGAGAGAGAAATGAAGAGGATATCGGAGGGGGAAAAATTTTTTTAAACCGAGAGTGAAACAAGGAGAGAGAAGAAAAGAAAGTGGTGAAAAGAGGAAAAGAACTGAGGGAGAAATTAAATGAAACAATGAAGGGAGACAGAGGAAGCATCACGCCTCTGGCTTTGGCCATATTCTCACCCCTGTGGCCTCCCCTCCCTTGACGGCTGACCAGTCCATTCTCATACCTTCCCCTCACCCTCATAGGCGACCACTCGCCGGCGGAAGAAGGAAAGAGAATACAGCTTCCGGCAACAGTGCCCAGGCTACTACCAGTCACACCTAGACCTGGAGGATCTGCAATGACTGGAACTTGCCGGTGCCCGGGGTCCCTTTTCCCCAGCCAGGGTCCAAAGAAGCTTGGCTGGGGCAGAAATAAACCATATTGGTCGGACACAGTCTCTGAGCCTTCCTTGACGTGACCCCTGACTGGTTCATGTTGGACTAAGAACAATCTTCCCCCTTCGTGAAGTCCCGAAGGCAACTCTCAGTTGTGTTTTGTGGTTTTGCACCATGTCATCCCTTGGGAACACCAGAATTGGTGAAAATGGTTGTATTAGGCTGTTCTTGCACTGTGATAAAGAAATACCTGGCCGGGAACGGTGGCTCACGCCTGTAACCCCAGCACTTTGGGAGGCCTAGGCGGGTGGATCACTTGAGGTCAGGAGTTCGAGACCAGCCTGGCCAACATGGTGAAACCCTGTCTCTACCAAAAATACAATAATTAGCCAGGTGTGGTGGTGCACGCCTATAATGCCAGCTACTTGGGAGGCTGAGGCACGAGAATCACTTGAACCCAGGAAGCAGAGGTTGCAGTGAGCCAAGATCATGCCACTGCACTCCAGCCTGGGCGACAGAGCGAGACTCTATCTCAAAAAAAGAAAAAAAAAAAAAATACCTGGCTGGGCTTGGTGGCTCACGCCTGTAATCCTAACACTATGGAAGGCCTAGGCAGGCAGTTTGCTTGAGCCCAGGAATTCAAGACCAGCCTGGGAAACATGGCAAAATGCTGTCTCTACAAAAGATTTTTAAAAATAGGCATGGTGGTGCGTGCCCAGAGTCCCGTCTATCCAGGAGGCAGAGGTGGGAGGATCAGCTGAGCCTGGGAGGTCGAGGCTGCAGTGAACTGTGATGGCACCACTGCACTCCAACCTGGATGACAGAGAGAGAGCCTGTCTCAAAAAAAAAAAGAGAGAGAGAAAAGAAAGAAAGAAAAAAATACCTGAGACTGGGTCATTTTTAAAGAAAAGAGGTTTAATTGGCCCACAGTTCTGTGGACTGTACAGAAAGCATGATGCCAGCATCTGATCAGCTTCTGGGGAGGTCTCAGGAAGCTTCCAATCATGGTGAAGACCAAGGGAGGGCCAGCAAGTCACAAGAGAGGGCCAGCATGTCACATGGCCAGAGCAGGAGCAACAGAGAGTTGGGGGGAGCAAAGGTGCCACACACTTAACCAGATCTCACAAGTACAGATCCCTGCTGCAAAGGCAGCATCAAACCATGAAGGATCTGCCTCTATGACCTAAGCATCTCCTTCCAGGCTCCACCTCCAACACTGGGGATTACAAGTCAACATCAGATTTGGTGGGAACACATATCCAAACTGCATTACTGATGACAGGAGACAGGGAAATACTGGGTAGAAGAGGGTGGTTCCCCAGCAAAGACCCCACCCTCAAGCCGGGAGACCCATAGCCCTAAATGGGAACAGGCAATTCCTGTTTTCATGCCTTTTGTCACCTTTTGGCCCACCATGCTCCCCTATCCTGTACCCCTATGAACCCCAAACCCCCGGCTCCATAAGCAGAGGAATGGCAGAACGACACAGCAGAGAGAAGAGAAGGAGCATCTGAATGCCGAGAGGAGTTCAGCTGGGGACAGTTGGAGAGCAGACCAGACACCAGACAGCCAAACTCCAGGGGAAGATCATCTTTCCACTCCATCTCCCTTCCAGCTCCCCATCCATCCCACTGAGAGCCACCTCCCCCATTCAATAAAACCCTGGCATTCATCCTTCAAGTCTGTGTGTGACCTGATTCTTCCTGGCTGCTGGACAAGGACCTGGGTACCAACAGGGCACTGAGCTGGTTAACACTTAAGCCATCTACAGACAGCAAGGCTAAAGGAGCACACCGTAACACACATACCCCTGGACACTGCCATGCGGCCAGAGCCCAGGGGCACTCACCCCAGCTCCTGCACCTGTCTGTCTGTGTGTTCCCCATCCCATAAGGAGTTTCAGTGCACACAGCAGCCAAACAGATGAGCCACACCCCTGTCTCATGTCCTACAAGGGAGCTCAGGGAATTCTCTTGTTTCACTGATATAGAAATTGCCATCGTGGAGGCTGGGCATGGTGGCTCACACCTGTAATCCCAGCACTTTGGGAGACCAAGGCAGGCAGATCACCTGAGGTCAGGAGTTCAAGAACAGCTTGACCAACATGATGAAACTTCATCTCTACTAAAAATACAAAAAATTAGCTGGGTGTGGTGGTGGGTGCCTGTGATCCCAGCTACTCAGGAGGCTGAGGCAGGAGAAGCATTTGAACCTGAGAGGTGGAGGTTACAGTGAGCTAAGATTGCACCACTGCACTCTAGCCTGGGTGACAGAGCAAGAATGCATTTCAAAAAGAAAAAGAAAAAAGAAATTGCCATGGTGGAAAATCAACATTCCACTTTAGTGTGAGGTCTCCGTCCTTTGTCACTCAGTACTTGCCCACCCTTGACTCCTATACCAGCCATTACACCCATCTTGTTCCTTCATATTCCCATACCCCCGCCCCCAAGAAACCCTGGCAGTTGCAAGTTTCTCTTCTGCTATTTCATTCTCTGAAACTTGAATGCACCAGAGTTTCCAGATTAGTGTTCCCTGGGTGGCATCTTACCTGTCTCACAGGTCCTCTACGATGGAAAGTAGACCAAGAAGGCATACACGGGTCAGAAATGGTTCTTTGGGCCAGGCACAGTGGCTCACACTTGTAATCCCAGCATGTTGGGAGACCACGGCAGGAGGATTGCTTGAGGCCACGAATCAGAGACCAGTCTTGGCAACATAATGCGACCCCCATCTCTACTAAAAGGGAAAAATAGCTGGATGTGGTGGCACGCACCTATAGTCCCAGCTACTAGGGAGGCCGAGGCAGGAAGATCCCTCAAGCCCAGGAGGTTGAGGCTGCAGTATGATCGCACCACTGCACTCCAAGCCTGGGCAACAGAGACCCCATCTCTAAAAAAAAATAGAATGCAGTATCTATATTATGTATAGCTTCCCTAAAAATTTATTATTTAAAAATTTCATCTTTTCTGCTCTGTGCTTCCACGTGGTAATCATCTGAATCCTAGAATGTGGGGATTTTTTTGTTTTTGTTTTGTTTTGTTTTTTGAGATGGAGTCTCACTCTGTTGCCCTCAGCTCACTGCAACCACCGCCTCCCAGATTCAAGCGATTCGCCTGCCTCAGCCTCCCGAGTAGCTGGGATTACAGGTGTGTGCCACCACATCCAGCTAATTTTTGTATTTTTAGTAGAGATGGGGTTTCGCCATGTTGGCCAGACTGGTCTTGAACGCCTGACCTCAGGTGATCCATCCACCTTGACCTCCCAAAGTGCTGGGATTACAGACGTGAGCCACCATGTCCAGTCTTAGAATGTGTTTTAATGTTTTGTTTGCTTGAAAAAAAAAAAAATACAAATAGTCTACATCCAGCCTGTATGACTTTCTTTAGATTCCACATAGAAGTGAGGTTAATGCAGTATTTTTTTTCTGTGTCTGACTTAATCTGCTTATCTTAAAGTCAGAGGCAGTAATCAAGATCATGAAATTATTCAGTGCTTTGTCCTCATCATCACAGGATAAAGCCTACCTAATCAGAATTGATAATTATTTTTGTGAAATATCCCAGTTGATTCCAAAATAATATTTCAGGGAAGAGTTTTTTATATTTACGTTCTCAAATAAGCTATCTAACTCTAGTTATTTTTCTGTTCCTGATTGCCCGTTAATTTAGAGTTGCATTTAATGAAATATCAGACTTCCCCTGATTCTCTAGATCTGTATGTGTTTGAAATTTGATTCAGGAAAGTTGACACAATTTGAGGGATAATAATATCAAGAGAAACTTTTCAGGCCAAGCGTGGTGGCTCATGCCTGTAATCCCAGCACTTTGGGAGGCTGAGGCGGGCAAATCGTGCAAGGTAAGTTCGAGACCAACCTGACCAACATGATGAAACCTCATCTCTACTAAAAATACAAAACTTAGCTGGGCGTGGTGGGAGCCACCCATAATCCCAGTCACTTGGGAGGCTGAGGCATGAGAATCGCTCGAATCCAGGAGGCAGAGGTTGCAGTGAGCCAAGATCGTACCACCGCACTCCAGCCAGGGGGACAGAATAAGACCCCTGTCTCAAAAAAAGAAAAGAGAGAGAGAGACTTTTCAGTGTTATGAAATCTAACAGTGCACCATCGTTCTGCTTATTGGGATTAAGAGTTAAAGTCTATTTGTCTACTTGACTGATCAAGCTTATTGAATTATTCCAGTGCTTTTTATCATTATTTGCTTTTGTTTGATGGATTTACCAGTTTCTGAGATTGATGTGTTAAAAATGATAGAATACTGGCCAGGCACGGTGGCTCATACCTGTAATCCCAGCATTTTGGGAGGCTGAGATGGGAGGATTGCTTGAGTCTAGGAGTTTGAGACCAGCCTGGGCAATAGAATGAGACCTTGTCTCTGCAAAGTATAGAAAAAAACTAGCCGGGGCCGGGCACAGTGGCTCAAGCCTGTAATCCCAGCACTTTGGGAGGCCAAGACGGGCGGATCATGAGGTCAGGAGATCGAGACCATCCTGGCTAACATGGTGAAACTCTGTCTCTACTAAAAAATACAAAACACTAGCCAGGCGAGGTGGCGGGCGCCTGTAGTCCCAGCTACTCAGGAGGCTGAGGCAGAAGAATGGTGTAAACCGGGAGGCGGAGCTTGCAGTGAGCTGAGATCCGGCCACTGCACTCTAGCCTGGGTGACAGAGCGAGACTCCGTCTCAAAAAAAAAAAAAAAAAAAATTAGCCGGGTGTAATGGCATGTGCCTGTAGTCCCAGTTACTCAGGAGGCTGAGGCAGAAGGATCACCTGAGCCCAAGAGTTCAAGACTGCAGTGAGGTTTTGTTTGCGTTTTTTTGTTTGTCTGGTTTGTTTTTTGTTTTGTTTTATGGGTTTGTTTTTTGTTTTTGAGACAGAGTCTTGCTCTGTTGCCCAGGATGGAGTGCAGAGGCACGATCTTGGCTCACTGCAACCTCTGCCGCCTGGGTTCCAGCGATTCCCCTGCCTCAGCCTCCCAAACAGTTGGGACTACAGGTGTACATCACCACACCCAGCTAAGTTTCGTATTTTTTGTAGAGACAGGGTTTCACCATGTTGGCCAGGCTGCTCTTGAACTCCTCGATCTCAAGCAATCTGCCCATCCCAGCCTCCCAAAGTGCTGGGATTACAGGCTTGAGGCCCCATACCTGATCTGCAGTGAGTTTTGATGGCACCACCACACTCCAAGCTGGACTACATACATACATACATAGTAAATAAATATGAGAGTATAACATGAAAAAGAAAAATCTCCTTTCCCTGCCCAGCTGAAACCCGATCTCTCACCTGAAAAAGAAATTACTGTCTTTAGTCCCCTGTGTCACACAAAGGAGTTTAATTTTTTTGTTGTGTTTTGTTTGTTTTGTTTTGTTTTTGAAATAGAGTCTCGATCTGTCACCCAGGCTGCAGTGGAGTGGCACGATCTCAGCTCACTGTGGCCTCTGCCTCCCGGGTTCAAGCAATTCTCCTGCCTCAGCCTCCCAAGTAGCTGGCATTACAGGTGCCTGCCACCACGCCCAGCTAATTTTTTTATTTTTAGTAGAGACTGGGGTTTCACCATGTTGGCCAGGCTGGTCTTGAACTCCTGGCCACAAGTGATCGCCCGCCTCAGCCTCCCACAGTGCTGGGATTCCAAGCATGAGCCACTGCGCCCTGTTCTGAGCTTACTTACTTAGGTGCTCTTAGGTGCTCACCCAGTCTAATTTTTTTTTTTTTTTTAAAGTATTGGCATATTTTTAAAATTTAAAAGCCTTAAAGAAAAAAAAAAAAAAAAAAAAAAAACAAACCATCATTGTGGACACTGCAAAGAGGTGTTAATAAAGGATTACGCTTTATTTCATCTGCACTATCTTCCCTTTTTTTCACAGCGTTTTTCAGGACAGCCTTCTTGGCTTCTCACTTTCTCCGCCTCATTAGCGAGTCCATCCGCAATCAGTGCTATTGCGAGTCTCTCTCTGACTGTCTTCACTTTCCCTTCCTGTTTCCTGATATCTTCCTCGGTGACCAGAAACTGTCGGCAGAGGAGCTGCGAGATACCCACTCCCTCTCTGGGAATTATCTCCACCACATCTGAAGAGCAGGCAAGGTGGGGCATGGGGCAGGAGTGCTCCAGACCACCGGCAAGATCCCCCAGCAGAGATCCACCTGTGTAACTAGGGACAAGTTTTTGCAAAGTATTGGCAAGATCCGAAGTGCTTAAAAGTTCCCCTGCGCTGCTGTAAGCCTGCAGTCCTTGCAGTCGTTTCTGCCAGCAGACCTGCTGAGGCTTCTCCAGGCTCTCCTCCCACTGATGGTATCTGACCTCATTGCCAGGATGGGGTGTCATTCTCGTAACTGGCCTCTCGAATGTGTAATTGGACATTCTCAGAGGGATTGAGGTGTTCAAGCCAGGCTTTGATTTGCATTGGTTTACACAGTCACGTTGCTTCCTCTGTGAACTCTTGCCCATCGCGCTTCTTTTCCTCTTACACTACTAAAATAAATCATGAAACGGGGTGAAATTGATCAATGAAGCCTGCCCTTCTCAGGACAAGGATCTCGGCTGTTTTGGACTTTCATCCTTCCTCTCTCCCTCTGGAGATAGGTCTGACCTGCTTCCTGGGACATCATCAGGCAGATTTGAGTCAAGCACAGAAAGTTCAAGGTCAAAACTCTCCTTCATCATCCTGCAAACCCCCTCCTTGTTTGAGTACTATTTTATTCTCTTTCTGCCCTTGTCACTCTTAAATGCTCAAGTACCGATACTCCCTCTCATGACACACACGACAGTCTTTTTCTAAATCTCAAATCTTGCCTTTTGTTTTGTTTTCTTTTCTTTTCTTTTTGGTCCCACTCCGTCACTCGGGCTGGAGTGCAGCGGTGCAATCACAGCTCACTGCAGCCTTTACCTCCCCAGGCTCAAGTGTTCCACCCGCCTGAGCCTCCCGAGTAGCTGGGATTACAGGCGAGCATCGCCATGCCTGGCTAATTGTGGTTTTTGTAGAGACGAGGTTTCACCACCTTGTCCAGGCTGGTCTGGAACTCCTGAACTCAATGATCCTCCCACCTCGACCTCCCAAAGTGCTGGGATTACAGGCATGGGCCACCACGCCCAGCCCAAATCCTGTCATTCTTATGCATTACTTGACTATTCATCTGGTTAACAACTGACCTCTTGGTTTGCACAGTTCCTGCAGCTTGTAAGTCAATAATGAAATTATCAACTGCTCTGCTCTTCGAGCCTTAATCCCACACCCCAGACATTTTCAGCAACCCAAACGGTCACGCTCAAAAATAAATAATTCAGGCCCAGCACAGCGGCTTATGCCTGTAATCCCAGCACTTTGGAAGGCCGAGGCAGGCGAATCGCTTGAGGTCAGGAGTTCAAGACCAGCCTGGCCAACATGATGGTGCGCATCTGTACAAAAAATACAAAAATTAGCTGGGTGTGGTGGTGCGCATCTGTAATCCCAGCTACTCGGGAGGCTGAGGCAGGAGAATCGCTTGAACCCAGGAGCTGGAGGTTGCAGTGAGCCGAGATCGCACTACTGCACTCCAGTCTGGGCGACAGAGCGAGGCTGTCTCTAAATAAATAAATAAATAAATAAACCAGAAAACTTATTCACTCACTATAAATTTCTGATTTCCAGGTTTTTTGATTCAAATACCCATACCACAGATACCTGTTCTTGAAGAACACACCTTGAGGAACAGGTATCTATGATTTGGATATTTGAATCACTCTAGACCTCGGTATCTTCACCTACCTCTCTCTCCTCTGATTCCTACCACTCTTGGATTCTGCAGTCTGTGACCTCAATATTTCCCTTAGAGGCCAGGCACGGTGGCTCATGCCTGTAATCTCAGCACTTTGGGAGGCCGAGGTGGGTGGATCACTTGAGGCCAGGAGTTCAAGACCAGCCTGGCCAACATGGTGAAACCCCATCCCTACCAAAAAAAAAAAAATTAGCCGGGCATGGTGGTGCACACCTGTAGTCCCAGCTACTCAGGGGGCTGAGGTGGGAGAATCTCTTGAACCCAGGAGGTGGAGGCTGTGGTGAGCGGAGATCACACGGCTGTACTCCAGCCTGAGCACAGAATGAGACCCTATCTAAAAAAAATTCATTTAGATTAATCCAAAATTCCTTACCACTTATCATATCCACCTTGTAAAACTTCAAGCTTGGACGGTCCCTATTATCTGTGACGCCATGGCTACCACCGTCATATGACCACTGCTGAAAAAAGAATCACATGACATGACGTCTTAGTGCCACTGTAAATACAAAATATTCTCCATCAACTGGAAAGAATCCATCATGCGTAGAAACTTTATTTTCTGTGGATGCATTGTTATGTTTACCCCTTGATTTTCCCCAAAATCTGTTGCAAAATTTTCTCCAGATTTCTTTTTTCCTCATAGATATTTAATTTTCCTTAATTTACCTGATGGTTCCCAAAGATGTGAGTTGCCAAATCCGCAAATATCCCTGATAAGCATCGAATGTTTCCAAATTTCCTTTAATTGTATTTAAAGAGATTTCCTGCCAGGCATGGTGGTTCACGCATGTAATCCCAGCACTGTGGCAGGCTGAGGCGGGAGGGCCACTTGAACCCAGGAGTTTGAGACCAGTCAGGGCCACATAGGGAGAACCCCATCTCTACTAAAAATTAAAGAGTTAGCTGGGGGTGATGATACACGTCTGAGGTCCTAGTTGAACGAGAGAGGCTGAGCGAGGAGGATAGCTTGAGCCCAGAAGGTCGAGGTTGCAGTGAGCGGTGATCAGGCCACTGCACTCTAGCCTTGGCCAAAGAGCAAGACCCTGTCTCTTAAATAAATAAATATATTTCCTTTATCCACCAAGAGTGATCTGAGCCTCATTCCTTCTTCCTGTTAATTTTATGCTTCCAATATTGCAATTTAACCCTTTTTTATATCTTTTTTTTTTTTTTTTTTTGAGACAGGGTCCCACTCTGTTGCCCAGGCTGGAGTACAGTGGCATGATCTGGGCTCACTGCAACCTCTGCTGCCCGGGTTCAAGCAATTATCTTGCCTCAGCCTCCCATGTAGCTGGGATTACAGTCACACACCTATATGCCCAGGTAATTTTTTGGTATTTTTAGTAGAGATGGGGTTTCGCCATGTTGGCGAGAGTGGCCTCGAACTCCTGACCTCATGATCTGCCTGCCTTAACCTCCCAAAGTGCTGGGATTACAGGCGACTCCGTATCTTTAACTTCTGTTTTTCTACTGAATACCTTCTTCGGCATTTAAACATGTTCAAGTTTCTCCTAGCTACACAGACCTCCTCTCCTAAACTTCCTGGGACCCCCTCCTTCACCACTACTCTCTATCCCTTCCCCTTAGCTATGAACCACTGAGAAAAGATCATCTATATCTATGTCTCCTGTCTCCTCACCTCCAGCTAACTCCTCAGGCCACTCCAAACTTCTGTTTTCCTTCACCGTTCTACGGCTGCTTCTGTTGCTAAGGCCACAATGACCCCTTTGTTGTTAGATTCCAAAGGAATTCTCATTATTCATCTGACATGACTCTTGAAGTGGAAAGCTTTGAAGTATGCTTGGAACAACCTGGACATGTGAATCTTACTTTACAGCTGTGAACCCTAGAAAATCTAAATACGGCCAGGCATGGTGGCTCACACCTGTAATCCCAGCACTTTAGGAGACCAAGGCAGGCAGATCACGAGGTCAGGAGATTGAGACCATCCTGGCTAACACGGTGAAACCCCATCTCTACTAAAAATATAAAATATTAGCCATGATATTAATACAGGTGGGTGTGGTGGTGCACACCTATAGTCCCAGCTACTCGGAAGACTGAGGCAGGAGAATGGCGTGAACCCAGGAGGCGGAGCTTGCAGTGAGCCGAGATCATGCCTCTGCACTCCAGCCTGGGCAACAGAGCGAGACTCTGTCATGGCGTGAACCCAGGAGGCGGAGCTTGCAGTGAGCCGAGATCATGCCTCTGCACTCCAGCCTGGGCGACAGTGCGAGACTCTGTCTCAAAAAAAAAAAAAAAAGAAAAAGAAAAAGGAAAAAATCTAAATATGGGGCAGGTACATCTGATAACATTCAACTCGCAAATTGAGATGTGCCATCAGTGGAAAGTACAAACTGGATTTCTGGAACTCATTACAAAAAAAAAAAAATCATTTAAAAGATCTCATGTGGAGTCCTAATAAGTAACCAACAACAAAGAAGGGGCCCCTGGCTGGGGGAGAACAATTGTTCTGAGAGATGGCTAACTGCCAACAACACACTGGCATGACATCCTGTTCCAAAAGACCTCGGTCTGCACATAGTCCCAGCAACATGACCTTATCTGCACACCTTACGTGCACGTGGCCACCTCCAGCACGACCCTGTAAAATTCCCTCCAACCTCTTCCTGTTTGCAAACAGCCCCTTCTCTTCTGTGCTGCCTGTTGCATCCTCGCAACCTACCGTCATACCTTCTCTAATAAATCTTTCTTTACCTATGGCTGTCTTGGGAAATTATTTTACCGCCCACAACGCCAGCCCCAGCCAGTCACAACGACAACGTCTCAATAATTTCTTTACATTGATTGCATGCACAAATGAGAATTATGTTGGCTACCATGGGTTAAAAGAGACTTTTAGAATTCATTGTGTGTGGCATGCCATCTATGGCTGAGGTGCTATATTGGTGCTTACCCAGGAGTTATCACCAGACAGCCTGTGTTCTGTGCATGCTTGGCTGTTTGCACAGTTGCATAGCCTTCAGAACATTTAGTATCTCTTGTTATTGGCTGTCTTTTAAATTATCCCAATGGGTGTGAAGTGATATTCTATGGAAGTTTTGATATTAACTTCCCTAATGATTAAAGAGGCTGAGCATCTTTTCATGTACATATTTGCCATTTGTATATCTTCTTTGTAGAAATGACTATTCAAGGGGGCCGGGCGCGGTGGCTCAAGCCTGTAATCCCAGCACTTTGGGAGGCCGAGACAGGCGGATCATGAGGTCAGGAGAATGAGACCATCCTGGCTAACATGGTGAAACCCCGTCTCTACTAAAAAATACAAAAAACTAGCCGGGCGAGGTGGTGGGCGCCTGTAGTCCCAGCTACTCGGGAGGCTGAAGCAGGAGAATGGCGTGAACCCGGGAGGCAGAGCTTGCAGTGAGCTGAGATCCGGCCACTGAACTCCAGCCTGGGCGACAAGAGCGAGACTCCGTCTCAAAAAAAAAAA